AACCACTAAAAAGAAAGGAATAAATTATACTTACATTAAAGTCTAAAGTACCTACATTTAAGTCAAAATCAAAATAATATTTGGACTGGAATTGGTGATTGGAATGCATATCACCGACACCATTTTTTACTCAGCAACGCAATTTTTAATTTAGAGATAGAGTGTCATTACAGAATACCGAATTGAATTTGACAAGTCTATATCTAATTTTAGTTAGTTTTAGATATAAGTTGGCACGCTAGAATTGGGCCCCGTATCGGAATTTCTAAGTGTGAAGTCAAAGATAAGAAGCTACATGTGCGTGGTTTAGAAATTTTAAACTCAACATCGAAACGTTTACCTTCTGGTAGATTTGAAGTAGGATTATTATGGCGAGATAACATAGCAAAAGTCCCAGATAGTTATCCACACGCCCTCTCGAGGTTTCTTTCTTTAGAGAGACGTATGCAGAAAGATCCTCAGTTTATGTCTGGGTACAAAAATTTTATTCAGGGAATGCTCGACAAGGGTTATTCCGAGCAATGTCTCGACACTTATGACTCTAGAAAACAACCACCTTCTTGTCCAAACGACAACAAAATTTATTGGTATTTCGGTGTCGTACACCCACAAAAAAAGAAATTACGTGTCGTAACACGACGCTGCCGCGAAAAATCTGAGAGTTAATTTAAACTCGCTTTTGCTCAGTGGTCCCGACCTACTACAATCATTGTTAGACATTTTATGTCGATTCAGGGACGGCCACGTAGCTATGAACGCCGACTTAAGGGAGATGTTCCCTCAAGTGAGGATCAGGGAGCAGGACCGCGATGCTCTTCGTTTCTTGTGGCGTGATAACCCCAAATCCTCAATCATAGAATATAGGATGACATCTGTGATTTTTGGGGCAGCTTGTAGTCCATGCACCGCACTCTACATTAAAAACAGAAAAGCATTAGAATTCCGCGATAAGTTTCCATCGGCCGTAGAAAAGATCATCAAAGATCATTATATGGACGATTACATTGGGAGCGTGGATTCCGAGGAAGAAGCCTCGAGCTACACGTTCTTTGTGACGCCAGCGAATTAGCTTACGCTTGCGTAGCCTATTGGAGTTTTATTTATGACGATGGTCGTGTTAAACTTTCACTACTAGACGGCAAAGCTCGTGTTGCTTCCGTCAAGCCCGTGACTATACCACGTTTAGAGTTGCAAGGTGCGTTAATTGCTTCTCGGTTTGCTAAAACCACTTGTGAGGCTCACAGAAACAAACCAAATCGCATACTTTTCTGGGCCAATTCTACTACGGTTCGTAGTTGGCTTAGAAATGACAGTCGTATATTCAAACCCTTCGTTATGCACAGAGTAGCTGAGATTTCTGAGTTAACCGAAATCTCAAGTTGGAGATACGTTCCAGGCAGTCTAAACGTCGCTGATGCTACTTGTTCTGGTAATTCCCTAGAGCAGTGGCTAAGTGGCCCGCCCTTACTTTTGCTCAACCCAAGCGAGTGGCCAGCAGAGCCTCATATTAATGTTAGGACATTTGAAGAGATTAGATCGAACTACAAAGATATCGTTCTTTTTATCGGTACTACATCGCATTTAGAGCCTCTATCGGTTACTACGGATCCATCAAGACACAGCTCTGGTTACGGCTTGTTCGATCGACTGCAACCGTTTTTAAGGCCTCTGACAATTTCCGGTCCTTATTGCGTAATAAAAAACACAAATTATTTCGTCCAATCTTCCCCCGTTCATCTTCATCCCCCATTATTAGCATCTCATATCATTAAATCTGAGGATTACTACAGGAAACTACGAGGTTCGCAAGTGGAATCGTTCGAAGAAGAAATCTCTTGTCTTTTGACGTCCGAACCTATTCCTAATCGTCGTCAATATGCTTCGGGAACGATTTTGGATTTTAAAATGTCGTGGCGTCGTCCGCAAGATGTCATCGGTGTGTCAATACTGCAGAAACAAAAAAGCCAAAAGCGAGATTCCAAGACTGGGAAATTTGCCCGCTGTACGATTAGCGCACCACAGCCGACCATTTATGTTTGTTGGACTGGACTACTTTGGCCAATTAGAAGTGGCAATTGGTCGACGACGTGAAAAAAGGTATGGTGCAATCTACACATGCATGATGTCCCGTGCCCTACACCTGGAAATTGTGGCATCACTTTCCGCGGACACTGCAATTTATCTTTGAGGAGCTTCATCGCTCGACGGGGTTGTCCTTCTAAAATTCTCAGTGACAACGGCACATGTTTCGTCGGGGCAAACAAACAATTGAAAAGCTTCTTTTGCTCCGAATTGAACAATTTGCAGCAAACAACCGCATCACATGGGAGTTTATTTCACCCGCTTCTCCTTTCATGGGTGGCTGCTGGGAGCGAATGGTTCGCAGTGTCAAAACCGCGCTGAGTGTAACATTAAAGCAGAGACCCCCGAAAGAAGAAACGCTGCAGACTATTTTCGCAGAAGTTGAGGCCATTATCAACTCCCGACCACTCGTGCATGTTCCTATGGATCCAGATGACCCATTTCACTTTTCACTTTTTACTAGGCACTCCCTCGATGCAAAAATTACCTAATACTGCAGACCTTTCCGATAGCGACTTATCTGGCAGAACAATGTGGAGGAAGGCAATTCGTTTAGCCGACCACTTTTGGAACCGATGGGTTAAAAATATTTGCCCACAATAATTCCTAGACGGCAACCACACACAAATTCCCCGCAAGTGCCCCTTCAGAATGGAGACGTAGTCCTTATCGTAGACGAGACCTTACCGAGGGCTCTTTGGCCAATAGGTCGATCGAATTACCGCACTACACCCTGGGTGGGCCAGATGGTACAGAGCGCGTCGTGGAAGTGTCCACAAAAACTGGAGTTTTCAAAAGACCAGTTAGAAAAATTGTTCGTCTGCCAGTCATGTAATTTTACCATTCCCATTGTAATTAGTTCATTCATTTAATTTTTATTTTAATATTGTAGAACTTTGTCCTTCTTTCGTTTACAGCGACTTACTTTCTTGACACTACCGTTAACAATATTTGGGAATCTATTTTTCTTTAAAAAAATACCAAATTTAACAGGGTGAATATTGAATTTATCATCGGGAGATGTTAATATTTTTTGGACATGAAGAATAAAAGGAGCTACATCAGTCTCACAGTAGTTTTTCCGGTCAATTGGGGCAGATAAAGGTAAACTCTTATAATTTGTTATATTAGAAGTTATAGTTGTAGTGGGAGACTCTGGCGTGGGTAATGGAACTGGTGGAGGAATAAAATCTGATTCAGCTGTACATAAACAACCATTTGTTTTAGTTTCAGAGTTACCATGATGTCTCCTCCTTTTTTTGTTACAATGTTTACAAATATTTGAGCGGCGGCTCCGCTTTAGTGATCTATTGGAGGTGGATGCATCAGTTTCCATTCCTGATTCCGACTGAACAGTGACAAAATTACCTGCCGGGGGGACGAATCCCCCCGGGTCATCGGGGGTATCGTTAATGATCGTAATAAATTAGTATGAGGACTTACCAATACAGCAAATATGTACACAATATACTAAGTATAAATTAATATTTACAAAAATATACAAAATTTACCCTTATGATCGACAAAATTAATAAATAAAAATTTTCACCATAAAACGCGTCCAAGAAGTAAAACGTTTCCCGCGCTTTTTTTCAATTGCGGTGTTGGAGCAGCGTCAAGTGGATCCTTATGCAACTGATAGGATGGACTTGGAGCGCACCATATTCGAGCTGCGCGCCGAGGTTAACAACCACGATCAGGAGGCGTTGATGTTCGACCTGGAGATCGGCGGGTTGCCCGAAGAGAGGGGCGTCAGCGTGGAGCAGAGCGTCACCATGCTGGCCGTGCGGCTGGGAGTGACTCTCGACAGGCGGGACGTGGTGTTCGCGTTCGGTGTGGGCGCGCCGCCCGCCGAGGCGCCAGGGTCGGCCGCGCCGAGTGGTGGTGCGCCTGGTGTGCCGCCAGCTGCGCGACGACCTCTTGACGGGCGCGCGTGTCGCATGTGCGCCGCGCGCCGCAGGGTCACTGTTGCGGAGGATTCGGAGGATGGCGCCCCGGACACCGCTGACGAGGACGGCCCGCCCCGGACACCGCTGACGAGGACGGCCCGCCCCGGACACCGCTGACGAGGACGGCCCGCCCCGGACACCGCTGACGAGGACAGCCCGCCCCGGACACCGCTGACAAGGACGGCCCGCCCCGGACACCGCTGACGAGGACGGCCCGCCCCGGACACCGCTGACGAGGACGGCCCGCCCCGGACACCGCTGACGAGGGCAGCCCGCCCCGGACACCGCTGACGAGGACGGCCCGCTACGGACACCGCTGACGAGGACGGCCCGCCCCGGACACCGCTGACAAGGACGGCCCGCCCCGGACACCGCTGACGAGGACGGCCCGCCCCGGACACCGCTGACGAGGACGGCCCGCCCCGGACACCGCTGACGAGGACGGCCCGCTACGGACACCGCTGACGAGGACGGCCCGCTACGGACACCGCTGACGAGGACGGCCCGCCCCGGACACCGCTGACGAGGACGGCCCGCCCCGGACACCGCTGACGAGGACGGCCCGCCCCGGACACCGCTGACGAGGACGGCCCGCCCCGGACTCCGCTGACGAGGACGGCCCGCCCCGGACACCGCTGGCGAAGACGGCCCGCCGCGGACACCGCCGTGGTGGGCGGCGGGCGTAGTGTACACCTTAATAGGGGTGTATTTTTGAATACCGATGGTAATCAGGACAGGTCTATGCTGGCTGTGAGGAAAGCTATTGAAAATGCGTCTAGATATGGGAAGTCTTTTACCCTGATTATCCTCTGATGTAAAACAAAGACCAGGGTTTGTGTTGCTTCCCCACCTGGCGGACCTAAATGAGCCCTTATCCTTAGGGTCAAATATAAGGTATAAGTTGTTTATTTCAGCCCAGGCATGCAGGTCTTCTCCGTTACTGTCACTTTTGTTGTAGGCCCATGCTGTATGGTGGCAGTTAGTCACCCATCAGGACAGAAGGATGGGGATGTCTTGGCAAGGATTGGGTCTGCATTTCAAAATATAACTTTGAATTTTTATGCCGATTTACACAATTAAGTTATATTTCACGGAAGCATAGAAGAAAGTTAGTTTTGATTTACACCGCAATAAAACAAAATATAATACAAAGAATCGTTTATTTAATCAAAACGTGACAATGTTTGGTGGTAGAAGGGTGAAAATTTAAGGTTGTATGTATTTTTGTTAATGCAAGATAAAAAAATAAAAACAAAAAAATCGTCTAAGGGTGTACCACCCTTAACATTTAGGGGGATGAAAAATAGACGTTGCCCGATTCTCAAACCTACAGGATATGCAAATAAATTTTCACGAAAATTGGTCGAGCCGTTTAGGAGTAGTTCAATTACGCACACCGAGACAAGAGAATTTTATATATTAGATTATGTATTCTATCCGTTGCCCTAGTATCCCATAACACAAGCAACACAGTGCTTAATTTAGGGCTAGGCTAATTAGTGTGTATTGGAAAAAAATAGTGTGCACGGGCCAAACATCTGAAGTGAAACTTCTTTTCTTAAATAACCTAACATTAGGCGGTGCATAAGGCATAGGGGAGTGGAGCAGCACCCGCATCATTTATCTCATGTAAAATTCTCGTGTCACAATGTTAGGTTGCCATAATCCTCCGAAACGGCCTGACCGATTTTTATGAAAATTTAATATGCATATTCAATAGGCCTGAGAATCGTCTACTAACTATTTTTCACACCAACAACCAACCCCTATTTTTATGGCGGTACAAATTTCGCTGGGTCAGCTAGTAAGTATATTGTGACCGCTCGTGACGTATTTCCGTTTCATCTATTCCAGAGGATTTTTCCATTCACAACCCGTCCGAAAATAAGTTTTACTTAAAAAAAACAATACATTCAAATAACATAAATTCTGACACTTTAGAACTTTGTCTCAAACAAAAGACAGAGGCGTGAAGCACGAAATTGACAGCTCCGTAATCGTATCGCATCGTCAAAATTTCTATGAAAACTAAGCAGCCGGACCGGACGTCAGAACAAACTGGCTCCTTTCATACAAAAATAGATACTGACGATACGATTTCTGTCATAGCTAGTACTTAGGCATCAGATACAGATTGTTATTCTTGCTCTATGACTAACCACAAGTAATGCAGTCAACAAATTAACCTACACAATTTTCGAAGATGATTGTAAATCTTATATCCAGCGAGATAAAGTTCAAAGTCACGTGGAATAAAAATACTAACATATGATAGCAGTCTGCACAACTTGTTAACTTAAAAAAAAAACTAATTATTATATTCTTACAACTATTTCAGCTTCTTTAACAGAACATTTAATTAATATAATCTTGAAGTAAATATAAAATGTGGTTGAAATAATTTATAACCTTTAAAATTACAAATTAGAAGGAATGTGATAGGAATTTAAGTTATACAATCATATAATAAGCAGGCAGGATTTTCCCCATCATCACAATGTTATGGAAATAAGAGATTCCTTATCTTTGTACTATATTATTATAACTAAATCATTATAATACTCGCGCTGATGCTAATTATGCTGAAATATAAACTCTAGAAATGAGACAATTAAGTGCCAATTTTAAATGAGAATCAGTCTAAATAAAATTTGGATTTAAGTACAGACCTACCTATCCAAATTCCGTTTCAAAATTAATTAAAATATAAGAATGTTGTACTTAAATTCCGTAACTTTTGAAAAACAGACAACAATACACAATTAATCTTAGTCTATGGTTCTGTTTTCGGTTCATCTTCACTCTGTGGTTTGGGCAATAAACCCCTGATGCTAAGATCATAGACGACCTCCTCTATCTTTTTCACGTCGTATTTCAACGCGTCGAATCGTTTTCGCAGATGATCGTTTTTCAAATTGAGTAACCTGCACGACAAAATAATCAGATATCTTTTTCCACCAAGAAACAAGTCATATTGTTAAGTATGGTATAATTTTATTTCTATGGCAACACTGTATTACTTGTTCCTTCCGGTGATATTACTGTAACTTTACGTTTGTGCTCTTCAATTTAATAAAAACAAATGAATAAAACAAATCCAGTTTTATTGCCAGTAAATTAATAATTAACACATATATAAACAAAACTTGTAAAATACCTGTTGTCGCCGTTTAAAACATTATTTTGTTTACACTGCATAGACAACTAGTATCTTACAAGTATAAATCACTTATTTACTTCACATATTTTTTTAATCTAACAAGTTTGATGCAAGTATTGTATACTACATGTTTTATACATGTATATAAGAGTGAAAAAGACATTGTACAAAATTTGTTTAATACACATGTATTAAAATTATACCTTGGTGTAAACAATTGGTAACAATTGTAAAAACAAGTTGGAGAAAATTACCACAGAGACACAAAGGTGGGATGAGTAGCAGAGTTTCTATTAGAGTTGAACTGTTTGTTTAAAACTTGTCATACATAAAGGTCCAGTAAATTATTGGGTAAAAAAAAAATACCCCATGAGCATCGACCATAGACAAGGAAGCCTGCTCAGAAGCAATTTTACATACAAAAATATCTACTGCGCAAGTTTATTTGTCTATTGCTACCTATACAACTCAATTTGCCCCTAACATATTTTGATTGGCAGTGAAATGCAATCACACTAATATTGAAAGGCGAAAGTTTGTGAGTGTGTATGTTTGTTACTTCTTCACGTCTAAACGGCTGGAACGATTTTAATAAAATTTGGTATGGAGTTAGCTGAAACCCTGGATTAACACATAGGCTATGTTTTATTTTGGGAAAATATCCCTAATAAACTGCAGGGTACAGATAGTAACCATTAAATTCAATATTTTCTTTTAAACCATCTGTAATATGGTAAATAGTTTTGACTTACCTAAAGCCAGCATTGAGTTCCATAATAAATTTGGATATTTGCAAAGGTTTAGCATAGTCCCCTCTTGTAACACAATTTACTGCAAATCGGGACTGTAATAAAAAATAAATTCATCATGCTTATGCAACAAAATAATTAAAATTTCACATCCAATAATATTCATAATTTTATTATAAAACAGTCTTACCAACTCTGAACATAAAAACAGCAGTCCCACTAAGTAGTCTTCTACGTCTAAATGAAAGCCTTCCTTTTCCTCCACTGAACTAACTGTAATTCAATATTTTTTAATTACTCACTCAGAGTGACTCACTCTTAGACTGCTGCTTAAATCTTTAAATGCAAAGCCTAATCACAATTGAAAATTGCTTTTATTATTATATTATTAAAGGTACACAAACTCATGATCATTCATTTTAATCCACTTTAAAATCTTACATAGTTTCAATACTAGTATGTGTGGAAGCTTAGGAAAGAAAATATTTGAAATATGTTTCTTACAAAAGGATTTGGTTGCAATTTTGTACATTTAAATTTATATTTTAATTTTTATTAGCACTTTCCATAATAGAAAAGAACTACCATGTACTTTGTTTCTACTGTTCTTTAAAGTGTGGTATAGAACTTACTCCCCAATACCTCGGCGATGGTCTCATGTGATGCCAATATTCCCACTTCCAACCAGATGACAAGAGAGATAAGGAAGCAATATTGTTGTGTAACACCACGCCAGTGATCGTGATATCTAAAATAATCAGAGAGTGAGTTCACAATGATGTATTCTCATTTATTTATTGACTTATAAACATAACAAGTAACATTTCGCTGATGTATCAATATCATGTAGTGTTCAAATATTTCCTTTTTTCATTTTGTCTGTCAACATTATCTTCTCGTGTTTTATACATCTATCCAATTGCAGACTGTTTTAAATGCATTTATTGACTTAGTAAAGACCACTTTCTCAAGTACAGTGTAAACTCTTTATAACGAAACTCAAGGGACTGAGCATTTTTTGTCGTTATAGAGAGTTATCGTTATATGGAGTGAACAAAAAAAACCAAATTAACAAGAATTTTTAATACTGCACGTGTACAAGGCAATTAAGGATAACAAAAGCTAGACCGACCTCGGATGTTTCGGAGCTTCAAAGTCTTTTGTTACCTGATAACATAACATAAACAATAATACCGATAATAAATATTTACTGTCTAAAAATATGAACACATTTCTTCGTAATAGAGAATGGCGTATCGCTATAAAGAGTGTTTCAATATGTGAGTTTTAACGCAAACCAACCAACTTGGGCTCACTCCAACGTTATAGGGAGTTTATCGTTATAAAGGATAACGTTATAAAGAGTTTACACTGTATATGGTTTGCAGTGTTTGTTTGTACATAGTATTTGTATATACAAATATTATAGTGTTAAGTTAAGTGTGTATAGTGTTAAGTTAGGTGTTAAGTATAATTATACATAGGCTGCAAATGAATATTAGGGAATCTACTATTTTAACTATCTATATCCTTCAATGAATATATGCTTAACTGACTTATCTTTTGATGAGGTGCAATCAATTCAAGAATCATTGCACAAGTTCAATAAAATAAAGATCATGCAGTTATAAATTTAATTTTTTAAGCATGGAACTGCTCGATATTTAAATCTTAAGAAAATACAACTAGAAAAAAATCCACGCTGACCAGACCAGGCAGCAGACGGGACTCGAACCCGCACCCTTCGCTATCCAGGTGAATGCACATCATGCATAGTTGATAAAACAACCACAGTATTGCACACAATATTTCCTATAAAACTTGTGCTTGTGACCACGAAGCCTTAAAGCAACCAAAAATTAAAAAAAGATGAATAAAATCATTCTGCTAACCTAATCAATAAACGTCTTAACGTCTTAAGAAATTTTACGTTATATAAATCTATATTCTCGATAAACTGCAAATAGCAATAATAATGACTGCTCTTGCTATAAGATATAAAAATCCCCACAAGGCCGAATTAGTATTATACATACTTAAAGTAATCTGTGGGTGGAACTGCTTCTTTAAGTTTTGCATAACCTTGACGAGTTTTCTCAAACAGTTCACGAGCCTTCTGACATGCCTGGATTACTGAAACAATAGTAGTATGATAAAATATATATATTTAATAAAGCTAACATTAAATGAGTAGTCAAGGTTATACTACAATACTGTTGAATAAGTTATGAATTAGTAAAACAACTCCTTTGAACAAATGAGTGAGTGATTTAATACCACAAAAATTACATCTAATTTTCTGTGCCCATGTGGTGCGAAAAAGACTTTTGTATGGAACTGAACAACTTAAGCTAGTCATTTAATGCAATCCGCTAAGGCAACTAGAAAAAAGAAAATAGTTTCACCCTTTAATAAAACCTCTTTTTTTTATCTTTTTTGTTTTTTTCCGATAATATGGTAGCTCTATCGAAACAAACTTACAAGTAATTACCTAATTAATTAACAATTATTAGAATGATATTCTTGTGTAATTTAATTTTTTAAATTTAATTTTCAGCAGAAAACCTTTTCAAGACTCGATTGATAGACTTAGAAGAGTAAGCTTTGTACTTACTGCCTTCTTCTTTATGATGTATGACTTGCAAAACAGTTACAGCTTCTCGAGAGATTTGCTGGATTTCTTTGCATATAGTGCGGATAACCTAAAATTAAGCAATTTTACTAATAAATCAAACAATAGTCATAGTAGAACCTATTTGGCAGTCTTATACTGCAAATAACTTCTTTTCTACTAAGATCCTGAATTCAACAGTGACGAAAAAATGTATTCAATCGAAATCAAACGTAGCCGATTAGTCACCTCGCGACGTTCTTGATCAGCATCGAGGTCCTTCTGAAACTTAGTGAATATGTCGTTAATTTTCATATTTTCACCCATTTCTATTGCTTTATGAAAATCTCCTTTAATTGTTATTAAAGTAATTTTAGTAAAGTCACAGAATTTTACCAAAACAACAAACAAATGCTCAGGCAAGTTTTTTTTTATTTTATTTTTTTTAATATTTTACCTTGTCTTTGCAATGGGGAAGCAAAGGATGCTAGCTCTGAAGTTTTTACACTCTCAGTTTTTTTGCCGACTGCGCAATGCACGAGCGCGAAGCGCGACGCGCAGACAGGGTATAGCAGTGGTTCTCAAACTTTTTAAATGACGGAACCCTTTTGGGAAGCAAAATACTTGATGGAACCCTACAATAAAACAATTATTTTTATAAGTGTATTCTATATTAATCAGCATAATAAAAGTACAATGTATCCGTTACTAATTATTATTTACTTCACCACTTGGTAAGGACAATAATAGAAAACATTAAAAAAGAAAAAATCTAACTAGTGGGAGGTATGAAACTGTTTTTTATTTTTCATCAATTGCTTGATATCAGGTTTGATGGAAGAAAGTTGGAGTCTCATATCAGCTTCGGCGTCCAGTCTATTGCGATATTTTGTTTTCGTGGCTGCGTAGGTAGAGAATCCTGTTTCGCACAAATATGTAGTTGGGAACGGGAGAAGAATATCCAGAGCCATTTGGCCAAGCATTGCATATTCATCTTGGATTCTGCACCAAAAATCATTAAGAGGCGTCGTTTTGAACAATGACTCCATACTTGTGTCTGATGACATTTCTAAAAGAGATTCATATATCTCATTTGACATGTTTTCAGGCTTTTCCAAGTTGGGTAAAAAAGGATTATGAATCCAGGAGTTCACTTTAATTTTTGTATTGTGTTCTTCGGGAAAATACTTTTCAAAAGATGCGCGCATCGAACTGAGATATTGGACCAATTCTTCAAACACATTATCTTCAAACATTTCTGAGTCGTTTTCGCTAACAAACTCAGTGAGTAACGTAAAACTTTCTATTTCTTTCTTACCAATGCAAATGATCCAAAAATCTAATTTTCTTTTAAAAGTAGTTATTTTATTATAGGCCTGAAACACTGTTGTCTGTTTACCTTGCAATGATAAATTTAATTCGTTAAGTTTTTGAAAGATATCCGCCATAAAAGACAATCGGAACAACCAAGTTTTATCATACAAACGGTCCTTCAAATTAAAAGAAGTATCTGCTGAAAGAAACATTTGTAACTCGGCTCTAAGTTCAAATAGCCTTGTTAAAGTTTTTCCCCGAGACAGCCATCGCACTTCTGTATGGAGCAGCAGTGTTTTATGTTTGCTGCCATAATCTTCACACAATAATGAGAACAATCGGGATTGTAGTGGTCGTGATTTGATAAAATTAATTATTTTTACCGCTTCATCCATAACTAATTTTAGATTAGACGGCATTTGCTTCATCGCAAGTGCTTGTCTATGCAGAATACAATGACTGGAACTACAATTAGGCGCTTTATTTTTCATTCGTGACACTGCTCCTGCTGTTTTACCTGTCATCGCCTTGGCCCCATCTGTACAAATGTCAATGCAATTGTTCCAACTGAGATTATGTTCTTCAAAAAATATATTTATTTTATTAAAAATTTCTTCCCCGGTAGTGTTTGTAAGCAGCGATGAACACATAAGCATGTCTTCTTCAAAAGAACTTTTATATGGATATCTCACAATAACCAGCAGGATAGCCAAACCAGCGACATCAGTCGACTCGTCCATTTGCAAAGCGAATCGTGTATTTTGTAGACGTGTAACTAGTTCTTGTTTGACGTAGCTTGCCAGATCATGGATTCGTCGTGAAACAGTATCGTTTGATAGCGGAACAGTAGAAAGATGCTTTGCAGATTTTTCATCAAGCATACATTTTGTTATGTCTAATACACATGGTTTTATTAATTTCTCAGCGATAGTGTGCGCTTCACCTGCTTGTGCAATGCGATAGCTAACTAAGTATGATGCCTCCGTGGCCTTTTCGTTGGTAGTTTGTGTTACATGCATCATATTTTTTTGACTTTCTAATAACTGATCTTTTTTGCGAACAAAAAATTCTTTATTCTTGTCTTTAGTCTCGGGGTGTACGGTTTCTAAATGTCGACGCAATTTGGCAGGTGCCATGGAACTATTAGGAAGCAGTTTACTACAGAGCATGCAGAGAGGTGAGCCGTTGGAATCAACAAATCCGAAACTGATATAAGATTCATCATACTTCCTTTTTTTCGTCTTTGAAACCGTCGAGCTTGACGTCGTGGCACTCGTGGCATCATCTTCTGGATCGGTGATTGCTAAATTCTCCGCGCGCATTGCTTTTGAACATTCAGCGTCATTAGAAGATGTTGTTGGAACACGTTTAACACCTTTAAGCCAACGTTCCATTCTTCTTTATTTATAATGTTACAAGTCAGGATAGTGGGGTTTAAATAATGCACAATCGTTACTGCGTATAAGAGACTAAATTTAGAACCTACAGGGAAGAAATGTATAAAACTGAGACAACAGAATACAGCAGGCAGTAAAACAATGAACACCAGTTTCTCGCTAGCGAGCTTGTAAGTAGGTAGTAACTTATCGCTCCGAACGCTAATCATCAACTGACGACGCCAACGCGCGATCGCCGCTTTTATACTTAGTCCTAGACTCGATCTCAAATATTCTCGAAAATACTCGAGTCGGCACCTTTGATAAACAAAAAGCAAAAATAAAAACAGAAATTTAAAAATAGCGTTGTAAACAATATCGACTTTATCCTTTGAAGTTAGAGACGAAAGTCGCTAGTTGACAACTATAGCGTCTAATTCAGAGGCGGCTTTTATCAAAGAGACTGAGCGCTTACAAGTATACTACCCGCTCGTTTTAAGTTTGCCGCTGGCGATAGGTATGAGTGTATGACGTTCGAAATTTTTTATTTAATTGTAACAATAAAAATTGTGTACGTTAGATATTTGGGTAAAACTATGACACATTATAAGTTTTGTTGTCACGTGGGGGAGGGTACGCGCATTCCACAGACCGGCAAACTTAGAGCGAACGCGTTGTACAAGTATAAAATTGTTGAGACCAAACTTATGAGATATTGTACCAGCTAATGTAACACAAGCTTATACAAATACAAATAAATAAATAAATAACATTCATAGCGTTTTGTCTCCGCGCGGCCGCGGAGTCCGCACAGCCGCGGAGCGACCAGAGAGAGGTGTTTTGATTTTTTTATTTCTAAATTCTTGCGGAACCCCGACAGAGGTATCACGGAACCCTAGGGTTCCGCGGAACACACTTAGAGTATAGCTGGGGTATAGTGTTTAACAGTCTATATATGTATGTTTGTTCCTTTGTGGCACACTAGAAACCAAACGCCAGGACCGATTTTGATGATTCATACATCAATCGATTCGTCTCAATCATGGGAGTGCTACTAAAGATATGATAGTAATCAAAATTCAACATGGGGAAAATGCGGCGCCATATAAGTAAAAAAAATAAGTTGACAAAATATGTCGAGTGGGGTATCATTGTCTAGATAATCGAAAATGTTTAGGTTCCTTACAACATCTTTCATTTTCTATGATTGTTTAGGATCTACAACCCTTTAAAGTTGTATATTTACCACTTTCGCTTTTAATTTCAATCTTACGTTTGTATGGATCTTTGTTACTCTTTCTTCGTTATATGATAATAACATATATATAATAATTTATGTAGTTATTGAGTGAATTGGCAAAAATATAACAATAAGTGTCACATAAGACGGAAAAAATCTGCCAAGTTAAATAGGTAAATTACTTAGTTACATTTTTATATAAAATTAATTCGCAAAATTTATATGGTACTAGCTGACCCGGCGAACTTTGTTCCGCCTCAGAAGGAGTAAATGAGCGATTTTGGATTTTATTAAGTTTAACTTTTTATTAGGCTAATGAATATAAATAAAAAAAACGAGTATTTGAATGATTTTTTTTGGCCAAGTATTTAAAAATTTCTATTGGATAATTAGTGGCTTCATTTTTATTTGTTACACAGTCATAAGATTTGAATGAATGCAGTGTACCAATGATCTCATTCTGCATTATGTAGTTTAAATCATCTACATCTTTATTCTTAGCCGCCAAAATTGCTCGCTCACTCAACCATTTATTATTTTTGTTGTTAGTAATGATGTCTGGAATGGAAACACTTTGTTGCGATGCGACAAAGTTACAGAAATTCTGAGGAAATTAAATCAATCCGCCGCTCGATTCGTCGACAGACACTCGACCATTACCGATAGTTATCAATTGCTCAGAAAAATCTTGAGCAGATGTATTAATTGTTCAGTAATGCAACTCTCATGTTTTTGACAGCTGAAGTTTTTTTACATAGCGTCATAGATTCGATGATTTGTGGCAAGTGTTTATTTCGTCGGACAGTAAAATGATTGCGCCTCCTAAACATATTTTTCTTTTTTATAGCGAGGTAGGCAAATGACTCTACGCCACCTGATGTTAAGTGGTGATAAAGTCCAAACACGAAGATAGCTGGTTAAACAGCAGTTATAAACTACTACACCAACCATCCTCTCATTGCCGGCCTGCAAAAATGCTTTTTCACGCCTCTCTTAAAAGACCCCAGATTGTAGGAGGGAGGGAGCACGCGCACGGGCAAAGAAATCCACTTATCGAGTCATTGATCTTTCAATGTTTGGTTTAGTGCTTCCAATGCACGTTTATGGGTCATTGTACTCGTCCCAGATGATTATTTTCGATGCTGTTAAAACTTTGGCCACTGCGGAGTGTTTTGCAATATTAAATGTTGGTTCTTCAATAGTTTGAAGATTTAATGGCAATTTTAATGCTCAATGAACCTTACGGTATCCTTTTTACAATATGGCTGCTATTCCAGAAGAAGCAACTGCAACCGCAATGTTGGATCTCAACGATGTTCGTTCGTGATTAAAACTACTGACATGAGTAATGTCCTAAGACCATTGTGGTTTAATGGTCTAAGGGAATGTCTTACCAGTTCCACCAGAGGCATCCAGGGAATATTAATCACCATTTCCATCATCAATTACCTTAATTAATTATACATTAATTAAGCTGCCCAGCGCGGTAAATGTTGTCGCTGAAAGTGTTTCAGCACGTTTTATCCCACGGAAACGGGATAAAAAGTATTTTATGCCCGTCTCCTGGTTCTAAGCTCACCCGCCCACCAATCGGTTCAGCCGTTCTTGAGTTATAAATAGTGTAACTAACACGACTTTCTATTATATATAATTTTATATAAGTAGATAATCGTCTCATCGTCTGCAATTGCCTATGGTAATCGGTAATTGCTGATAGGCCGTATACAGAAAGAAAGCCGAAAGCCGATCAGCGCTAATCGGCGCTTATAAGCGCTGATCCTTTTTCTATGGACCAGCGCCGATAAGCGCCGACACGCGCTGGTCAGCTGGTCATTATGATCTATGTTGTCCGACTAATAAATGATTTGTATTTGAATTATTATCCTTAGATTAAATCAATCTAAGTTATAATCTCTTTATAAATCTAATAACTTTATCTTTTATTAGCTAAGTTTCGTACTTACCGAATGGTGACAACAAGTCTTTCTTCTGGAAAGATTGGTTGTTTATGTCAATTACACCAATTTTTCATCAAACGGTTTTTCACTAAATCAAAATGTAATAAAATGCTTCTTGAGTTATTCTTGTATTAAGTATAAAATCTTTGATCATCAAATTTTTTTTGACGTGACAACGTCTTAAATTAGGTTGCGGCTGGGAGTCACTTATGAAAAAGTGTAACGCTCGGTAACGTTACGATGAGTCTCTCGTGTTAAGTTTAAGTTTACATGTACAATGGTGTCAATTCTGACACGATTCTCTAAACCTAAACTTAAATTTGACAACAGTGTATCCTTGTCATTCTCTATACGGAATGAAAAGGAGAGATTGATGTTAAATTTAGTTTTAAGTTTAGAGAATCCCGCCAGAATCGATACCAATGTTTTAGTAAACAAAATATATTTCTATAGTTAAAATTTGTGCAATTCTTATTTTCATTCAATTCCTTGTTCCTATTGTGCAATTTAATTATATTCATATCAATAAATATTCTACCGAGAAAAAGACGTTGTCACGTAAAATCTTCGCCCGTAAAACCGACTTTACAGGCAACCATTTTTTTACAAATAAATGATGGTATTCTCCGAAACGTTTCCTTTCTCTATTTATAGGATGTATAGCTTTTTTTCGCATTTTTAAATACACATTTTCTAACAAAACCAAATCATCGTCCGATGAGTCCGACATTTTGCTTGCTCTGCTTTAATCGGCTTCCTTTATGTAGTAAGGATCAGCACCGATAAGCGCAGATCGGCTTTCGGCTTTCTTTCTGTATACGGCCATAGTGTGACGAGCCAGGAATGTATGAACTTTGTATCCTTTGCAATAAAGCCCTAGTATTAGAAACACTACAAAAAAAAAGTAACAGAAAAAAAATGGCGGGCGGTGAAGTAGAACTAGCGCAATCTGCTTCTCCAGGCGGCGATACGATATTTGGAAAGATTCTGAGGAAAGAAATACCTGCAAAATTTGTATACGAGGATGACCAGGTATCGTAATCTTAAACAAATGTTATATAACTAGCGAGTGTCAGAATATTTTTCAACCGGTGAAATTTGACGATCAGCTGATAAGTTCGCCGACAATTTAGGGAAAAGTACCCAATCATTGGCACTCTTCCTATTATTTGAGTTTAGTTCGAAAAAACCAGGAAACAATTCATTATAGGAATAATGCTGCCAATTTTCAAATTTCGAAACCATACTAGGTTTTTCTTTTTCTTAAGTAACGACCTTTAATAATGGTGCCAATTCTGGCGTGATTCTCTAAACTTAAAACTAAATTTGACATTAGTCTCTCCTTTTCATTCTGTATAGAGAATGACAAGGATATACTGCTGTCAAATTTAAGTTTAGGTTTAGAGAATCATGCTAGAATCGACACCATTGTCTCCTTGTTTTTTTCGAATTAAACTCAAAAGTACCAATAATAGCTCGAGTGCTTGTTCAAAAGTGCCAATAATAAGACGAGTGCGTGGTTTCCCGTACTTTATTTTGCGCCATTTCATTAGTAGTAGCTTTGCTTTGTTAAAGCTACGTAGAATGTCTGACGTTTAAATAATAATAATAAATTGACATGCTGAATCGAGTTTTAGTTAAGTCCCTACTTAGTTAAAACTTGGGGCAGGGTAGTGAAATCCTACGTGGTACCTATCAATAACACAAAAAATATTGTTAACGCTTTAGAGATTGAGCAAGGAAAATCAATCATAGTAGGACAAAGAAAAAAATGTCTTAGTGCCATATACTTCTTGTAATTTGTTGGAGATTCCTGATGGGATGTCGCATTTTAGTTTTGCTCACTTTACTGAATTTGCAGGAATACAATACTACCCACCTCATTCATTATATAATAACAATTTTATCTAATATAATAACATAATCTAATATAATAACAATTTTATCTAATATAATAACATAATCTAATATAATAACAATTTTATGGAAATTTGACTATTGGTACTTTAACATTGCATCCTTTTTTTCAGTGTGTAGCATTCAATGATGTGAATCCACAAGCACCAACCCATATTTTAGTGATTCCTAGGAAACCCATATCGCAGCTTTCCAAAGCTGAAGATGAAGATGAACAGTTGTTGGGTATGGTTAATTTATTAGTTATATTATATCTTAATAATTAAGCATATGAGTTAGGTTTGGTTAGGGTTTTGAGTCTTCTTGTAAAGATTCAGACGTGCAGAATATTGTAAATAGGTATTAGAAGAATTAGTAGAAAGTCATTGTGTATAATACAAGCCTGAGAACAAAAACTATAGTCTACATTACAGCTCTACACCAAAGCCAAGCGAGAGCGGGCCACTAGTAATATTTGTAAAGATATAATATTTATATAGAAATACATATTAAACAGCCATGACTGGAGTACAAATGCTCGTATTCATCACACAAGCATTAGCCCCCACCAGATTTGAATCTGAGACACCTGAAAACCTTACTACGCCACGGAGGTCGTCACAGGATAGAATACATAAAAGTATAAATAGAAATACAAATTGTAGAGCAGCATCCGCCATTAAGTGCTGCCTGAATCTGAATTACAATTATATTGTAATCTGATATTTATGTTTCTTCACATAGGTCATCTTCTGACAGCAGCCCGTAAAGTAGCAGCTCAGGAAGGTTTGGACAAAACTGGTTTCCGTCTCGTCATTAATGATGGAAAAAATGGCTGTCAGAGCGTTTACCACCTTCACATTCACATCTTGGGAGGACGACAGCTGGGCTGGCCACCAGGCTAATGTGAACTTTATTCCTGAATGAATAAATGCTGTTTCTTATTGTACGTTCTTTTTTATTGTCTTGCTGCTGGTACTTTTGTTGCATGCAGAAAGACACATATAGATATAGCCAGCAAAGAATTCTAATTTTGTAGCATATTGTATCAGTCGCCAAGTTTTTCTATCTATGGGTACGTAAATGAAACCACTAGTTTTCATAATAATAATCAATTTATTAAGAGTTAAGGTTCCCAAATATGAGTAAACACAACAGTGTGCCACAACAACTAACATAACTTTGAATCTTAAATCTATGAGTGATAAGATCGATTTTGATCACAGTCGGAGAGATTTCTTGTTAGGTAGTAGCATATTTAAATGTCAAAAAATATTTAAATCTTCCTATCATTCCTGTCACAAAAAACATCATGGAAAAATATGTAGTTATAAATTCGTATTTTATCTTTGAAGATATTGTTTTCAATAGGGTTGACGATTAACTTTTTCTCTTTGTTGATTAGGTAGATTTCTTTACTCGCATATTTAAAACATTACAGAGATGTAATTATTTTGATTTGAAATGTCTAAGAAAGAAGTCAAATAAGTTTTAATAAGAAGTGACGTAACGAGCCCCCACCCCAAACTAATCGCTTTATTTCCGTAATATTTTGGTTGATTGACAAAAGAAAAAATTAGTGTCCATTATATTTTGATAATCTGACGGACTTAATAGAATTTCGTTTACATAACCCCGTCATCCCTATTGTTAGTATACTAAGTTGATAATAAGTGTAAATAATAAACAATATACATACATGTTCTATTGATTATTCTGTGCATAATTGCTTAAACTGTAACTTATAAGAAAATGATCCGCTGAGAAAGAAAGAAAACTTAATGCGTAGACGATGAACTTATATTAGACGACCATTAAGAAAGGGTCTAGTATGATAATTTTTAAAGATTATCATCGATTTCGCGCTTTAAGAGCTTCTTTCAATCATTTTCGCGCTCAAAGTATCGTCATCATAATTACACACATTCGTCTATAGTGCGTAATTTTTGAACAGGTGTTCGAAAAATCTCGCTTGTATACAATTAGCATTGAACCTTACTGCCACCACATAACGTATTAATTTAAACAAATGTGTTACTTGTATCTGTATAAGTTGATAATAGAACGCCACTCGGACGTTTTTTGATGCCCTTTTGATAGGCGATTGGGAGTCTTAAAGTCACACCTTAAGACTCCCAATCGCCTATAAAAAGGGCATAATGAAGCTGTACTTACATAGTCGATCCTTTGTAGACTGGACATTTATTTACTTTCTGGTAATATTTTTGGTTTTTGATGATGACACAAACAGTGAACATTGTTCAAATCTCATATCAAAGTGTACGAGTTTACTATTTATCCCGTATCATGTATATAGACTGCTAAAACTCATACGTTTGGCAACCCTACGCGGCGCGTCTTCGCACGCGACAACACACATCGTGGAATCGTACGCACCTTTATAGTACGATTCAAATAAGAATAGGAACGCCAATGACCTCCTCAAATGTCGCATAACAAATATTGATAATTAATATTGTTTGATATTTTGTTTTCATATAATGAGCTTTGGCTATGACTGGTTGATAACCTAAATCGTCACCAAAATGTCACTTTAAGTTGCGTTCATAAACTCGATTTAAAACTTTCGTTTACATATAGAATGCATGTTTGTATGTGACCTAGTATTAGGTAGTGCATGATTATTCAATACTACTCCGGCGGTAATGCAGAGATGAGCGGAATTGAAGAGCTAGATTCTGATTAATGTTTTTTCTCACAGTCTTAATAAATAAATATTATTAAAAATCAGTTGTTTTTTTCTTAATCTTAGTATGTATTAATAAATCAGATGATTTTTCTCACTTAATATTAGTAAATAAATTTTATTAAGTAAAAGTTCTTTTGCTCACTCTACCTATTTGTTTTGAATTGACAGCTATTACGTCACAATATGGCGCCCAGTCGGTCCTATTCTTAGTTGAATCGCATTAAACTTGTTTTTTTACGTAACGCTTTCAATACAATAAAAAATTACATGAGATCATAAACAGGATATAGAGGTAGTAGATAAAATATTTACCTACACTAAGTAAATAATATAAGCAATTTAAAAAAAAAGATTTTTGTTTTATAGATATTAATCATCATAAATTTGAGTAAAACGCTAGCCTTAACAAAATGTAGCCCATGTTGATGGCGGGCGGGGACCGACCGCCTTTAAACTTTTTTACAAAAAACAGGTCACTTAAAAAATTATAACTTGGCACTAGGTAGCTTTAAACTTCCGTGCTACATTTAAAATTAACGTCAGTCCTACATATATTTTTATATATTTATTTTATATTCATTATATTCAAAACCCTCCGTTTCATAAAAATACATATTCATCAAAAATAACATCGTCTACCTAATTACATTGTATTTTCCTCTTTACATAAATGTAAGTTTAATAATAATAAATACAACTTTTGAAACTAATTAATATATTAGATACAACATTGAAGCTAATGCGAAACTGTGTTTGTCTGTTTATATTAACTCTTCATGCTTCGGTTGCTGAACCAATTGAGATGTAATTTGGCATAGAGTTATCAGTTTTTATCCCCGAAATTATTCGTTAAGAGACTGATGAGGAGGTGGAATTCTGTATGAGAAACATTTATTTCCAGACAGACGAATTCGCGGGCACTAAGGCACCTCGCACACTAGACGGCAACGACCACATTAAGTAAAGTTGGCCGTTGCGGCCACTGGCCGTGGTCGACCAGTGCGCGAGGCGCCCTATTAGTAAAAAATAACCATAGGCCGATTGTGTATGTAAATAATTCCATAAATATATATGTATGGCATCTGACCTGGCCCTTGAGCCGCCTTTCTACTCTCTTTCTCCGAAACGAACTTTCAATAACGAATTTATTTTTTTCTTAGGTTTTATTTAATTTTCGATAACCAAGTTCGAACGAAATTTAATTTCGTAATTTAAGGTTATAGATACTTAATTTGAATGATAAACTACCAAATGGAAGCTTTCTTTGGGTAGGCTTAGAAAATCTACACCTCAATCTATATTCCGACGACGAATATTATTATAATGAAAAACGAACTTGAAACATAGTAAGAAAAGTGCGAAGTTTCATTCGAAATTTCGTTTTTCGTTTAATTACAGTAGGCACACACCTCCTACCATTGAACGCTTGGTTCGAAAGGACCCAACAACATCAATAACATATATAATTACTAGATATTATGCTATGCCACTAAAGCTAATATTTATCTGTGTTTACCGAGATAAAAACTAAGAGTATATATAAATATATTATAATTAATAACTAAAGGAACTTAAGAATATCACACGTAAGAATGACAATATTTCAAATACTGTTTATTCCTATCATAATTTTAATATATATAGAAAATGCTTTTATACACTGAGATCCAAATATAAGAGGAACAAGTTTAATATACAAATTTTAAGATTAATTTAATAGGTGACTCTAGTTTTTAAAACGTCAAAATGAAGCTGTACACAAATTTCCAGGTTGTAATCTCAAATTCCGAGGTAAAACCCTAAAGTGACTGGACTACATGGTTTCAGAATCTATTAAAGAGGATTCATATCATGGAAGGAGATAAACTCTTATATGCAACTGTTATAATTAGGTATATGACACTCTTAGCTACAACTTATTAAGCCCACATTAGTGTCTTAATACCGCACATTAAACAACAGTTGCATAAGTAACTATTACGACTTAATATAATAATGGTGTCGATTCTGGCACGATTCTCTAAATCTAAACTTAAACTTGACAACAGTGTATCTTTGTCATTCTCTATACGGAATGAATAGGAGAGACAGATGGTAAATTTAGTTTTAAGTTTAGAGAATCGCGCTAGTGTCGACACCAATATGTACTTAAATATATATTTTTTTCTTAATGTGTTTTTATAACACTTATTTATTCATATAGATGATAAAAGTCAAATTTTCTACCATAATTATGTTGGTGAAATATGAATTAACAATTTATTTATTATATAGGTAAGTACCCAATTTACACGAATATCGCTTTTACTGCTATCTTATTAAGACACTGTTAATGTCAAATAGTTTCCTTCAAGGAAGCTTTTACTGTACCCAAAAATGACCGCCTTAATTCTCCTACTTCATAAATAGACATAACAATTTTTATTTATATCCATCCAAAAATATACACACATTTATATATCATAATTCCTTTGCTGATGGTTTTCACACAATGTTGCAGCAATGTATAGGACTATCGATATTATTGGAAAGTAGTCACAGTATTAATTGTATCGATGGCAAAAAAAACCGATACTTTCATAATAATAGTCCCAAAAGGTTAACGATTTTTAATAAAGATTTCTATCAATGTCTTTGTTCTATCGCTTATTTTTACAACTATCAATAGTACTGTACTCAATAGTATCAATAGTACTACTCGATAGACGTATCGATATGTGAATACATATTTACCATGGTCAACTATCTAGTCCGGCAACACTAGTTTCAACAACAAACTGAGTGCGGCTGGCGTCATATTTTAATTATTCTTCGAATTCATTCATAGTGGATATTGTGAAATAAAATTGGTGTGATTTTGTGTTACAACCGTCTGCGTAACTGAAGAATTAGTAGAATCGTCAAAATATACGCTATTCCGGTCAAGTGGACGTGAGAATTTTATTATAGTATTGACTACCTCACAGAAGCTTATCGAAAAAGCCAGCTCGATACATTTCGTGCCAAACACTTCAAGAAACATTAGAATGGGTAACACCGACATTCTAATGTAAAAAGAAAAACAGAATAATTTAACTTAAGACTAGGCTGTATGGGCATTGTTCCCCTTGCCTTCCCTGAAAAGGGAGAACTTAACCAAAAAAAAGAAAAAGCAACTTCGCCATTCAGATGACCGTGAAAAAGAAAACCTTAAACTCTGTCAATAAAAAGATTGTTTTAGGGTGCGGCCAGAGTGCACTCAGATTCAGATTCTGAAAACAAGCGCGAGAAATAAACAGTGTAGTCTAAGCAGGTTGCCTGCTTTTTCTCGCGCTTTGTTTTCTGAGTCTGAATCTGAATCAGGAGTGCACTCTGGCCGTACCCTTCGACTACACTGTTTATTTCTCGCGCTTGTTTTCAGAATCTGAATCTGAATCTGAGTGCACTCTGGCCGCACCCTTAGGCAAGTGACAGGCTGGCAAAATTGACAAACCTCCAATACCACTATTACAAACCTATCAATATCAAATGTGAAACTGATGTAACTCCTAGACTCATACTAATTTATAAATTCGAAAGTGTGTCCGTCTTTCTGTTACCTCTTCACACATAGACCGCTGAACCGACTTAGATGAAATTTGGTACTAAAGAGATAGTTCGAGTCCCAAGAAAGGACTTAAGACATACATAAGAATAAGTTTTTATCCCAGAAATCATCTTGTAATCATACACCTTTGACAATCTGCCAACCTCGCGAGAAAAGTTACCAAGTTACAGTTAGTTATGTACGATCGATGCAACAGATTCCTGACACACTTGCCAGACATTTCGCTTAAAAATGTCAAAACAGACATGTTTTTCCTTGTAAAGAATGCGTCATGACCTTCTAATAACAAAGAAACTGTGTTAATATGGAGCAAAGATATTTGAAAATTAACCTGTATTTTTAAAGACATAGATCATGCTATGGCCGAATTACATTTGTAGCCCAGTCATTTTAGGGGTTTCACCTCGGAATGAAAGATACAAATTGGTATAGACCTTTGTTTTGTCGTTCTAAATGTTGTCTCAAAAGTCACAAATGATACCGTGTCCGCGTCTTAAGATATTGAAGGTCAAAGGTCATAAAAACGGGTTTTTCGTGAATATCTCGCTTTCTATTGTTTAAATGATATTTGTACTTATTATAAAAGTTGTAGAGTATAAAATTCTCTACAATTTTTGTTTCATGTTTTTTTTAATACGGTCAACCGTTTTTGAGGTAGAGCGCGAAGAGTGCGCAGCGCACAGTCATATATGGTCCTATGCAAGGTCAAGCGTGAGTTACGGTTATCAGTACGTTATATCAAGTCTATTATTTATTAAATTATTATAATTATTAAACAATGGCCATTATTTATGTACTAATGTTTAATTGTTGATATTTTATTAAAATCAGTAACTTAATTATTTATATTTAACTATTCAACTATAGTATATTATTAATTCTGGAATATATATTTTAGTTAAAACGTTTCTAAATCGTATGAAGTTTGTTTTGACGAAACAATGATTGTGCCAATCAGCCAAGAGAAATTTTTATCAAATCGGTCTAATAAAACAAAATTTATCTACATGCTTGTCGAAAAATTAAAAACTATTGATATCACAACAAAAAAAGCCAGAGATGATGCTGATGTTCTCATCATCGAGACAGCTATTGCATTATCAGAACATCAAAAGACTGCCGTCATCATAGGAGAAGATATTGATTTGCTCGTTATTCTAATTGGGCGTACTCAATCACATCAACAGGAAATTTTCTTTAAAAAAGTTGGGAAACGCAATGTTAAGACGCAAATATACTCTTCCAAAAGTTTTGATCAATATCCGCGTACTAAAAAACACATTCTATTTTTACACGCATTTAGTGGCTGTGACACGACTTCTGCGCTATTTAAAAAAGGAAAAAAAACTGTTACTAAAGCATTGGTGAAAATTCCCAATTTGGATAAACTGGTGGAAGTATTTCAACAAGAAAACTGCCCGGTACAAACATTATTTGAAAATGGAGTGCGCATCTTGTTGGCATTATATAATGCTCCAAAATCTGAGGACAACATTGATCATTTTCGCTACACGCAATTCATTAAATTAACGAAACTAAATAAACCTGTACAATTGTCAACACTTCCACCAACAAGTGTAGCAGCTCATCAACATATAAATCGCGTCTACTACCAGATTCAAACGTGGTTAGGGAATGACTTAGAACCTCAAGAATGGGGCTGGATGCTTGAAAATGGAATCCTGGAGCCCATAAGAACGTTATTACCTCCAGCACCAACCGAACTACTAAATATAATATTTTGCAATTGCAAAAATGGTTGTCGTTCCCGCTGTGGATGCCGAAAATCAGGGCTACTATGTTCTTTAGCTTGTGGCCAGTGCAATGGACAAGCTTGCCTAAACGCTGCACAATATCCAAGTAATCCCGATGAAGAAAACGCATACGATCCTGAAATTCTGGAGGGTTTGGAGATGAATATGACCGATAATGAGGATGATGACAATGAATTGAACGTTTTCGAGCGACAACAAGAAGAAGACGACGAAGAAGATGAAAATAACTAGCTTCTTTTCACAATTTTATTATAATCAAAACCAATAAAAATTCTTATGATATTTAAACTGACATTTCAACAAATGTATAGTATGGCATATTTAATGATAAATAAAGATATGCATAAAATATATCCCCTTATTGTCTTTTTAACTGAAAATATATATTCCAGAATTAATAATATACTATACTTGAATAGTTAAATATAAATAATTAAGTTACTGATTTTAATAAAATATCAACAATTAAAAATTAGTACATAAATAATGGCCATTGTTTAATAATTATAATAATTTAATAAATAATAGACTTGATATAACGTACTGATAACCGTAACTCACGCTTGACCTTGCATAGGACCATATATGACTGTGCGCTGCGCACCGGTTGACCGTATTAAAAAAAACATGGAACGAAAATTGTAGAGAATTTTATACTCTACAACGGTATCATTTGTGACTTTTGAGACAACATTTAGAACGACAAAACAAAGGTCTATACCAATTTGTAGCTTATTATCTTTCATTCCGAGGTTGACCCCTTTTTTTACCTAATATGACTGGGCTATTGGTCGTTAACTGTATTCGGCTGCACGAAAAATATTAGCTGAATTCGGGCACCCAAAGCAAGATTAAAATCATTTTTACTCGAATACGGGCTGAAAGACGGCGTCTGGTAAACAAAACGAAAACTGTCCCAATACGGGCGTACTCGACTCCGTTCATTTACACTTCGTCGTTTGTCCGAAGTCCGGCTAACGACCAAATGTAATGGAGAAGTATAAGCAAAGCTCAACATAGATGGCGCTGCAAACGCTTGACCCAAACCACAGCCGAATATGGCAGCCGTCAAATTTTAAACGAGTATTTTGTTGTTAAAAATAAGTGGCGAAAATGTATTCAACACTGTCTGTAATACAGCTGAAAACAGAGTTAAAAAGGAGAGGAGCATCTGTGCAAGGCACAAAAGCTGATCTTGTAGAAAGGTACTGTTTTTATTATTATGCTACAATGCTCATTCTCGGTACATAAATGCATTTTCCATGATTATTTTAATAGTTCATGGATCTCAGTAACTTTTAGCGGGCTCATTAGAGTTAGGTTATCTCTGGCTAAAATGGGAAGTATAACATTGGGTTTTTTAAAGACTTGAGGCATGTGACCGCAATTTGAATTTTGGTGTAGTTATTTCTAATCAAAATGAAGACATCCAGATGCAATTACGTGTCCCAGATACATACCATGATGTAAACAGCAGCTCAGTTCTACCCCCTTTTCAAAGCAGCATATAAAATTATATTTTAGTCGGTAAGCATGCAGTTTACTCACAACATCCAGGAATCGCACAACGCGGTATTTCTAATATGTTAAAAAAAAGCTTAAGAATGAATATAAGCAAATAGGTATGTATTTGATAGAAGTTTTGGGACAAGCGATTACAGCGCCCCTAGTGGACAAATTTTGCAGATTTCTAGTCCATTGCTTCATTATAGATAAAATTAAAAATAATAGTTTGAACTTAAAAAACACTTTTAAAAGAGTAAATGTAACAGAAACTCTTACGATTTCTTGACATTATAAAAAAAAGATGGTAAACTAACATGGACAAATCCTTAGTCCATGGGCAAAACTCCAAATAATTTAATGTCAAAATGATGACACAAGATGGCGGCAAAATCTGTTACGTCAAATATGATGGTTCAGAAAATACCGAGTTTGTTTCGAGGGATACGTACATTTAAGTAACAATCTACCTTATTGTTTTTAAAATTGTAAAAAATAAGCTTCTCGTGGGCCAGGAATCAAATTGGCTGATCGTATATTCAGTTATAGTACACATGTGTAATGCTGTCGCATTCATTACATAGTTGGTAAAGAGTTTACTTATGTCACATTACTATTCATAAAACTTGCTTTAACAGACTGAGATTAATTTTATTTGATAAGGTTCCCAAATGAGTGATTTTTTTTGACTTCTATTGTTAAAAGTACGTGTATTCATTTCTTTCCCTATTAATATAATATTCATATGCTATATGATCAGGCTTTTTGGAAAGCTGTTCAGTTTAGTTTAGTTTAAACTCAATATATTACTAAACTAATTGTTGTCTTTCCCTATTGTTATATTAAACAAAGTGACGACTTAAACTTTAATCAAACTTAACAATCATTTGCCATTTCTTATGTCGCTGTATGAAACATAATAATTAATAAAAATAAATTTCAACATACCTCAATAAACAGTACATTTAGTCCCACGCAATGCTGAATCGCAATCTGTCAATGCCAGCAAAGAGTCTGAAATTGTTATCCACAATATGTTGGAGAGATACATGGTCAATGTCCAGTAGTAATACTATTTGACCCCTTGACACTTCGACGTCGAGAACAGCCCAACTTTCCGTCGATAATCCATCATTATAACTTTCTATGGTATTGAAGAATTTCTTCAAATTAATACCGAAGTAGCTGTTCACGATAACTTTCATTTTACGATTGCTCCCCTCTCGATAGAAATGTTCTTTGACAGTGAATTCCATTTGGCTGGCAACGCTTTTGACAAGTGCCACGCCAACTTCGTTATGACAGCCGTAGATTACCGTGCCATTTTCGACGCCATGACACTCGAGCAAAGGTCGATTTGCAGCAGTATATATTTTATCAGCTAAAGCCGATTGGAATTTCTTCACTTGATCATTGCTTATATCGTCACTGTCTTTCGGTTTTAGGAATAAATAAGTGACAGGCGCGTCGATTTTAGTTTTCTTCATAAGTTTGATTGAATCATCCGAATCGGATCTCGCTCTTTTGCTATCTGTATTGATGTTGGAATTTGGTATTTCTTGGCCGTTTACAGCGATGTCTTCATGAACTATGTTTTTATATTCTTGTTTAATTTCTTCACTAAAAGACACATCTCTAGACATTTTTTCATTTGCAGATGTCTTCTCGTTTACTTCTTCTTTGATAACGAACGAATCGTCAGATGCGATCTCGTTCCAGTCATCTACACAGTTTTCTACATTGCCTGTTACTTTACTGTCCTTTCCAATAACATTTTGAATAACCTCAACGGAGGCTTCGTCAAGTTCTTCTTCTATAATTTTAGCGTCTTCTTTGTTTTTGTTAACAGTAATACTATTATTATTATTTGTATAATCGCTGAGTTCTTTAGATTCAATGTTTGGATATTTGCCTAAAGGTTGCCGGAATATTATTGATCTGTAAACAGAGAATACATCCCATGAATCACTTTGCTAAAGGACATTCGGCAAAAATGTATGGACGCTGCACCCACGTCCGCCACGGCTTAAACTACATTTGTTTGAAAGTTATTATAGTCCTGATCATCTGTGCCAAAGCGCATCAAATCCCATTCCGGGTGTCTTTAGTTATTTTAGGTTAAATATGTACAAGTACACCCTACAAAGGGAGCTCAGGTATTATGGGAGTACTTTACCGCTTAAGTTATTCTGCCACGCTAAAGTAAATTCAAAAATACCCGGATGGGTTCGGGGTTTTTCAAACAGTCTGTTCGTTGTAGTAAATTGTCTTCTATGTAAAACGGGGCGACGACAAACTTGTCCAAGCTTCGGAGAAAACATGATTCCAGTTCATCCATACTAATTGATGAAATCGATAATCATGCTCAAATGTCCAAAGCGTGTTAGTTAAATATCAAGTGACAGGGAGGGAACGTACAATCACAACGGAGTAAGACGAGTCGACTATTTGCAACTGCAAGTCCTTCAACCCCCGTAAGCCGTTTTGTGGTGGCTCAGTAAATGCAAGCGCAGGATGGTCGGCAGACTTTATCGTATATCTGGTTGTATAATACGATATGCCATATTATTATGGTTTCTAATTATATAAGATGAAGGTACTATAAAATTAATTTGTTTAGCTACTTAAATATGCCCATAAGTCATATCTTTAAACTACCAGGATATTTTTTACTGTGTCTTTTGACTACCAGGATATTTTTTACGGTGTCATATCTTTTGACTACCGGGATATTATTTTACAGTGTCATAATAAAAAAGGCTAGTTTTTCATAGATCTATCGATTCAATTAGATTGTTGTCGGAGCTGGGTGTGTTTTGCCCTTTGTCCTTTATAGTGTTTATGTTTATTAATTACAAATACACTTTTGTCTTAAACGAGATCTCATAAGGTCATCATTTCTTTGCATAAAAATAGGTCCATAGCATCTGTATTAAAATCTGATAAAGTAATAGACTTATCATTGTTTTAGCTAAAACTGAGTTGTTACAACAGAAAACGCAGACGATACTGCGTCTTAAAAAAATTAGATGTCATTTCATTTGTCTCAACCGATTCCATACATAATACTCCATAGATTAAATGACTTTCACATTTATAGATACACATTATTGTATTGTAGCTAGTCTACTAGCATTTCATCATTAACCATACTTAGTTGAAGTTGGTCTGAATAAAAAGGTAAGTTTTCATTACCCGACAAATAAAACCTTACCTATTTTGGTCGCAATCCACAGATATCTTTTTGTTTTTGGCATACTTCAATATTTCCATACCCAAATCGTATTCGATGGAAGTCTGGCAAACAGGCGTACCGCGCGCATTAACTCGTTGCACGAAAAAGTTTGCGAACGCAACGAACTTCTTGGACAAATCGAAATCAAACTTTATTGTATAATCTGGAAGATCGCTTTTCAGAAACTCCAACAATTTGAATTGAAGAATGATAGCTAGGCCATTTCTCGTCGCTACGGAACCGGTCGCATTGCATAGATGACCAATGCTTTTGGCGTTTTTCGCAGTAATTAATATAGGTAGTTTAGTGCACTTTTGCTTAATTTCTTTATCTTTGTTTGTTGGTAGAGTTTTGGGCTCTTTTGCTTCGCTGGGTTTCATGTATTTCGTGAGAACAAGGTTTCTGTAAATAAGTTTGTTTTGTACAATAGGTTTTCGACGCGTTCGAATGATTGTGATCTAATGCTTTCAGCTATAATTCTCAATAGTTTCTGAAATAAATTTGAAAAGAAAATACTATTCAAAGATATATTTTCGTTCTTTCATACTTCCTATTCAGATACAGATATTTTAATGTAAAAAGCGTATAATTTTTTTAAAAACCTTTCCTTCCATATCTTCTTATACACAATCTATCTTTTTTCCAGTCCTATAACCATCTTCATCTTACTTACCCTTTGTCAACTGAAAAGGCGCAGCTTACACAAACATCAGGCTCACACAATAATTCCTCCATAACCTCATTAACCACTACTGTAGCCGCTTCTTCAGATTCCTGACTAATTTCTTTTCTCTCATTACAAAGCCGTACTGTGTTAACGATATATTTCTTTTGTGAATTCGTAAGTGGTGTTTTAAACTCGATGATGCGCTTTTGCCAGTCTTGTTTCAAGAGGTACAGTACTTCTTTTAAGAATTCATATCGGAAAGCGCCAGTGATTTTAGATTTGTTCTGGGGTTTTACATGACCTAAGCCTGCACCGGGAGACTAAAAATAAAATAAAGAACACGTTATAAATGTTTACTATTATTGTAAGTTTAGGTTTATGTGGTATCACTGCCAATAAATGGGATGGGTTACATTATACCATACTCTATTGAACTTCCTCTGAGACAAAAACGGTTAGGATACATCGGTGTATGTGTTTACCTTTTATCTATACTCTAGATAGCTTGGCCGGTGTAACTAGGCTGATTACGAAAATTCACATTGCAACGTAAATTATTTGCTTTATCACTACTCTTCAATTTAGTAGTATTATAAACAAAGTTGGACTGAAAGGGAATAGCTTCAGTTTTAGGTCTTATTAATGTCACTTCTTTTAAATTATGATTTTACATGCGTATAAAATTCGACGTTTTGACATCTTTTTATGGTTTTGTCTCAAAGGAAGTTTAATACAGGCAGTCCTCGTACTTAGGGCATGTAAGGTTCTCGAAATACGCGACGTAAATCGAAACGACGTAAGTCGAGATATATTTTTTCATATGTTTACATGTAAAACTCAACGGTAGACCTCGCGACAAATGAATTCTCTTATGCCGGAAATCGAAACAATTGACGTATGCTTGAGGAATAGTGTAAAAACATTGTTCGACGTAACTTGAAAAGACGTATATCGAGGACTGCCTGTATAGTGACCTATCCGCCATTACTTTTTTGACATCATGATTGTAATTTATACATGCAAATCTTCCGGAAAAAAACATGTTAGAAATAAGTGAAAAAAAAACACCCTGAAAATACATTCAGTACCTTTAGAGATTATCGAGATCTTGCAGACAGATGCGGGCCCTTTTTAAACAATGATTAATGTAGTGATCTTAAATGTTGAGCAATTCAATAATATTTCACTTACCAAATGCAAAGCAGGTACGATTGGTTCAGTTATGCCTTCGCCCCGGAGACCCAGAGGGCCGCCTTGCCATCCCATTTGTTTCATCATTCTAGAGTATTAATTATATTTATAATGGAGATTTGCTATTATTACAATTGTCTAGTTAATTAGATAAGAAAACTGATAGCTTAAGAACATTATAACACATGTCAACTATCTTACAGATATTTATTTTTTGATTGCGAATTATAATGTATTTCAAAAACTGTGCTTTTCGCGGAACTTTAAAGCATATACTGATGTCGATTCTGGCGATTCTCTAAACTAAAACTAAATTTAACATCAGTCTCTCCTTTTTATTCTTTATAAAGAATGGCAAGGATACACTGTTGTCAAATTTAAGTGTAGGTTTAGAAAATCTATACAAATAATAGACACTATTTTATGATATCGAGCTAAAAACTGCAAACAAAACTGTTAAGGGGGATTCCAATCGACTGTGACAGCCAGACAACTGAGATTATGGTAATAAAGTTATTTACGGGATTGTTACCATGTACCTTGTTTTTAGCGATTTTCCGGTACATGGTAACAATCTCGTAAATAACTTATATTACTTTAATGTTAGTAACCATGAAAGTTTGAAAACAGTAGACAACTGAGAGATCCTATAAGGGTTCCGTTTTTGTTTTTGATTTGAGGTACGGAACCTTAAAAATATACTTTATTTATTAAGTTAAAGGTATCGCGATGTCTTTTTAACTTTATTGGAATCAAGTTATTTGCAAAATTATTTCACTTACCATTGGCATAATTACAGATTCGTATTAAATAGAGTGACACTAGTGTGTGTAGTGTTGTGCCGAGTCAGCTGTTTTTAGTATTCCAATATTTTGTTACTGTACATATATAAGTATATTTATATAAATACATATTAAACATCCACGACTGGAGTACAAATGTTCGTATTCATCACACAAACATCTGCCCCCACCGGGATTCGAACCCGGGACCTCTCGAGTCGGCGACAGCCATGAAACCCGGCGTACAAACCACTCGGCCACGGAGGTCGTCAAATTATTGGGTTTTTATACCGCGTTGTCTTCCTTCTTGGTGCACAATAGTTATTTACAACACATTTGCTCAAAAAATACATTTACGGAGGTTTGTATACATTGTGCGAAAGTTCAAAATTACGGGTTATATATACAACTGAGCGTGCGGTAAAACATTTTACTGCACGCGCCCTTTACGGTTTTTTTAATTTCATTCAAACCTCCTTAGAAGCGCTTTCAATCTATACCTTTGTCTCACTAAAAAGAAGGAAATTAATGATGCAGTTCTAATTAAAATCTATTTACCTGAAACATAGGACAATCCTAGTTCAGGCTGTGTAGTTTTTTCTCATTTTGTATTTTATAGATTTAAGTCATTTACATGTAATTATTGATATTGAATATGGATTTATTATTATTATTATTTTCTTATTAGTAAAGGTTTGCTTGATTAGTTCAATAAGGTAAGAATACTGTTCTCGCAAATGTGTTGAAAACGTTCCATGACATTCGTGTGTATTTGCAAACTCATGACAATGGAAAAACTGCGTCTCAGGCTGACATTCGTCTACTTGTTTGTAATAACAAACTTACGGCAATAATATCATATATAACTATAGGTTACTATTGGTTATTACAAACAAGTAGGCGAATAATAATAATAAATAAATATTTCCAACATTCACACTAATTAGCCTAGCTCCAAAGTAAGCACTGTAAGGCTTGTGTTATGGGATGCTAGGGTAATGGATAGAATACATATACTGTACATATATAGTAATACGTATAAAACATTCACGCCTGGAGTACAAATACTCGTATTCATCACCAAAATCTGCCCCCACCGGGATTCGAACCCGGGATCTCTCGAGTCGGTGACACTATGAAACTCGGCTTACGAACCACTCGGCCACGGAGGTCTTCAATGTAAGAGAGGAGGAGTAGAGGAGGCCTATTTCCAGCAGGGGATATCCATTGGCTGCTTATGATAATGATAATAAATTTTAAATTTCTAAGTAAATAACTAAGTACATACTTTTACTTAGCTACCTCGGACAAAGAATTAGTCTAGCCATTCAAAGAGGTAACGCTGCCAGTATCTTCGGTTCCTTGCCTAAAGGGACTCCTTTTAATAATATATTTTAGTTATTAATTTTATGTTTTAAGGTTTTTAGTTTTAGTTTTATTGTTCTAGTATTTATATTTTACTTATTTAAAGTAATTATGTAATTAGATAGAGATTTATTTGTTTATAGTTAGTGTATTTTATAGTTTTATGATGTGAAATTGTTACTATTGTAGTTATATTTTTATTTTTTAAGCTAAAGAGTTAACCATAAATAAATTCAAAGATAGTATAAAAAAGTACTTACTGAAAAAGCTTATATTACAAAGTGTCTTATTTTATACACACATAATTCCCAAGTATTCACCATGCCTGACATTGATTTCAGTGTGTAATTTGTTGTAAAAAAATCTGTATAATCATACTTTTTATTTAAATATTAGTACTATGAAATAACTTAAAATCATGTAGGAGGCATACACGCAAACAGTTTCTAGAATAATAGTTTGTAGTAAATTACGTCATGTTCTAATGAAAAGTCAGCGTATAATGTCCCGCCCATACTGAGTCATAATTCATACGTGTAATTATAAAAAAACCCACAGCACTTCAATTTGCATTTAAAAAGACTATTAAAGGTACTATTTCATAGCGTACCTAGGTAATAAGTCATAAAATAAAGAATCGAGTTAGGACTCGAGTCGAAAGACTCGGATTACTAGCACGAGTATTCGAATACTTCAGTGAACTCGAGTACTTCTGGAATTAAACATTACAGTTTGCTTTTGACAAAAAATCTCGATTCGAACCCGGGGCTTCTCGAGTAGGCAACACCTTGAAACCCGGCGTACATACCACTCCAGTTTTTTCTTCGAACCACTCTAACACAAAGTCACTGGTTAGAAAAATACTAAAACACAACGCTTTCCACTAATTACTGATAACCAACAGATCGACAGATTTTATAAATCATTTACTTACAAGAAAGAAATAATTTAATCTTTAATAGATGTATTCTTTAATGAGATTAAAGTCCTCCACTTAACCTCTCGTGCGCCGCGAAACCGACTTTCGGTTTCTGTCATTTTTTCACATTTGCGCCGCGCGACCGACTTTCGGTTTCGCGCGTACCCACCTAATCTGTAGCAAATATTACAACCATTTTGTTTTGCTAGCACCTTCATTCTTATATCAATTTTTAGAGGAAAAAACGGGCTAGCTATCTAGCCATTCATAAAAACAAGTGCCATATGAAATATTTATACTGTTATCTGTCAAAGTTCGTCGTTCGCCGTTTTTTGTCTGAAAAAAAATATGCCGTGTATTCAGACTATTTTAAGTGCTTTTGAGTGGTTTTAAAGAAAAAAACACCATGCCTGGTTAAGTTAAATACATTTAGTTACTCTATTTTGATGTTTCGTTTGCGGGTCTCCGTGAATTTTTTTTTTTAGAATTTTTTTGCAGACGCGGTCGCAAAAAAAATCAGCGAAAACTTAGGGGTACTTACCCTATGTTTTCATTTGATAATTTCGATAATAATTGTAATGTTTTAATTTTTAATTATTGAATAAATTATTCATGATTAATACTTCGAATACAAAGAATCCCTTGAGTTCGTATTTTTGAAGAAATAAAAAAAAAACAAAATCCGCGCGGTGGAACGGTCGTTCGAAATTCAAATACACGAACGAAATATTTTTTTATATTATTTTCTTGTATGTGAACTAGTAATTAGTTTTTGTTTATTCTAAAGCAAATTTCGCGTCTATTATAAAAAATCAGGTGGGGTGGAGTCATTTGTCGGACCTAACTATAAAAAAAAAAAAAAAAAAAAAAAAAAAAAAAAAAAAAAAAAAAGATTATTAGACTGTCCGGCTGGATGGGAAACATAACACATTCAAACCTGAAAAGATTTAGCAACACTTCTTTTTATAATTTCACAATGCTCTTCAAAGTGGAGTAGGCATTCAAATTTAAACTTTACACGCGAAGCTAGAACGTTGCTATTAAAGTAATCGATTTAGGATTCGAATAACGTTAGTACTCGAATTCTGTGTTCGAGTATTGGGGATCCAAATTAAAGTATTTTAAGTACTCGAGTACGCGAGCAGGAATTCGCGTTAGGCAGTCTGACTTGGCACATCACTAGACATTAGTAAGAAAGAGGGAGGCAGATATTATACAGTGATCTCATGTTAAATTTACTCACCTCATTGCAATATCACTTTCCATAGGAACAGACATTGCATTCAACAACTTGAGCTTTCTCATGCATAACCCCTTATTGTCAATTGTTGCAATTGCTGTATCTTTGGTTTTACCATCTACTTTGTCTTTGGTCTGCGGTGGGACGCTCACAGCTCTCTTGGTATCAGATGATTCATTTTGCTTAATTGTATCTATTCTAGAAAGTCTAGTCTGTCCTTTGCTTTCAACCAGCTTTTGTTCTGCGTTCTTTGTCTTTGGTGTTTTATCTGTAGTTTGGGTATTTTCTTTATTGACCGTGATAGGAGAGGTCTTTACCGATTTACCGGTCGGCACTATTTTACTATTTTTTTGTGTATCTTTCTTAACATTTTCGACGGGTACATTTTTATTCTCTATTTGTGTTTTTGGCACTATATTCTCTTTATCTTTGACAGGAACACTTTTATCTTGCTTGTCTGCATTCATAGGTGTTTCACTAGCTCTATCCACCGTTACGATTCCACCAGTCACATGTTCTAGCTTACCACCACTTTGGAAGGCGACATTTTTCTTAGGTACATTTCTGAGTAAAAATAAAAACACATTGATTATAAATGAATGTTAATAAAACATTAATCGTAAATATCTAGTACAACTTACTTCCGATCTATGCTTTCGGATCTGGACAAGGAAAAATTTGGGGAATGGACCCGATCATTGTCTTTCGCCAAACTGCAATAACAGTAAAAACTATGTAGAACAAAATAAAAAAGTATTGTTTGAAAATCATAATGTATGTAGATGCAGTTTGGGGTAACAACGGAGCTTAATATATTTAAAAAGGCTTACAATAGCGCTAGAAATCGATTTTCATAGATCTCTTTCTATTTTTCGACTACCTAGATGATTTATTAATAAGGACAGTTAACATTATTAAAAATTTCATGACTAGTGCTCATTTTCAAAATATTTAAAATAGTAATAGTAATACAACATTGTTAGTTATAACAATTAAAAGTAACTAACGATGGTGAAAGATATATTAAGTTTGTAACTGATTTCATGATCCATAGCAGATAATAGAAGCTGCAATTTTTCGCTATTTCTGTATAATAATTTTAACAAAACCACTGTCAAATTGTTCATTGATAAGAATTGATATATATGAGAACTTTATTATTTTTTTTTGCAATAAGGCCAAATGTATCATTGATAGGAATTGATATTTATGAAACATTTCCTATCTTCGGCAATAAGATCCATCTATTTATTACACTAAAAAAGCAATGCTCAATTATGTCAATGATTATATTATTACCTTTTCTTCTCTGAAAATCTCGGATTTTTTGTTAAGGAAACAGTTCTGAAAAAAAAAACAGAATGAAATAAGGTAAAAAAAAAAAGATACAACACGTATATTTTCTAAGCTATTTTCCATACCTCAGTTTATTATCTTTCTGCACCTTAGCGACGTCAATTTTAATATCATAACACTGATTTTCTGACAGAATTTTATTAATATTTTTCAATACATCTACAGTTTTGCTAGGGAATAATATATAAAACTTAGGGGTTTTCGCTATAGCACATGCGCTCTGTATGAAAGTGCATTGATGTTCATTGGCGTTCCTAAATCTCACACTCGCCTCTTCCTCAGTAGATAGAAAGTCTAAAATCATTTTCAGACTAGTGCTGACGAAGGATTTGTCAAGATTTTCGAGGAGTTCCAACTTTTTTGCGAATTTAGACTTCGTTTCAGTAACAGTGTTTGAGGTCTTTTTATTATTAAGTTCTCTGCGAATAATAAAGATTTTAAGATATTTTTACTGGGCACCTAAAAATACTTTTCTCATTTAACTATATTAAATTTGACATAAAGAAGTCGACAGTCTAACACTTTTTTTTTACTATGGCTCGATATCGATCTTAAAAGTTATATCGAATTTTGTTCGCATTATGGAGATCATCTTCAAGTGATTAATAGTCCAAAAGTGGTAGACGAGGAATTCTTCGATATCACCTATTTAAAGTTGGCTTACGCTTTTTCTTGCGTTTTGCCGTCACTTTTGACAGGTGGCGGTGGAGGTAGTTTTCTGAAATAAACAGTGATAAGTACAATAAACCAGTAATACTTTTGATTTCTCATGATTTGAGGAGATCGATGGCGCAGGTGGTTAGCGCGTTCAGCCTGCGATCTTGGAAGTTATGCAACTTTCGCAATAGACGGTCATTTGATTGGTAACCAAAAACTTATTATCTCGAGCTCCTCAATCTCCCTACACCATCCATAGGAAAGGCTTGTGCAGCAGTGAGGACATTAACAGGATGTGATGATGACTCTTGAATCTGTTACCAATTAGCTCTAAACTAGAAGGCTATGGGAGTAGTGACGTTATCTTACTTACTTTTTTTTAAGGTTGTTATTGTTCAAAGGCTTCTTTTCAATAGACAGACGGCTGTAACAAAACTAGGATATTAACTTTAAGTGTAGTACATCCAAAGATAATACATTCATTTACATTTGTTTTTCTCAATGACAATTCTTTGATAATAATAAAATGTTGAAATGATAACAACAACAGGCAATTCAAGCCATCATGATTTTTTAGTGTCATTCTTTGATGTGGCATTTCACTTGTTTATTCGTATTTGCTATTTGTAATCTTGCTTTATAAATAACTAGCTATGATACCCGGCTTCGCTCGGGCGTTGATATGAGATTACGTGGTAGTTGAAATAAAGAAATAAAATATGACGTGAAAAGTAAAAAAACATATTGAAAACATTTTCTCATTATTTACACTACTTGTTTATAAACAACATTTTTCATTTTATTGTTCGGGGCGTATATATATAAATTTTTCGTATTTCTTACTCTTGAGCAAGCTACATATAGCTGACCGTGAGAGAAGCAGGATTCTTTGAGGTTGATGCCACAATATTTTAAAGTTTTCCCTTGCGCCTTGATAATTGTAAAACTAAAGACTAATTTATTTGGAGACTGCAATATTTTAAATTAAAATGGCAATTCAGAAGAGATCAGTGGTATTCTACTTTCTCACACCTTTTTGAAGTTCAAATACATGACAACAGATGGCGCCACTACACTTAATTGAAAGTTGAAGGGTTGGAAAAGCCCTTATATCTTTAAAAACACGCCCTTTAGGTAAAAACGGGAACTTTCTTGTTCAAGGGGGGATAAAGGGCTATCACACTATATAAGTCCCTTTATCGTGCCGGGACTCCTTTTTAAGTTTAATCCGCACGCAAATTTTATCAACTTCGTTTTATTATATATAATAATAATAATGATGAAAACGACAGACTGGTGTCAAAATTACGAATATTCAAGTGAAGTGTTGGCATGAGAATGTTATTACCAATAAATACCTATTACTATTTTATTAAATTACTAAATTCATTGATACAACATGATACATTAATAGAAATCAAACTTACACTTTATCAGAAGCGACATACAGGTAACTAGCTTTTAACTCTTGTGTTTCGTTCAATAATTTGATAGCATCCAGCAGTTCGATACACAGCGGGCCCAAGGGAGTCACATCTACATCACTTTGCAGTCGAACAACAGAGTGCACTAGATTTGCTTCTTCAAAGCTCATTATTGGGTATTCTAATGTGTCCAAGGTGCTATCTTTGACAAATTTAAGAGTTGCCTTGACCCAATCCACGTCGGGACTGGTGTTCTGTTTGTTGGATGGTTTCAAACTCTCACTGTCTTTGTTCTGTGAATTGCTGCTAGAGCTGTAACAACATTATACTTATATGTTTACAGAAAATGACCAAATATGATTATAAAAACCACAATATAGGTCTATATTACAAAAAATTTTTGGCTATTCTAATAGCTTTATTCAGATGCAAATATGATTTAATCAATTAATTCATATTACAATCTAAGATTTGATTAATATTTATACACCATCACTTACTCATAGAGCAATCCAAATAAATCACGAGAAATAAAACTCACGCTCATGTTTTGCGCAATGTGTGCATTTTTTTTGGGTGTGTATGCTGTTGGTCGCAGATGACCTTTACAGCTGGTGACAGGTTTAAGAACGGCGAGATCCTAAGGGAACCTCAAGCCGAGAATGTGTGCATGACTCTAATGTCAGATTGTACTAAAGCAGTCAGTGTGTGCATGTATAGCTCAAGCATGTCCAACGAATGTAGTAGATATTTTTTGTGCTGCTTCAGTACAGTTAATATGGTAAAAGGGTAACAAAAGTTGATCAAAGTTAATTTCAACAAAAATATACATTTACTTTTACCACCACTTCAAGCACAATCTCCATGTTAGTGGACAAACAATTTTAAATTGTGCATACCCAAACCATACTCATCACTTTGTTGAGGACATAAAGCTGAATATACCATGCACATTTTTTCCCTTGTTTTATTTCCATGCAACAGTTAACTAATATTGAATGAATTGAAACTGTAACAACAATTTTATATTTAATAATAATTGTAGTTCTAACTTACTTTATGTTGCTCTTTTTGGTTGGTGAGTTCAACTGTTTATCTTTAAATACTTTCCTATACACCAGGATACTGAAAATGATAAAATGGTATCAGTCATAAATTGGAATCAAATGTGTCTGGCTGAAATAGCATAGCTTGAATTTGAACATCCATCTACCATATTTAACCACAGTGCAATATATTACATCTTTAGGTGTTGTTGTTTCTGTGAGTTAGGTTTTCTGACAGCCTATTTGCTAACTTTCTTGACATTTACAGTGTGCAACTATAGAGAAAATTTCATATCCATCAATGCTTTTCGGAACAAATATCTTAGTGGCTTATAATAAAGCAGTAATGGATCACCAAAAGCTCAATGATTATCGCTTCCATCTGTCCAAAGCAGTTAGCCAATAGAGGCCCTATTGGCTAACTGAGTGCCACAGGATGTCTCAGGGTAGACTACACACTAGTGATATTTTGGTATTCAAGTATCCAAAGCCAACGTTATACATCCCAGCAAACTTCATAGCATCGATCATAGACAAGGAATTTTTAATAAAAATACATCAACAACGCCTTTGTCTATGGTTTTGCTTAAGAAGTTAGCCGCTACCTATAGCTATTTGCCATCAGGCTGGTCATATGCTTTTATGCCATCCTTATTACATAAAAAAACAAGCGAGCCTTACAGTACTTCGCGTATGATGTGTAACATATGAAACCTCACCTTATATTAGTAAAAAAAGAAATGAAATCTACTACAAAAATAAGAAAGCCATTTGAACATTATGTTCTAAAATAAAATCAAAAATAGCGCACGCCTTCGCAACTTCCTGTTACACACTTCTGTCCCATTTCACGAAATCATTCCCACAAATTGCAGGAAAGCAAGAGGAAAGATGTTACACATCAAAATGTACCATAAAATAATTTAATTACATTTATCGAAGTGAAACTTCTTTACACATGCTTGGCTTGCGGAGTAAGCTGGCAAACGCGTTATGTGTAACTGAGAGTGTGATTGGGCGAGGCGAATGGGAGTTGAGCGGGGGATATAAGCAAACTTATTTACGCACGTTTGACTTGGGGAGTAAGCTGGCTAACGAGTTACGCTTTGCAAAAAGTGGACTTGGGTTGCAAGCTGGCAAACACTTTATGCGTTACGAAAAGTGTGATCGGGCGAAGCGAACAGGAGTTGAGTTTGGGGGATTTATCCAAGAGAAAGCAGTTCTTTATCTCTTTCTCTTATAGCTAGTAAATGAAATATGTATTTGTACATACATCTATATATTGAACACATATATATCTATATATACATACAGATTGAGCTAAAGAAGTTCCACTTCAGTCATGTAGTCATAAATGGTCATAATGGTTTAAAGGGTCACATAATTTAGATTTATGGTATTCGTGTAAAATGCACATACTCATAAAATACAGATGAGGAGTGAACTTATTAATCAATTTAGTATATTTTTTTATTACTTACTCATGGTCAATATTACTGTTCTCATAGCTATATGACAAACTATATATATTCTGATTTTGTTTTAATGCATCTATAATTTCAATGGCAAAAATCTTGCTTTTGCTATCAAATGCATCAAGTAGTTTTGTAATATTCTGCACATCTTTTATCATCCTAACTAACAAAGCATCTAAATGTGGTGATAGTCGGGGAAACCATACATCCTTTTTGGTACTCTTGAGAAATATTGATGTTTGTTCCAGATAATAGGCAAGTGCTTGGCTATCAATTTGTTGCACCAGATTGTCTAAGGGCATTGTCTTCGGATTTGTGTTGTCCTCTCGTATGTTGGATCTACAAGTAACAAATGGTACTTTGTTTTGCTATATTGGTACCTAAAAAAACTACAATGGTGTCGATTCTAGCATGATTCTCTAAATCTAAACTTAAATTTGACAGCAGTATATCCTTGTCATTCTCTATACAGAATGAAAAGAAGAGACTGACGTCAAATTTAGTTTTAAGTTTAGAGAATCACGCCAGAATTGGCACCAATATCTATTCTTTATCAAACTTCAAGCCAGTTTCATTTATGAGTATCTATATCATCTCAGTCAACCCTGATCGTCAGATATAATAAGGTAAATGGTTAAAAACCTTTAAGACACAAATCACACTACGAAATTAGTGCCGACAAAGAATTCAGACTAATTAACTTGAAAAATTATTCGCATAAATGTTGTAAGTTTTGTGGATACGTAATAACAAGAACAAAAATTTATTATCTTAAACAAAGATTTGAATCGTCTTAAAGCGTAAAATTTTAAATTCCGAAAAAATAATAAAGCAGATGCGTTCATTTTAAACCTTAATTCGACACTTACCTTCTCATATTCTTGGAACCGTAAATTGTATTCAACATTCTGTAAGTTTTGGACCCAATGTCTTACATGCAATAATACACGTTTTTAAACACGTTTCGCAAAATCTGAGATTAAAAATCTGCAAGGTAAGAACTTTTCAAAATTAATTTCGCCGAATTTCAAATAGGGAGACTAGCACAGATTACTACGATTATATCCACAGAGTACTTAAGGAATACTAGGTACGTATATTATGTTGTCGATTCTGGCATAATTCTCAAAACCTAAACATAACAGTCAGTGGTGTCAATCTCATACGTCGCATGTTAGGCAAGGCAAGTTTGACTCGGGTAGAGTTGTACACGGCGTTATTTGAAATAGAGGCAGTCATCAACGCTCGTCCCATCACATATATTTCGGATAGTACCGAAAACTTAAAACCACTCACTCCTTTCATGTTTATAAATAACAGTAAAGGCAACGAGAGTAGTTTAAATCTTTTAGACTCGAAAGATTTGCCGGTTCGTTGGCAGTATATCCAGAAGCTTGCAAAAGACTTGAGAGTTCGTTTCCGAAATGACCTTTCAGCGTTAGTCGAAAGGAAGAATAACGACATTTGCAGGATTTTAAACATTGGGGATATTGTCTTGATTGGGTCGGATGGTTCAAAAAGAGTGAACTGGCCTTTAGGGAGAGTTTTAGAAATTTATGAGGGTCGTGACGGGCTTTACCGCATCGCTAGGGTAAAGATAGCTAATGGGGTACTAGTTAGGCCACTGCAAAGACTTTACCCGATTGAGGTCTCGGCGTCATACGAGCAAGAGTCTACACAGTTCGGTACTGGTGGTGAACCTTGTACCGTGCCTCAGAGTCAAACTGAGACTTCGAGGGTCTCGCGTACTGGGCGTCCCATTAGGGTTCCACTTAGGTTAGATTTGTAGATATATGTATAATGTGATTTGTCAAGGTTATTGCAGAATTTAATCAGCAACGGCGGGAGTATGTCGTGGAACCTTTTTTTGAAGATGCAGGCAGCATAATTTAAATTGAATTTAGTTTGACATGGTAGATAGATAGACAAAAAAAATAGTGTGTGTGATGCTCTTTTTTTAAACTGAAGTAAGTTTTTATAAGTTAGTGTTTTTATAATTTCTGTACGCTCTAATATATATTTATCCCTGAACTTACAAGTGTTTCCTTAACAAAATAAAGAAGTACGGGGCAAGGCATAGCGCCGGTTAAATATTCACGAACACTATGGCTGCATGGCTCTGCCTTTGTCTTTCCCAAGATGGGAAAAAAAGATTTAAAAAAAAAACAAACTGCCTCGGGTGCGGCCAGAGTGCACTCAGATTCAGAGTCAGATTCAGATTTCGAAAACAAGCGCGAGAAATAAACAGTGTAGTCTAAGCAGGTTGCTTGCTTTTTCTCGCGCTTTGTTTTCTGAGTCTGAATCTGAATTTGAATCAGGAGTGCAATCTGGCCGTACCCTTCGACTACACTGTTTATTCTCGCGCTTGTTTTCAGAATCTGAATCTGACTCTGAATCTGAGTGCACTCTGGCCGCACCCTAGGGTAGGGTACACAGTGTATGGGTGCGGCCAGAGTGCACTCAGATTCAGAGTCAGATTCAGATTCTGAAAATAAGCGCGAGAAATAAACAGAGTAGTCTAAGCAGGTTGCCTGCTTTTTCTCGCGCTTTGTTTTCTGAGTCTGAATCTGAATCTGAATCAGGAGTGCAATCTGGCCGTACCCTTCGACTACACTGTTAATTTCTCGCACTTGTTTTCAGAATCTGAATCTGACTCTGAATCTGAGTGCACTCTGGCCGCACCCTATCTGAGTGCACTCTGGCCGTACCCTTCCACAGATAGGGACACGATATCGAATAGAAAGTATCGATTCTGTACATGAGTAGCATCGAAAAAAAGTATCGTACTCGTAAAAGTATTCATACAAAAGTATCGATACTTCAAAGTATCGAGTACATTTCATAGGGCTTGATCGGATCCTCTGTGGCCTGATGAGCTACCCCTTCCCCCCCCCCCCCCCCCCCGGAAGTTAAATTTTATTGTAGTACACAATCAAAACCAAAAAAAGGAAATGTAAATTCACAAATTGCTATATTATCTAGTTAATCTGAAAATGTGAATTGTTAATATACTCAACCACAAAACTAAACGTGCGTAATTAAATAAATAATGAAAAGAAAAGAAGCTGTGATTTTCTGACACTAAAAAAGTGTTCATTAATTAAAATGTTAAAAAAAAGATCGAAATCTGAAACAATTTAAAAGTATGAAACTTTTCAGACATGTTACAAATTAAACTTATCTTTCTTGAATTTTAATCATTAAAAAACAATATACCCACTTATGTTAACTTGAACCTGACACACAGTTAACGGCGGCCATTGGCATGCTTCACTCAAGATTATAATTATAGAAGAGGTTACGTCCGTCTTTTTTTCAGGTCCGTGGTTTCAAATAGGTATACATAGCACAGACAGAATAATAATGTTACACTCGAATAAATCAAATACAGACGAGCGAAAAGCACAATAAACCGCGAATCAATCACAGTTTCTAATAATATGGTCGCTAAATGAATAACTATGAAACAAAACAAAGCGCAAAATAAACACAGTCACAGATTGGAAAGAATTTGAATATGTCAGTTACTGACTTTAAAACAACGCAATGGAACGTTTTAGAAGGTTTAGGTTTGCTATGACTTAACAGGATGGCGTTGCCATCAATATGAGGCGCTTATCCAAGATTTTAAAGGTATCGATACTTGCCAAAAAGTACTTATTTAGTAAAAGTATCGAATACAAAGTATCGAGTACAAAAGTATCGGTATCAAAAGGAAGAGTACTCGATACCACAAAGTATCGATACTTTTTTCTTGTCCTTATCCACATCCACAGATTCAATGCACAGATTACAGCAGATGTTCATTCTATTTGGCATTGATGAATTAGTTAGGTATTTAGTTATTTTTATGACTTTTCTGTAGCGTTTATTTACTATTTATTAAACAGAAATGTCTTTTGACGTGAACTGGAACCCTGACAAGTATAGAGAAGAACACGAGAGCGACGAACATTGGGAGCTAAGGAAAGCGTTCATGGTGCGATGGAAAAATGACTATCCCGAAGAGAGATTGGTATGCTTGGCTCGAGTATTTACTAACATGGAGTTCATGGGATGCCGGTATCCTCCTGAGATTATGCACGAAGTAGCAGGTCTATCACACGAGGTAGGTAAATAAATATTAAAAATCGTTTTCGAATACCTCTAAACTGGGGAAATGGTAATAATAAGCCTTTCTAGATTAATGTATGTTAATTATTAGTTGTTTTTGTACGTATTTAACAATTTTTTCGTTGCTAGGTAGCTCAATCATACAGAAACTCGAGGAAAACAAAATTACAAAGAACTTTTGTGTCTGCCTCAACAGCAGCAGAAGATAGAGCTAAAGGAGTAAAACGAGAAGGTGGAGTGATTACAAACAGTCCACCTACTAAATCGGCCAAAATAGACTTTGTGCCTCAGGGACAAATAATTGAGGAACCGGAAGTTGTTGACACAGATGAAGTGGTTCACAATGATATGCCCACAAATGATTTGAAAACTGATAGCAGTGAAAGTAAAATTGAGCAAGAAAAGAGCAGTTCTGAACTAGTAGATAAAACTAATGAATACTTGGACGACTTGATGAAAATTAAATGCCTTCAAATTCGGCAGTTCACTGATCGAATGTTCACCACAGAGTATGGTCGTATGGTATTATTAGTAAGGCCATGGGCAAGCAAATTGTGGAATATTCAAAGTGAGTACCTAGTTAACATTTTATTTTTCTTACATGCCAGTCCAATATAAACTTTTGCTCTATGTTGCAGACACAGCTTGTATTGTATAATTATAACCAACTATTCATTGAATGTTTCAGCTAGTTGTCAAGTATGCAGTGTGAGCCTACAAACCAAATACAATGATGGCTGGTTTTCTTTATGTATTAATGGAATATTAGTTGCCCAAGCAAAGGGGTCAAAAGCTGAGGCAAAAAGTATAGTTGAAATGCTAGCATGGGATGTGAGTATTGCATATAGATAGATAGATCATTTTCAATTTCAATCAAGTACAGTACAAAAATGATGAAACTGTTTGCTGCAACAACAGAAAAAGGCGAAAACTCAGTGATAGCTTTGCTATGACAGCCTGTAAAACACTGGTTTTCAGTTCTGCCTAGAAAGTCCATAGCAGCATGATATGACGCTGATGTGATTAAAACAAATTTGAATTATAAGTGTTGATAATGGCTTGATTCTCTAAACCTGAACCTAAATTTGGCAGCAGTGCAGCCTTGTCATTCTCTATATAGAATGAAAAGTAGAGGTGATGATGTTAAAGTTTAGGGAATCATCCCAGAATCAATGCCATTATCATTTTATAATTGTTATTTATGAATATATCTCATCACATGTGTATTTTTTACACTATCATATTATCATCTTAGTAATATAAAAAAAATACTGAAAGGTTTTATTTATGACAGGTTGTCAGTATTCACAGCAACATACTGAACATGATATGAGTATTCACAATTCTCGATTGTTTCAGAGATTAAAGAGAGAAATTATAACAGTATTGGTGAAAGAGCAGTGGATTGCCCAAAACGGTTCTCGCATATCTACAGATGACATCACACAGCCCACAAAACAAAATGACTTTGGGGCACCTGTTGATTCGAGTGTCGCTGCTAAGTTAGTGTTATTATGTAATAACTTCATATTTTACTAAACTAATACAGGGGTCAAAGAATGCGTAAATGTGGTAATATCATTACTATGTTTATTAAAAAGTCGAATTTTGTCAGTTCCTTAATCTTATTGTCATTGTCAAGTTTTGTTTCGAATCTTCAAATAATGTTTTTAATATATTTAGTCAACAATCACCATCTCAGTCACACAGGCAACTTGGCCCTTTACTGTAGGCGCCTTACAGCCCCTGCTATGCAGTATTAATGTCTTAATATTTACAGAAAACACTTTGAAACTTATGCATTGCATTGTAAATATAATAATCAGTGGGTTAAAACGCGTGTTTTCAAAAACGTTTTCGTATCTTCTTTATCTCGGCATTTCGATTTTACTTGGTGGCGGAATATTCTTTATCGGAAGCAGATATTTGATGCAGACAGCAATGCATCAGTCGCCCTGTGACGATGATCTGTGGAAGCTGCTCGAAACTTCAGGATAAAGAAGGTACGAAAACAACATATTTTTTTATAGATAGATGCGACAAATGACCGCTCCACCTAATGTAAAGTGACGATGAATTTAATTTAATGCTCTACATACAACATCACGAACAAAATCGTGGCCGAAACCTGTCCAAAAGGTATATTGAACAATCCACGGAGCTCCGAAAGATGATCGCGTAGTCAAAAGCAATATAAGGCATTATTTGAACATTCAAAGTCACCATTGAGGTCGTAATTTAAACAGTTATGACAGTTCGTAATGCAAGATCGTAAAATTATACGACTATGCTGATGACTATGATAGGCGAAAGAGTATTGACTTTATTTCTATGACTATTTCGTAATTCTGAATGTGCTGTTGGCAATATAGCATTTACGGAGCGCGAGGAAAAGAGACGACTATACAACCGACCATGAATTTAGATATCATAAACATTTTCTATTAAATCAGTTTATAGTAAGTATTAGAACAAAAAGGCGTTCAATTAACAAGTATTGATTAGAAACTTGCCAAAAAAACGACACTCTACGTACTAAAAGTATTGTATTCGCATTTTTTCGGAGCCCTGCGATATGTTGACTTTTCAACGGTTCGCGCGTATCTGTGAACCAAGAAGTGCTTGGGACACATTTTGAGCGCACATGGTGTATTTAGGGCTATTAAATATCGTTGTACGAAAACCTTTTAACATGTTACGCGTTTCAACCATAGAGGTATAAGAATAGAGTGGGCAAGGCGGCTCTAAAAGTGTCCGCCTAGTAAAAAGAGAAAGAAGATGAGAGACCGCTAGCTATCTCTCTTTCTCGTGATGCATGGCATCCAATATCATCACATCGAAATAGTAAGATGCTTACGGTTGCCAATGCGCATGCGCGATTAGAGAGAGAAAGCTAGCGGTCTCTCATCTTCTTTCTCTTTCTATTAGAGGGACACTTCCACTTGTAGTAGAGTCTATATCTCCCCTACTCTATTCTTATACCTCTATGGTTTCAACTCTTTCAATGTTTTATTTATTTGCAGAATGATGAAACTGATGGGTTGGAAAGGAGGCGGTCTAGGCGCCGACGCTCAAGGAATCGCTGAACCGATCCAACCACAAATGCAAATGGTGTGTAATCAACAATGGTGTCGATTCTGGCATGGTTTTCTAAACCTAAACTTCTTTCTTTTTTAATGGCTCAATGGGGATATGAAAGGTGAAAACATGAAAGGTTCCTGAGAGATTCTCAAAAACTAAAATAACCGCGTTAACCACGGCGGTCGCGTGTCCGTGATGCCACCTGATGTGATGGTGATTTTACTGCGAATTAACATAAAATACTTTTACTGTTAGAGGCACTATTTGACACACTATTTTTACATATAGAATTGATAACAAGAAAAGTTCATTTTTTATGAGAACTATTATGGGTACGCCAGGTTGACGCCAGCTAAGAATGTTTAGTTCAATATCTTTGTTCCTTTAAGAGTATTGATTATGAAATTTTGTAAAGCCAGGGCACTATTTGCGAACTATTTTTGTGTGTCAATTTCGTTGCTTAAATATATTCCGTTCTTGGGGTAGGGTACGCTAACTTGACGTCATGGTAGCGTACACAGTAAAAATGGTCTTTATTTCTTAAATTAAAGAGGCACTATTTTTTTTTTATTTTTACACTAATTTGGCACTATTTACGCAGTATTTAATGGCATAACGAAAAACTGTATATTGATCGTGGGTACGCTAGCATCACGGACACGCGGTCGCTAGTATGTAATAATTAATCTATACATATAATAAAATGGTAGGAAAGTCAAAACTGTACATTGAATATTTTTTTAAAAGAATACTTGGCGAGTGATCTACTATCGATACCGAAGCCAAAATTATAGTTTTTAGAATTTTTGTCTGTTTGACTGTATGGATGTCCGGGATGAACTCAAAAAGTACTACATGGATTTACTTCAAATTTGGCAACGAATATTATTAAGAAGTCGGGTCAACATATAGGCTAAATATTATCACGAAACTCCACCTCTAAGAGGGTACATTCATACGGGAGTTGGAATTTTGTATGAAAGTCTTATGTTTTTGAAGAAAGAGACTTGAAATTTAACATGTATGCGCTATAGATGGTGTAGAGGTATACTAATAATGTATCTTTAGAAATAAACCTCCTTTTGGAATCATAAAGTATGTGCAAATAACTCCACGCGTACGAAGTCGCGGGCGGCCGCTAGTACTGTAAATAGGGTTGCAACGATATATCGGAATATCGATAATATCTAGACCAAAATATCGATATTTAAAATTCACTGATATCGATAATATCGATATCGGAAATTCCAAAATATCGATATTTCGTAGACTAAATTTGAACACAATAATATCAATTAATTTACCTGCTATGACTATCTAAATTGAATAATATTGAAATAACTATTGCTTTGAAATCGCAAGAGCTTATAGATGTATTAAAAAAATCTTGAACCCCAAGAAATATACTAAACTGGTGCGGATTCTGGCATGATTCTCTAAACTTAAAATTAAATTTGACAATAGTGTATCCTTGTCATTCTTTATACAGCATGAAAAGGAGAGACTGATGTTAAATTTAGTTTTAAGTTTAGATAATCATGCCAGAATCGAAACCAACGTATATAGGTATAATCGTATACCTAATGGTAACTCATGCACTTAAATAAAATCCTTGCCTCTCTTTGTAGATAATTGTCAACTACTGATTAATTGAAATTTAATATCATTGTAATATAACACAAAATAAAATTAAGAATCTTATACAAAACGTAAATTTTTTAAGCTCGCCAAGTCAAGAAAGTAAGATAGGTATAGTAATTTTGGAAGCTTTGGGCTTACCCTATTCTGAAGCCATGGGCACGCCCCTGATGTGTGGGAGACTAAACAATTTGCTTATTTGATGTGCACTAAAAAACCGATATAGCTTGGAAAAGCACGAATGTAGTGAAAACTTAGCGAAGGCATTCGCAAATGTCGTCCCACATATGCGGGTTGGCGCATTCGTGCTAACGAATGTGAGTGATCTGATCAGGATAATATTTTTTTTTTCGTACGGTTTGTTTTAAAACACAAACCGTGCGAGCCAATAAAAAAATCCTGCTTGGCGCGATTTCATCAAGCGTGTTTAACGAAAAAGCTGGCTCAATGCATTTTGCGAGAAACTCGCCAACAAACATATGAATGTGTCACACTCACCCCGTATTCTAATGTCAATAAAAAGGAAAAAATATCGAATATCGATAATATCGAGTAGGCCTATTTGATAACTGTTTTTGACAGATGTAAGTGATAATCACCGAGCTATTTAGTGATCTACTATTGCTCTAATCCATTATAACGCCACTAAGATACTTGTTCAGAAAAGCCTCGATGGATATGCGATATATATTCTCTTTAGTTACACACTGTAAATGTCAAAAAAAATAGCAAATAGGCCGGCAGACTTGCTTATTCCATCCATAAGGAGCCCAGTACCCCAGCAGTGGGGACATTAATAGGCTGATGATGATAATTCAAGTAGTAGAGTGGATACGAGATCATGTTTTTTAATATACAAACATAAATAGGTACTTCAATTCACCCACATCTGTATATTCTTATATAAAGTAAAGTGCGTGTGGCGACCGGGCGAATTTAGTATTTTTTTACCAATTGACGTATAAAAAACAAGTAGACTCCCAATCGCTTAACAAAAGTGCATCAAAAAACGTATGAGCGGCGCTGTGTTATACATATACATCAACTTATATAGATAGCATCAACACATTTGTTCAAATTAAGACGTTAAGAAGTCGTGGCAGTAAGGTATACAAATTACATTTTTTTTAAATAGACAAATGATAGTAGGTACTCAAAGTGCCGTCGAAACAGGACTTTTCAAAATTACGCGCGATTGTGAATCTACTTGTTTCTATACGTAACCGTGTCTCCTTCCTCTTTCCTCATTTCAAAAGATTAGGATTAATTTGTTATCATCAGGTAAACAGATCAGGTTTAGGCAGCGCCACGCAAGACATGAATTCGTTCCGTAGAGCAGCCACAGAGCTCATGTCTCGGTACATAGTGTCCGACACGCTGGACGTGGACCTGGTGTTCAGCGGCGAGTTCAGTAAGGAGGAGCGCGCGTTACTGCATCAGTGTGCTCAAAAGGCCAGGCTGGCCTCCAGGAGTTACGGTGATAAGGATAGGTGAGTTGCTTAAGAAATAGAACGTGTTTAGGTGGCGCTTCTGATGAAAATCTAGTATTCGTCATATAAATGTTTCCGGGCCAATAAGACCAAAAAAACCTTCAAAAAGAGCGTACTTTTCAGAACAGAGGGGCCAGGCTGACTTCCAGGAGTTAATTAGGATACGGAGCGGTAAGTTGTTGTACGAAACCCTTTTCACAGTATAAACAGAGTTAAGAACAACAGACGAGCCCTCACCGGACAAACCTAGAAGAGTTATTTTGGGCACATACACTGGACTTTGCCTAAATCTCGAAGAACCATCGCAGAAGAAATCAATCATTATGGCGGCGACATCTGCACGCAAGCAAGACTTGTCACTCCATAATAACAGATGGCGCTGCACTCATAAAGTTTGTAAAGCCTACATCGCGTACATAAATAGAATGGCTGACCAACATCGGTCGGGCCTCGAGCTAAGATCTCTGATCATCCAGTTGGAAAAAATTGGCACTTAACATCACACGAAATATGAACTCGTTCATGTCCCGGTACATAGCGTCCGATACCCTGGAAGTTGAACTGGTGTTCAGCAGCGAGTTTAACAAACGCCTTGCTGCATCAGTGTGCACAAAAGGCCAGGCTGGCTTCCACGAGTTACCGGGATAACGATAAGTAAGTTGGTACAAAAAACCTTTTCACAGCATAAGCAGTGTTAAAAAACAACAGACGAGCCCTCGCCGCGCCGGACAAACCTAAACGAGTTATTTTGGGCTCGTAGCTCAGAAGAAATTGAATATGACAATGATTGTCTACGATTTTAACTGGACTGGATTTGGGTTTTTGAAGTTATACTTCTTTAGGCGCGTTATGAAAAAAATATGAGAGTGAAATTTTAAGATGCGCGCGCATCACTGTAACACAAAATTTTAACTCGCTAAAGCGACCAACTTCATGCTGTTACTTTTGTGTTTACCGCACATTAAGAAAATGTACCAACAAAATTGAAATAGAATCTCTATTTAGTGGGTGCTAACGACTGCATTGTGAAGGCCTATCAAAAGTATTTATTAATCTGGAACAACGGAACCAAAGCGCGATTCAGGAGACTACAGCGCCATCTCTTGACCATTGGTGTAGTAGAACCAAAAACCACATTTTTATTTTTCAATGTTACTTTTATGTTATTATTGTAATAAAGTAACAGTTAGAGGTATTCATATTTATAATATTTATCCACATGTTTCTATTTTATATATTCGGAATACGTGTTTGAGTTTCATACAAGTGCAAATCACATATGTTCTAATAAATTATATTCAGTAGCGATTTTAATTGAATATTTTGATTATTTATTTATTTTTTCAAATTAAAACTGAACTTTATTGACTGTGTCCTTTTCCAGACTTTTTATTAATTTATTGTAATTAATTATTTGCATGCAATTAAAAACTAATTTTAAACGATGCCAAAGAAGGATAACTTCTCACGCGCCTACATAAGTACACGCACCCATTTTTTTATTTAAGAATGTTGGTGTCAAGAATGTGTTCTTATTACCTCTCATTGTTCCCAGATTCCTCGTCGTGAAGAAGAAGCTAAATCCATTCTCTCTGGTTCGTGCCATCGTAGACAAAGGAGGAGTCACCCCCAAATATCAAGTCTTCTTACCTGCCGCTCTACTCGGAAACAGAAGATGAAAACTGTAATGAACAGATATGAAATTGTACATACTTAAATTTTATTAAGAAGATTTTCAACTGAATAAAAATGTTTTATTCCACGAAAGAGAATTAGTACTAAATCTCGTTTTCTTGAATCCCGTGGTTTCAATTTAATGCGCATTGTTAAGGTATGGAAAGTGTATGAAAATAACTTTGAGGGAGGTTAGGAGGGTGTAGTTTTATCAAACAAAGTGGACCGTACAGCCTAAAATATATTGTCCGTTCTCTTATAGATTATACATATTATTTCCGGCTATGACAATTTCAGGTTAAACCTTTAGATAGAGAGGAAGGTGATAACGACTGCAAAAAAATGGAATAGGCGCCTAAAATGAATATTTTGATCACCAGCGCGTTTCGCTTTGGCCGATGACCGGATATCATCGGCCAAAGCGAAACGCGCTTGGTGAGCTCTATAATATAAAAACATATTAAGGTATGTGATAATTTCATAACAAGAGCTAAGATGAAAATATTTGTCGAGTATGGCAACGCTATACCTTTGGGGTAAAGCAATTTGGCTGCCGCATGTTCCATAAAATGTTACATCCTAGATCTACCTACTGATTTTGCAATAAAAAATCAAATGCAAGTAGAATTTACGATGTCCTTGATTATTTTGAAGCGGTCTTGTTATAGATCCTTGAGGTATCCAAAACTTAGAATCAACCATAAAGTTAATATTACGCTAGTATATCAAGTTTATGAATGGTATCAAACCCTGATTAGGTGGCTTTTCAATCTTAAAATTTATCTCTGGAAATATTATACTTTAACGTTTAAAAAAGCTGTTGCTAATGTAGTTACCTCCGTTAATGATGTTGGAGCTATGTTTTTTACGTATCTACATAACAAATCGATTACTGATGATGGGTATCCCGATATAGTTAAATAGCATATAAAATTCGATTACCCGCATTTGTGATAATGATCTAGTAACCAATTACGATTCCAAAATCATCCTCTCTGTATTTAAGATATAATCAAATGATCGTTCCCAAATACGGGATGGATCGAAGCACGACTATAAAACCCTTGTGTAAAATTCATTAGTAAAGTAAACCTACAGTTCAAGTCGAATAAACTACCCGCGTTTAACATTTCCAAATGGCGCCGAAATTGGCTTGTGCGTTAGTCGCATATTGGCTGTTTTATGTTCTAGTTTCCATGGAGTGTTCTATTGTAAAGCCTAATAATATTCCTAGAATTGGCAGGAGCGATGAAAGTGCCGGACCTTTTGACCAAAACTCCATGGGATACGTAATAAAAACAAATAAAAACATCCCACGAATGGGGAGAAGGAATTACGATTCGGTAAGTTGATAAAGTAAGAGGTAGTAACCTATGAAGTTTTCTTTGGCGCAAAATATACATGGACGTTTAGTGCTTGGCATTTGGATGTCGCTTGGTGCTATTGAGTGGCTACGCTCAATAGCAAATACCTATACATCGTAATTTGTAAGAGCTCCGTTGGTGTAACTATATAAGCACCCAGAGAAATAACAGCAAGCAAGCACGGACCTGAAAAAAAGTCGGTCAAAAAGTTCTTTTTTCAGGTCCGTGCAAGCAAGTTACGATTTCGGGAGTCCAAGTCTACAGCTTATTTTTAGTTAGATTTCGTTTCCGTAACGTAGGTAACTACTTTCTTATGTCTTTTGGTTTCTTATTTATTTTTGATCATGCATTTAACATTTGTTTATTTCAGGCGGCTCGTTACGACATCCCAAAGTTTTACCAGTTACCAGGGGAAAATTATGTTCAATATGGAGGTAAATTATTTTGTATTGCGTTTTCTAGTGGAGTGAAGAAGTACCTTTATAAAACTGACTAAAAATGCTGTTGATTTTTAGAAGATCGATTAGCTGAATATAATCAAGATGAAAGTTTTCCATTTGGTGATCGTTATGAAGCTAAGAAGAAATAACTCCTACGTAAAACTACGCTCAAAAAATATCTACTGCCTTGAATTTACGGACATTAAATGAATTACATTCTAGTCATTGCTAAAGTTACGTGTAGTTTTTTGATATTTCAATAAAATTTGCATTGCAAGGATTGAATTATTTGAAACTGAAGCGTGTAACCTGAGAATAATAATTACGTGAAACGAAGCGATTTATAAGCTGTCAAGTGTCAAAATAAGTGAAATGTCACAGTTGTAAGCCGCCGACATTGGAGAGCCACAACACATTATTGTTTTCTCACTCGTTCTCAGTAAGAAGTGAATCTTTTGTCTCTGTTGCGTGTAAGTATGACACTAGTTCGATTTAGTAGCGTTATTCCAAAATAATTTTTATTCCACTCTGTTGTGGAAGAAAAACATATTATTTGAGACTTTTACATCTAAATTCATCGTGAAATTAAATTAGTTTCGAAATGGTGCTAACTGCGGACTTAACATTGCCCGAAGAATCGGAACTTACTGTTCCTGAGGTGAATTTATCTACAGCTACTTTGTTTGCTGGGTCTTTTCATCTAGGGAAATATTGTGAACAAGCTAATAATGTAAGTAACTTTTTGTTTTCTGTATTCTTGCCGCCCTCATGCTTTATTTTATAAGCTGTAGTTTCCCTTATTTATTGTTTTATCGCTCTCGACTTGATTGCATAATCTCATTCATTGGGGTTATGTTTTGAAAAGTTGAACTAGCATATTGCCTGCCTGGAATACTACCTGGTATGGGAGTATGGTTACCACTGGAATACGACGCCACCAGAAAATGACTATTTGACTGCTTAAAGCACTGTAGTTTCACTGATTATAATTAATTTCAGAATAATTTCTTTCTATCACAGAATAAACTTAACTTTGATGAATTTTGACAGGAATTTATGCTTTGTCGGATGGAGGAAAATGACCCGCGTAAGTGCATCAACGAGGGCAAGGTAGTCACTGCTTGCACAATGGAATTCTTCAGGAAAGTGAAGAACTCTTGTATGAGCGAATTCAACCAATATGCAAACTGTGTGGACAAGAGTTCTGGTGATTACAGCTTAACAAAGTATGTATGTTTATCTAATGGCTACTTTTCTTTTTAAATATTAATTATCAAAACTATACTCTTGGACTTAATGATTATTAGAAAATTCCCGGTGCAAATCAGACAACGACTGGGTAACCACTAACTGGTAACTGGTTTTTTACTTGGGAATGAAAGAAAATAGACTAAAATAGCATTTTTAACTTCTTGTTTCCTAAATTAATTTTATTAACAACCCTTCTTGTGTAGTGGTTATTTATGTGAATTTTCAGAATTGTGGAAAAATCCCCCTTGATCATTTAAAAAAGAAAGAATAAGTATACAGAACAGCTATTTACTTATAGCTAATGGTTCTTTTAATGTACCAAAAAACACTGATTATTTAGTTATTTAAATATATATATATTATAGTTACGACAAATGATTCTACCCTACCTGCTGTTAGGTGAAGGTGAAGTCCAGATGCGAAGATAGCTGATACAGCAGTTCTACCTGCCACACCAGCCATCCTCACCCTGCCGGCCTGCAAGTTGCTTCTTCACGCCTCTTTTAAAGGATCTTATATTGGTTGTATGCATTTCAGATGTCGCAAAACTCAAGGAGTGTATGATAACTGCATGCTGGAGAAACTGAACATAGAGAGACCTAAGTTTGGTTATTTCTGTGAAGCTCGTGTCCATGATACTAAGAGGTAAAAAACATGAATTTATATTTCCTTTTTAAAGATGCTTTTTTATCTATATCTATACTTATAATAAATCTGTAGAGAGGTCAATTCTGTACATGAAATATATTTTCAAAATAACTATCAGGGGGTGATTAGTGATCGATACTGATGCCAAAAATGCAATCACTAAAATTTTTGTCTGTCTGTCTGTGTGTATGTTCCTTATAGAAACAAAAACTACTCGACAGATTTTAACGAAACTTGGTAAAATTATTCTTCATACTCCTGGGCAGGTTATAGTATACTTTTCATCACTCTACAATCAATAGGAGCAGAGTAGTGAAGGGAAATGCTGGGAAAAAGGGAGAAGTTACTCCAGTTTTTAAGCTTCCGTCGCATGTGCAGCGTTAATGGTTAAAGTTACATAGAAATCATGTATGACGGAAATATTCTACATATAATTGTCTAAAAAATATCCCAAAAATATCTTTTATGGTTGACTCACAATAACACGTGTAACTCCCGATAGCTTAGCAGTTCGGAGCATTCTGATTATATTTGTTTACTCTTAAGTTTATAGTACTGTCACTCATCCCTAATTTAAAAAAGTTAACATTATTACCTATTCAATGAAAAAAGAATCATAGAAATCGGTATAGAAACACCAAACTTATACCATGAAATAAGCCATCGCGCCGTCGCACGTGAATACTGAAGTATTGTATACCTTAAAAATGTCTACAAAAAAGTCCGCCATGGTATCTGTCTATCTTTTAGGGATAACCCACAATAAACATTTTATATCCTATACTTTTTACGAGAAATAATAGATTATTTACGAAGCGATTTTCAGCAATATAACATTCTTCCTTATCCAATTAAGTACCTGAAATACATTGTGCATTTAATATAGACCAATTTGGCCCTTTAACGCATGTAATTTAAATGAATATTTTCGAAGATATTACAGATTTAAAATGCAGGGACATAGCGGTTCCGACGCTACCGGGCGGGGGGCCTGGTGGCACGTGCCTATTGTAATTAGGTATTAGAAGAATGTCATTGTGTATAATACAAGCCTGAGAACAAAAACTATAGTCTACACTACAGCTCTACACCGAAGCGAAGCGCGGGCGGGCCACTAGTATATAATAAAATGGTAGGAAAGACAAAACTGTACATTGAATATTTTTTTAAAAGAATACTTGGGGTGTGATCTGCAATCTACAGTTTATAGAATTTTTGTCTGTATGTATGTCCGGGATAAACTCAAAAAATACTGCATGGGTTAACTTCAAATTTGGCATTGACATAGGCTACATATTATCATCTATCACCTATAGGGAACAAGTAGTGAACCTTTATTTTTAACTAACTCCACGCGTACGACGCGTATTTTATCTTTTGTAAGATGGAGGTTACTTCACCAGTCTGCTCCAATTTGATCAGATGTTATATCTATATAGTCCTGCCTTTCTTTAATAATAACATAGATTACTTAATAGTTATTACGTAAATAATGCATATCTGATAAATTGAGCAATGTTTGCTTGGAGTCATCATTATATAGGAAATACTTAATTGTCCAATTGAGGTGTTTTCTTTATGCGATATTTATTGTGATTAGTCACATTAATGTTGTAAATTGTCAGACCGAAGCCACCTGTGGAGCCAAAGGCGGTTTATCCGGACGCGACCCCAGCGTTGCCTGACGACAGGGAGAAGGTGCCTGCGCGCTTCGGGTCACGTTTCTACTGGATGACCGAGTAAATCAGGTCGGATAATTGTTGTAGTACATACAATAGTACATTGTTCACCGAGAGGAGAAAGTGGCTGATTAACAATGAGGGTTAATACACCCAAGTTGGTAATAGTGTTTTCTATCAAGGGGGTATATAGTGCTTTATACTATACCTACGAGGAAATAAATGACAAATTATTTAAATGAAGTTTGTTTTAAAGTTGTTATAGTTACTAGACTTTTGCCCGGGAGTTTGATATTGGTTTCTTGATTTCACTGGTAATAGGATCTCAATGACTGCTTGTCCGAAAATCCACCAGGCAACACGGACGGGTCCCGTCTGTTGCCTGGTGGACTTTTTTCTGATAAAAATGACCAACCATTGTTAAAGCTACTTTAACAATGGTTGGTCATTTATTGGTGAACAAAAACTTATAATCTCTATCTCCTCCGTGCTTCGGAAGTCGCGTTAAGCCATTGGTCCCGGCTGCATCTGCAGGCGTTACCAATCTGCACTGGGCCCGCGTGTTCGATCACGGCCCAGACTCCCTATTCCATCCATAGGGAAGCCCCAGAATAGTGGGGATATTAATAGGCTGATGATGATGAAATTGTGATATTTATCTCACCCTACCAATTTCTGTTTCAGATTTACAAATTTCCATTCAGCAACAGAACATCTGTACATGTTAATAGTAACATATTGAATTTCCGGTAATCATTTAACTGTTCAGTTTCCAATTTATCTGGAATCTTTTTAATGTATTTATTTTTGAAAATGTTATTGGTTCTAAGGATAATAAGAAAAATAGAGACTAAGTAGGTATATTGTAAGCAAACTATTTTAATTCAATCATGTTTATCGTTTCTGTAATATGTTACTTTATGCATCAATAAAACTATATAAATGTGTAGACTAATAAATTGTTATAATTGAAAATAGTTTTTTATTTCATTAAACAAATTGTAAATAATATTTTGTATCGAAATCCTATTTATATCTTTATACCATGGACACTCAGACCAAATAAAAAGTAAAGACGGAGTCTGCCGAACCAAAAAGTGAAGCCGGTTCTTTAAGTATGTAGTCCTTTATGGACCGCCCGCCCGCTGGGTGGGAACGATTGCATTGTTCTGCCGATTTCTCTGTTATTTTGTAAAAATATCCTTCACAAACGTATATTTGGATTCTCCATAAAATTTTCAATAAAACAGTGTGTACACAATGCGTCATGTCTATAATTTATTTTAATTACATTATGGTAAACTCAGGAAAGATAAAAAAAGTCGTTTAAATAGGTAAAATGAGGTATTTTCAAAATTTGTAAATTATAAATCCAGGTTTTTGTACATATAGAATGTACTATATATAAATGAATGTATATAATAACTTACCAAATACAATTATAAAATATAACACGCAACAGAAAAAAAGGGTCGTGTTTCCAGTGTTGATAAAAACAAATGCGAAATCCAAGTGCCTTGATGTACGTGTTGACGTTTAATTATGTTGGATTGTTTATTTTACTTTAGTTACAAGTCTCGGATGGAATAGGTTTGTTCATTTTATAGTTTCAAGCACTCGCAACAAGGCACTTGAAATCGCTTACAAATCAGTCATCTCAACTTTATGTCGATAAAACGAAAAAATGTTGATAAACAGTTTCTTTTATTAAAATGTACATGAAATTTTCTATAGAATACACAAAATATAATCACTAGTTCCTATACAAGAACATAATAAAATAAATCCACAAACATCGCGAATTTTGGGTCAAAAAGGCCATTAAAAAGTAGATGCATCTTAAAACGGTGTGCACATTAGATGAGGCATTTTTCTAGTGTGCACAGTTGGTCAAGGTCAAGGTTGCGTTTAAAATTAGCTAAGTACCAAATTAACATTATTTTTACTATTGTACTAATACTTTTATTGAACAATTACTTAATTCAAGTAAGTTCGCTTTAATTTAGTAGCATAATACGGCAAAATGGGGAAACTGAAGCAAGTAGTTCTACCACAACATGATAGATGGTGGGACTTGTACAAACAATAAGCAGTTAGCAAATAAATTATTGGAATCTTTAAAATATAAATTAATCTAAGTAACCATAATAATAGTAAAAAAAATACCTTTGGATATGCATTTTGTTTTACACGACGTAACCCTTTTGTTGTGTAGTACAAATCATCGCTCTGAAAATGAGTCGAACAAACCACGCTGCGGGAAGCTGGTTGCCACAATGGTTCATTTCTACTCTTACGAATGACTGCAATCCACTTCTCTTTTAGATCTTGATCTCGATTAGGAAATCTTAAAAAAAACATATAATATATAATGTGTATTACATCCCAAAAAATTTATACGAATACATAAAGAAAAAAGATAATAAAGATGTTTCGTGTAATTGTTTATCCATGCATTACAATATTCGAATAATATAAAAGTATGCTACACAATGTATTTAATAAAATAACGTTACGTTATATTTCACGCTACCCAACAAAAGGGTAAAACTGTAACGAATAATCATGGCAACATTTCGTTCAGGTTTTGTTTACAAAGCGACAACCTCAAATTTGATTTTGATTAATTGAAAATAGCAGTTTATAACTTTACTTACATATGAAATGTGATTCCATCCTGTTTTTTATTCTTGGAAGATTGGTTTTTACACGTTTTCACTACACAATTCGGCATTTTCTCTAATAAATATTGTTATTTATTATTACGTCACACTCCGCGCGTCGGGATAGCTCGACTGAGAAGCCAAGGCGTAGTTTCGTTGCATGTGTGTGCGTGTAACTGTGTATGTACACGGCGAGGCGTAGTTTTATCGGCTTCACTTTTTGGTTCGGCAGACTCCGTCTATACTTTTTATTTGGTCTGAGCATGGACATTGGAAAACATAATCACTCAACGTTATTTACAAGACGATGAATTTAAATGAATTATATAAAAAAAGTAATTTGGAATTGTATGACAGAGGGAGAGATGAGGGTTGGATGAGGGAATGGCACTAATGGTTTGTAAAAAGAATGAAATAAATGGCCTCTGTTCTGCCTATCTCACTACGCCTGGATACGCTTTTTGAATCTGATATTGCTAAATAAACTTTGAAATATAAACCATAAGGTCAATTTTATGAGACATTTTGTCCATTTGTTTCCCTTGGATACCCGTGGTCCACCTGGTGAACCACGGGAAATAAATAATCCCCATGGTCCACCTGGACCTGGATGGACTACGAGGCGGATCACGGGAAACAAAGGATTTTGTCTTAATAGGGAAGATGCATATTATATAATATTTAAGAAAATTCTATGATTCAAATGTTAAAAAAATATAAAAGAAATGCCACTGCAACGTTTTTATTTTACATAATGTTGTTTTTTAACAATTATTACGAATTAAAAATACTTGAAACGGAACGTATATTAAAACACCAATCAGCGTTTAGTGACGTCACTCCTGTTATGACAACTTCTTTGAGGATAGGGTTGTTAAAGTTAATATTATTTTATGGGAATATTTATTGCGTTTTTTTACATTTAATAAAAATGGAAGTTGCGTTTATCAAAGCAGACTCCAGGAATTTACCAAGAGTTAGCGTTGACATGGTTATAACTTTTTTTGTCCAAAGTGCAGAGTTTTTAAGTGTAGAAATGAAAGGGACTAAATTACTACGGTATGTAAAAATCGTAGTTGTTAAACTTCGTATTTTATTCAGCGTCTTCTACAAATCTTACGGCGATAATGCAATCGGCTATGTCCAAATTAAAAGAGATGGAAAATTATGTACAGTAAAAGGTCGAGTTCTCCGGAGCATAAAGTACGTAAAGAAGGTTATCGTGTTACAGTTATTTTAAATGAAACGCAAAGCTTGGTTCAGTCCTGCCAATGTGAAGATTGTGCTACACATTTTAAACTTTATCTAATTTTCGACGTCATTCTCCAACTGTAAAATTAAAAATATGTTATAGACAGGTTTTGTAAGTATTAGGTAGGTTACTAATGCGTTTTTACGTACAAGCAGATTAATTAAGCATATAACAAGTATATTCGCCGACATACGTCAAAGTGATCTTCTCAGCATCGAATAATGGTCTTTGGAGAATAATTGTCATTTCTCTTCGCAGCTTGAAACCACTTTTTTTCAGTTTTGGGTTAGAAGTTCCAGTCAAAATCAATTTATTTGGGAACTTTGTTGAAGTAGATTGGCACAAAACATGAGTCAACACGGCTTTTTTTCGGAATATTAGTGGTATTGTTATGATCACATGATGTTGATGGATAGTAGATTTTAAATTTTTCAAAAAAATATTTCGAAATCGAAAAAATATGCAAAATTATGAAATTTTAAAGCCAGCAACGAACAATTACGACCAGTGACTGACAGGAGTGACGTCATCGCAACCATAGGTTCGTTTTCGCGCGAAAATTTAAATTGTCAATTTAAAACCGCATTTTTTCCGATAAATCACAATGTTTTAATTTTTTAATATGTCTGTGGTTTATTCTACATGGAATTCTTTAAAATGAAAACAAAAATAAAAATATTGCATCTTCCCTAACAAAGTAGCTCAGGGACGAACAAAACGTAACGTATACTGTGCTGACAGCAGCTGACACATAATGTCAAAATAAAACGCAGCTGTCAAAAGCGAAGCTCCTATCGTAGATCAAAATATTTAGTTTTTCTCTTTTACCATAATTGAAATGGATAAAATGAACTAAATATTTTATTATTAATAAACATTTATCTGTTTTCATAGTATTTTGTAGGTTTGGGTACTATATTAGATGAATCACTGTCACCTGCAATAGTACTTAAACAAAGTATCTTCTAATGAACTATTCTGATGGTTTTGTCGAAGCTGGGAGCTCAAAGCAGCCCTACCAGCATACATATAACTTGTGGGAGAATTCAGCCTACTATGACATCAATGACTTAAGCGCGCGAAATTTGGTTGTAAAGGAAAGCGTTGAACCATGTTCTTCCTCTGAAGAGGATGTGAAAGTGGAACGTGATGCTAAAAACCGTCGTATTATAAGCAAGGAATCTCTATATAAAGAACCTCCTAGCGATGAAGACGAACAGAGGTAAAAGATTACGATAATAAACTGTAGAAAATAAATGTCGATTGAAATAAATAACAAGCTCTCTAAAGTTAAATAAACGGGAGGTTTTTATAAGTTTAGAATTTATTAATAATAGGTTAGTTTTAAATGTAAACGTCAAAACTCTGAAAGGAATAGTTATTGCAGCTTACTAATTATTACTGCTGTAAAGTTGCAAGTCAACAATTACTTGCAGCATATCAATCGTTATGAACAGAAAAACAAAAACCCTGATGGATAAAATTTTATATAGGGACAAGAATTGTTTGAAGTTAGTCAAGTGGCTCTTATAATATGTCCTGTCCGAGATTGGGGAAATGTAGTAACATACTCACTCTGGGATATCAATAATTTTCTGAAAGTTAGTGATCTTCTTCTTCTTTTTAGAAAATGGCGGTGCACTTGTGTGGATTTCACCAGACTCAAGTGATTCAGCTTGGTTGTTCAGTAGGAATAGACTTTGCTTTTTTTTTTTTTTAAGTATGTTGTGAAAGCACAATATGTGAAAGGAGTAAACAATGTACTTGAATTTTTGTAATTGGATATCTGTCGTCTTATCTGAAAGGTAGAGACAAACACAAAAAAAAAGTTAGTAATGTTAATTGGTTATTCTAGAGACAAACAATTACAAGCATATATTATTTTTGGATATATATTCACAAAGTAGGATAATAAAGGGGGAGTTAACATAGGTTAGGAGTGTTTTAAAATTCATAGGTTTGGGAATATATGGTGGAAGGATGTCATACAGTGAAACCGGGTATTTTGGGCAACTAAAGAAAATATGTTCGGTTGTTCCTTCATCCAGCCTGCATTCTCATAGTGAGCTGTCTTTGACCTTAATTTTGGCAAGGAAGACGGGGGTGTTTACGTGCCCTATATTAGTGATCTATAAAGTTTATTTGATGTTTCTAAGTGTGTTCAAAAGTTTATTTAAATTCAAATAAAAGTTTCTGCAGTGTCCTGTTTTAAAAGCCAAAACTAAAACAGAGCATCAAAGATTAAACATAATATAGATACAGAAAAAAATTAAGATATATGTGTTCTAGTATAATATTTTTAATTAGCACTATTTCACATAGCCCTAAGAAGCCTTGTGACTCATATAAATGGGGACATCAATAGGAGGACATAGACAATATTGAGTATATAAATGAATAGTGTTACCAGAGCTGGATTTAGAGGTGTGGGGCCCTAGGGCAACGAAGAAGTGGAGGACCGTATCTTAAGATCTGGTACCCCACAATTCGCCACACACAATTTGCACCTTTCTTAAATCCAGCCCTGAGTGTTAAATTAGTATAAAAGAAACAATCAACAGCTATCCTTTTTAATTGTCACAGTGTTGAACCAGAAAATAATTTGCAACCAGAGGCAAGCGACTGGACATCACAATACTGGAAAAAGGCAGGCCGAGACACCAACATTACTTCACCAAATGTACAGAACAAGCAGCAGCCTAAATCAAATAAAATTCATAAGAAACTCAATAAGGCTTTATCACAGCCTCTCAAAATAGATAAGGCAGCAAGGTAAGGCGAGATAATAAACTTGTAGATGTTAGATAAATAGTTATGAATTAAAACAATACATATTTTTAATAATATTTCTAGATATTTTTAATGTGAAAGCTAAAGAATGACAACTAAGTGTTGATTTTTACTTGAGTACAGTTAGAAAGAGATGTAGCTCTGTATAGGACATGGCGCCATCCCTTTCTAACTGTGCTCAAGGCCTAAGTAAACTATAGAGGTATTATTATCAAGATTGAGAGTATTGCCATTAAAAATTGGTAGCTCATCATATTTCACAAGATTACAGCAGCTGCAGTATTTCAGGCATAAGTGTAAATATATTCTGATGGGGGTAGGCAGAGAGTGCACTGGAAATTGCACAACTTTATTTATTAAAACATTACAGCATGATGGCCAAAATGGGTTGGCAAGGAGGTGCCTTGGGGAGGACTGGTACTGGAATTGTGGAACCTATTGCTCCTAATACTGAGTATGTGAGTACAGTATACAGTAGTTTTTTTTTTTATTGAAGTTATACTTCTTTAGGCGCGTTATGAAAAAATGATGAGAGTGAAATTTTAAGATGCGCGCGCATCACTGTAACACAAAATTTTAACAGCATGAAGTTGGTTAGCGACCAACTTCATGCTGTTACTTTTGTGTTTACCGCACATTAAGAAAATCTACCAACAAAATAGAAATAGAATCTCTATTTAGTGGTTGCTAACGACTGCATTGTGAAGGCCTATCAAAAGTATTTATTAATCTGGAACAACGGAACCAAAGCGCGATTCAGGAGACTACAGCGCCATCTCTTGACCATTGGTGTAGTAGAACCAAAAACCACATCTTTATTTTTTGTAATAAAGTAACAGTTATAGGTATTCATATTTATAATATTTATCCACATGTTTTTAGTTTGTATATTCGGAATACGTGTTTGAGTTTCATACAAGTGCAAATCACATATGTTCTAATAAATTATATTCAGTAGCGATTTTAATTGAATATTTTGATTATTTATTTATTTTTTCAAATTAAAACTGAACTTTATTGACTGTGTCCTTTTCCAGACTTTTTATTAATTTATTGTAATTAATTATTTGCATGCAATCAAAAACTAATTTTAAACGATGCCAAAGAAGGATAACTTCTCACGCGCCTACATAAGTACACGTACCCATTTTTTTTTCATTGTATTCTTCTTTTTAACCATTTCCTTCAACAACTGCTTGATTCTGGTTTTGAAGCTAAATCCACTAATATATTTATTTATTGTTTTTTGTGTAGCAGTTATCATAATAAAATTACATTGGTCTCTCGTTTCATATTTTGAATGTCTTCATTATTACTTTTGCCTAAGTGCCTATAAACTGCTACCCATTTTCCATCGCATTCTATTGTGGTGGTGATCATTCTTTATTTGTTACTTACTTATACAAGTTGTAAACAACTTGCAATACATATACTTACCTTGTTTTTTGGATCTAACTCTGAGACCTTTGCTCTTATTTAAAATATTGAAATAACATTATTAACTTATTAAATTAGTCACAGGATTGCTTCCATATACCTTGTTTAAAGTAAGTCTCCGATATTTCGGCACTGTTGCAATTGCTCTGATTACTGAGTTAGTGAAGTGACTGCGGGTAGATGTTATTAGCGGACATATCCATCTACCCTCTGGCGTAGTTTTAGCTAGACATCCCTACCACTGGGCATATTCTCACTACGCACTCTTAATTGTTTCTAATACAAACTTTGCTCTTATGTCGGTTTCCCAGCTCATTGTGCAGCTCCTCAACGGAATCTGAGACAATTATGTTATCATTCGTATAAAGAAGCGTCACTGGAACTGGTTGTTATAGGTTTTCACTGACAAAATTCAGAACCATATTGAATAAGAGTAAGCTTAAAGCAGAACCAAGTCAAATGAATACCTTTACAAGTAATTAAAAATTTAAAGAAGAAATAGCAATAGGGGTGATGACGGGGTACAGTAAATGAAATTCTATTTAGTCCGTCAGTTAGATGAGCAAAAAATAATGGACACGTATTTTTTCTTTGGGCAATCAACAAAAAATGACAAAGTTATAGCGCGTCAAAGTTTGGGAGTAGGGGCTCGTCACGTCACTTTTGAGAAAATTTTTACTTATCAATATATCTCTGCAATGTTTATATTATGTGAAAAAAAAAATACGTGTCCAATACTTTTTGATAATCTACCTGATAAACGAAGAAAAACAAATTAGTCATCATCCCTATTGTAGTTATGTTAAACCTATAGTAAAATTTTGTTAGTATTTAGTAAAACATCTAGTAGTTGAATGATTTAAAAAATATAAACACATTGAGTATATTTAGCTTTAACTTAATAGTTCCCAAGACTTTCAAAATATATTGTGACTTCGATTTTATGCAGGGGCGTATTAATAATCTGGCGCCTTAATGTTTTTACACCTGAATTAGTAAATCAAATCAAAAAATATGTCAGTAAAGAAAGATGTTATATGGCTTCTGCTGCCCTTCTGAGCTCTTACAGCCGCCTGTGACAGCCTTCCGCACCGGGTAATAGCCCTCTTGACCCTAGCGTAAACACGTCCCTTATTTTATAGCTCGATACTTTCTGCAGACATAGCCCAAGAGCTACTGAACCCTCCGAGTACCGGTGTGTCTGTAAGGCTAGAAATTTTTATGGTGATGAGCCATAGCATGCTTAGTACGGTAAGCATCGTCTGGCACTCCTCAGCCCTGCACGTCATCAAGCCGTATATTTTTGAGTGTCAAAAAAATATTAAAAAAAAACTTGTTGCTGTAAGCTTGAAATTTTTATACAATTAATATAAAAATACGTATATAACTTAGACATATATAAATTTAAACTTTACAGATTAAAGTTTATTTTTTTGTATATATTACACACCTTCCGGTTCGTCTGGCAGGTACTTGTGCTCATCGTAAACGTCTGGCAATTTTTTTTAAACTTAAAGATGTATAAACTACATTGTACTATAAAAATTTCAGACCGGTACTCGGAGGGTTCAGTAGCTCTCCTGCTAACAGTGGCATTCCCTTTGTTCTTTTAGAAGGGAATGATATTCTTTATATACATATTATTATGTATTGTACCATTGTTACTGTAATACTAGCAACAAGCCGCGATTCACCTCAATAATTATTTGTTTGTTTTCACTGAAAATAAATTCGGCCCTATTTCTTGCGGATAAAGAGGTCGGCACTTTTGCCCTGGACTTAGATACTTTCCATTACAGTGCAACTTCTATGTCATTCATATTAATATACAAAATTCCAGGCAACGAGAGCTACAACAGGTTTCGGGCAACCGGAGCTCAAGCTGAAACCGAGGCAAAAACCTATAGCAAAAAATAAGCCGATGCAAAAGCACATGAAAAAGAAACTAAGAAAAAGTAATTTCAAGATAAACGTCCTTTTGCATATACTAGATTTCGTAAAAAACGATTATGAAATTGAAGTAATGTTCGCATCCAACTTGGCTAGTTTTGAACGTAAGAAAATACATGACATCGTTGAAGAGGTGGTTAACGCCGAGACTATTGTAGCAATGGCGGCCGACAGCATAGCCGAAATGGACATCTTTCAAGATATAATCAAATATAATAATTATATTTTGAGGACGGAGAGCGAAGGCGTTATGCCCAATCGGTAAGTTTGTAATATTATCATCTTTACAGAAAAAATATTGAGAAAAAATAATAGAAGACTTATTTGTCATTTCCGCATTCTTAAGCCGAGTTTAGTCTCGAAGGTGCAATTATACTTGGCCTTATTACACCCGACGATAAATACATTGTTTTTACTGGAACACGGACAAAGGAGTCTAAGCCTGCTTTCGGGTCGCAACGGACCTCAGTGACTGTACGTTCCAACCCGAAAGCAGGCTTACAAACGGCTGACTTGACTTGACTCTGTTCATAACCATAAAGTATATTTTAAAACCAAACACTTTTTTGTTATATACATGACATTTTAATACCTGAAGATAATGCGTGAGCAACAGCAATTTCATAAAACAAATAGTTGTAAAACGGGAAATTATTCTAATATGCTTATGCATTGAGATTGAGACGATTTAAATTTATTATTAATGACATTATTTTACCAGTTCACTCTGCATTTACAAAGAAGCGCCTGAACACATGTATTTAGTAACACACAAGGACTTGAGATATGAACCAGAAGAGCCAGAACAGACAGACGTACATATGGACACGGAAACTAATGATGATGCAACTGAGGATAACAAAAAAACTGTCCAAAATGAAACTAAAGAAATAGAAAATGAAACGAATGAAAATTCTAGTGATTTTGATGAAGCAGAAAAAGATATGGATTTTTTACTAGACGATGATGAGACAAACGAAATTACGGCTAAAAAAGAAAATACAATTGAATCAGACAATGACACAGTTGATATTAAAGAAGAAGAAAATAGAGTTGAAACTCGGCTAGTTAAAACTTATTACATTACAAAAAAAGGTTTAGTGAAATACAGAACAAAGAAGGTCCCCGTGGACGAAAAGCCTGTAAATAATGCAAATAGAAAAAGCAAATTCTGCAAAGTATCTATGAATGCGTTGGCAAAAGAGAAGAATCCTTTTTTGAAAAGTATACTGAGCGCACAGAAGCCCAATAACGAGCCTTTGACAAAGGCGGATTTGAAAAATCAAATCCTGGAGTATTTTACGGAGTTCGCTAAGGAAGACCTGTATAAAGAATTCAAATTCTTAGGACCATTTGAAGGGATTGAAGTGGAAGCGATCAACGAATTCATAAATAATTTGTGGATGTGCATCAACGATGGCGACTATTTGAATGACGATATACTGTGTGTCATGAAGGATGCTAAATGTGGTTTTGCTATAATGGAAGAGGCTAACGGAAGTGCGTTGTAAGTATTACTTAGAGCGTAGATGTAGTTATCACCATTTGTTCGCACTATGGAGCATGCCTTGATGACATAGAAGGCATTTCAAATTGTGCAATGTATTAACATGTTTTTTTTTCTAAATTCTCTTTCAGAATATACAAGACAAAAAGACAAGAATCGGATACGTAATACTGGTCCGTACGTTACCACCGAAGATCAGTGAGTGGCCGTGCTAATTACACTGTGACCAAGATCTTGTGGCACATGAACTAATTTTAGTAAGGTAAAAAAAAGCCTTTGTGTTTTTAAAGGAATGTATAAATAAGCCTTTATTATGTCCTTTTACTTTTTTGTAGTTCTATGCTTCTCTATTGGGAAAGGCAAAGACAAAGATTTGCAGATTTGTTTCTTAGGTTTTCACGCACATCACTCATTAAATAAAACTAGTTTTTACAAGTAATTTTGAGTTTATTTATTTGACCCTAACTACATGGAACCGGTGGTAGTTTACAGTAGTTAGGGTCAAATAAATAAACTCAAAATTACAAAAATAAATTTTAAATAAAATACTTTATTAACTAAATTAAGTAATAAATTCATACACAGACAATAAAACTTTAAAAATCAAACAATGAAATAACCGAACGCTGAATAAAAGTCTTCGAAAGTTAGCTGACAAAATTAAATAAAATTTGATTCTGACGACGTAGCCTGTAAAGGCTACGAAACGTCAATAAATAAATAAAGTTTCGTGCATTAACCCGTAAAAACTAGTTTTATTTAAAGATATGCAGCCATCGTCTTATTTTTGTATCAATCTTCCTTTTTTTACATTAGAATGTGGTCGTGACGCATTATAATATTTCTTGGGAGTGTTTGACACAAAATGTATCGAGTCAGCTTTCTTGACAAACTTCTGTGAGGTAGTAATCACTACAATAAAGTTCTCACGTCCATTTGACAGGTATAGCGTATATTTAAAAGATTCCACTAATTCTTCAGTTGTGCAGACGGTTGAAACACAAAATCACACCAATTTTATTTTACAATATCCACTATGCCGCACTCGATGAAATCCCGCCAAAAAAACTTCCTACTACCATTTCCGAGTTATTGCAAATATAACTTTCTTTAATGGCGCGATTACACTTCGTCGCGGCGGTAGCCCGAATACGAGTGCCAATGGATTGTCCCAGTGTAATTAAACGGAACCGAGTACGCCCGTATTCTGGTAGATTTTGTTTTGGTTACGTGACATCCTATTCCAGCTCGAGTTCCAGTGTTGCTTCGGGTGCCCGAATTGGAGTAATGTCTTTCGTACACCCGTATACGGGCTAACGACCAAATGTAATTGAGACGATAAGTGGAGAGATTTAATTTCGTAATAATTAAATCCTTATTTGTCAATGTTATGTAAATGCCACAAGAATCAAGATCTTGGTCCATGGAGGTTAGAGAGAAGGAGAACGAACGCCGTAGACAATAGTGTCCCAGAAATATGGACAAAATAAGTGAGGCGCTGCGATCGCTAAGTTGTCTCAATAAAAGCGGACTGTTGTGCGTTAATTTGAAATGACCAATGCCACGAAGGAAATTTGTACATTATTCAACTAACTTTATCTACTTGTACTCATAAACAGCTAACTTCACAGGTACTACTTACCGGCGGCAGCGCGGCTGGTGGCTGAAAAATGAACTATATAAATTTTACAATTTTTTTAGGGACAGCCGGGCTAATGCTTAAACACGTAGCGATCGTTCTCCTTCCCTCTAACCTCCATGTCTTAGTCAAGCAGTAGCTGCGTTGTCGGTATTTGCGTCTGATCAACCTGTTAAGTCTGAATTGTTTATTAAATCCAGAGTAAATCTTTAGGTAGGAGTAAGAGTAGAGGAGTAAGCTTTAGGAAATTCCGCTCAGATCAGTCCCATGTAAATCTGTTTGCTCGGAGTATTTTGACCGGCGAGAAAGATTCATCTGTTATCTGTCATATTGTGAGCTTCGTTTCTGTTTGAGGTTAGAAATTACTCTACGGTTGGTCAGGTCGTTCGGTAATAGAAATTTGCTCAGATTAATCTGTGATCACGTGACCAAAAATCCGTCGCCTCCGCGATGCAAATACCAAACGCAGCGTGTATGCAATAGTTTAATTCTATATTCTCTATGGTGTTGGCAGAGCATCAAAGCAGAAAGTCACGCGTTCCCCCCTCCTTCATAAACCCAGGGATCCTTTAAAATAGGTGTGAAGAAGCACCTTGCAGGCTAGCAAAGTGACATTGTCTCGTGTGGCTTAATTTTTAGGGTTCCGTACCTCAAAAGGAAAAAACGGCACCCTTATAGGATCACTTTGTTGTCCGTCTGTCCGTCCGTCCGTCTGTCAAGACCGTTTTTCTCAGGAACGCGTGGAGGTATCAAACTGAAATTCATACCTTATACTCAGGTCTACTGTCCCTTGGAGCTATGAAAAAATCAAACTTCTAAGCCAAAGCAATCAAAAGATACAGCCATTTATGCCGCAAATTTTCGAAACTCGCACGGGAATCAAAACCTACAGGGTACTTCCCGTGAACTTAGAATCTTGAAATTTGGTACGAAGTAACGTCTTATAGTACAGATAAAGGAAAAATTGCGAAAACCGTAAATTTTTAGTTACATCATAAAATAAAAAATATTTTTGAATATTTTTGTACGGAACCCTCGGTACGCGAGTCCGACTCGCACTTGGCCGGTTTTTAAAGCTGCAGAATGATATGGAAGACGAATTTTTACAAAACAAGAGTCAAAACATAGGGGAATTCTTTAGAATGAGCGAGGATTCAGCGGAAGATGCGACTACATTTGGCTCATATTAACTTTGTATGTTATACAATTGACATAAAGTTCATTATGCTATGCACAATTTCGTTGCAAAAATTGAGAAAGTATTCGTATCGTCATCGTTAAAGTTTTCAAGAAAGTAACTAGTTTGTTCTAACGTCCGGCAGGGGCGCTGCTTAGTTACCATAGAAACACTGACGATTGCGATACGAATACTTTCTCGCTAGTTGTTCGTGCTTGGGGACTGTGTCGTTATCTTACTGCATATTTTGATGCTTTGTGAATCTGGCGTGAGCCTAATAATAGTGTGAATTTTAACTTTACCGAAAATTATGTAACTTCTACATAATTAATATTGTGTACATATTTACAAGAATTATGTAAATAAATAAATTGTTTTAATTAAAATAAGCATTTTTTATTCTGTCACGACGCCATTAAGTCTTGTTTATTTCTCAATGGTTTTGGTCGTCAACCACTGGTGATCATAAAATTACTTAATTATAAATTTAATGCTCGTTTGGTCTCTAACCATGGTTGCTAGAACATGTTTCCAAACTCATAAAATTATAATACTAACGCGACACGCACACAGACAAAACAAAATTCGATGACAAATCCAATATCTACAAATGAATTCGGCTATCCATTTATTGGGTAAGATAATGTTAAACGGAAATCCCAACCAATCCCATGATCGGCGTGTGGATCGCATTTTCTTGCCCCGCCCACTGGCGTGGAACCACTTTTTGGCACAGTTCGTATTCCATATTTATTTATTAAATGCAAATTTGTACAAAGGCGGGCTTAATAGCGTAGACATTCTCTACCAGTCAACCATAGGCTATTTTGGAGACAATTAGTGTTAGGGTGGAGAATACTCATAACCGAATATAATAAATAGTAATGAATACACACATATACGAATTATACATATACATATACTTAAATACATATAAATACACACTAATACATACATAAGTATATATATATATATATATATATATATATATATATATATATATATTTTAAGGTTTTCAACAAGAACTTTGTTTTCTAAAACAAAAAATTTAGATGAAGATGATTAAAAATTTTATTGAATTACAAAGGGAATAGTTCGGCAATTATGAATGAAAAATGATATCTGGCAAATGACCACCACGAGCATGCTGACAGACGTCGATTCTTTCATCAAAGTTTTTAATCACTGTTTGGCAAAATGGCGGGACAATTTCGTTAATCACGTCACGGATTTTGAGTTTTAAAGCTGCAATCCGTTCGATTGGCCCCGTATAGACTCTGTCCTTAACATAACCCCACAAAAATAATCTAGTGGTGTTAAATCACATGATCTGGCTAGCCACTTAACAGTTGAGTTTAGTGAAATTATGCGATCGGGAAATTTGGTTTGCAATAAATTGATCGTTTCATTGGCGGTGTGACATGTGGCGCTGTCCTGTTGGACTCACATTTCAGTGATATCCACGTCATCAATAATAGGCCAAAATTCGCCATGTGGTGGTTTTGAATAACCCCAATTGTTGAGAACGTCGAGGAATTGACGAATTTGGATCTGCTTTAAAATTGGCTCATGGCTGCGATGCTTTCAGTTGAACGACCCGGTCGAACACGCGTTGGTGTTGGCACATTTTGTATCGAGCCTGTCGATTAAAATTTAACGACCAAATTCTTAATAGCGGTCTCAGAAGGACGATTATGTTGTCCGAAAATATCACGAATTTGACAAAATGTATCTGTAACCGAACCGCTATTTTCATAGTGGATTTTAATTATTTTTATTCGATTTTCAAACGAAAGCGATTTCAAAACTATCATATTTGTTGGTGTAGCCACAATTGAAAAACAAAGTTTTTGTTGAACAACCCTGTCCATTCGTGCTAAATGAGAATGACGACAAACGACTTAACTAGGCTGCCTGCTCATGTAAAAAGATTCGAAGCTTGGTTTCAAAGCTGTATTTGTTGGTGAACATTCTAATATCTAGTGGGAGCTCATTCCAAAGAAGTATAGTTTTCACGAAGATGGAGGAGTGAATAAAATCGGAGCGGTGAGATGATACCACAAGTAACCAATTAGAATTATTTTATATTTTTTCTTGTTTATCGATTAAAAGTTACCTTTTCTATCTTCATTCATGTTTTCACCAGCTTGGTCAACTCGCTTCACTCCGCAACTCGAACATAATTTTATGCATTCAAACAAGGACGTTGAATAAAACACAAAGTTTACTGCAAATTTTAACGTAATGTATTTATTAATCTTACCGTTATATACAAGACTGGTGACTTATATTTTTCAGTCTATACCTTCTAATACGTTCTTGTCACAATTACAACTAACTTATTTTAACATAAACAACTCAACGGGGAATCCTAAAATTACAAGACAATTATTATTTTGACATAACGTTACTTTTAGAAGTCAAATGGAGAGAGTTTCATGATTTTATTAAGTAAAAGTTATTGTGGATTTAACAAGTCTTATTTCACTGTAAACTATACACAGTGCAACGAGAATATAAATGTATGCGTGAAGAGTCATACAATTTAGTTTTATAAATAGAAAGTAAAAGTTCTCTATTGGTTATTAAACGGGATTTACACTACCCAATTTTAAGGACCAAATCGAAAGGGTAAAAACCCCTAGCTAGGGTAAGCAATTACTGCACCACGCCGATCGCCCTAGACCGGGTCCCTTACTCCCTAACTCACATTACACCACCCTTAGTCAGGGTAAGGATCCCTTCCCATATGACCCCGTCTCTCACCCAGGGGCGGGGTATGCGTCAAGCATTGTACTAACAAAAAAAAGAGGCAAGGGTCCCTTAAAATTGTGTAGTTTAATTCCCGCATTACCAGTTGCCCTCATCATTACGAAATTAATCCATCTTCTTTTCAAATACAAAACTAATAAAATTTAGTACCCGATTCTGGCATTATTCTATAAATCTAAAATTAAATTTGACAATCCTTGCCATGCTATAATTAACGTGAATGAAAATGAGAGACTTGTCAAATTTAGTTTTAAGTTTAGAGAATCGTGCCAGAATTGGGTACTAAATTTTATTACTTTTGTATTTGAAAAGAAGATAGGGGGGGGAGGGCATGACTTTAAAAAAGGATCTCCTACTCTGAAGTGGGAGACCCTTGCTGGATTTAGAGGTGTGGAGACCCTGGGGTCTCTAAATCCAAATCCAGCCCTGTACACAACTTTCAAATTAAGCTGCCAATGGTTATATGATAGCATGTAATAATTACAAGCAAAAACTACACAGTCCAAAAATATCTGAATGTCCAACATACAATGCTTAAAGTAAATACATACATTTGCAGCAATAGTCAACTTATTTTTCAGTCTCAGAAAGCTAACGATATGCATTAAAATGATACAATTACGATACATTTCAGCGGTAATTTTCTGTAAATTTAGAGTTCATTAAATTATTGAAATAGCGATCCGCAATGCTGATTTTAGAACACCATGGAATAATTGATTTTCTTTTGAACACGGTTATATTTTTCTGTAATGTACCTACTAACGAAACGCCATCTTACAATTTCTTCATTCCAGGGTACGATAAAAAAATGTATTTAATGATTCTAATAAGACTGAACAATGATTGTATATTATAATGATATAGAAAAAGGCTGATTTACTCTCAGTTTTACATGAAAAATGTAATTCAATGACTTAAAAATGTATTTTTATACAATGAATAAATTCTATCTATTATTGTGTACAATATTAACAGCTATGTTTCAACTACATTAGTTAAAATAAAAATACAATGCTCGTATTCAATAAATACAAACATAATATGGATACATTATAGTATATTTGTGAATATTTTTTATCTACAGATATATTTTTTTTGCCACCAATAAAATTCATAGTAAAATTAATTGTGATGTATGGTGACATCTGTAATCAGTGAATTAAGTCGGTTGTAATTATGTGAAGAAAAGAAAAGACAATAATGACGCAGGACATTCTGTACTGCTGCCACATCATGTCAGAAATAATGTGCGAGAATGACAGAATTTCTTTATTGGCTCAAGTTTTACAATCATTCATTATTGACTAGGAAATTTAACTCGCTTCTATTTATGGAGAATAAAAATAAAATAAATGTATTTTAATGCATTTACAGTTAATAACGAGTATTGAAACGGAAATAAGTAAGTGATAATATAATGTGGTGGTCAAAATATCATATATTAACATTAATCTCACATTTTGAATCAAAAGGAATTTTACAAACTAAATAAGTAGGTATACAATATTTGAATGGCAATGTGTTTCATGGAATACTAATAAATCTTAAACGAATATTAATTAATATCTTACATAAGTTTATGGCAAAATTAATATGTATATCATCGGAATAATATAAATTTCACACAAACACACTCATACACAGATAATACAATTTTCGTTTCACGTTTTGACCAAAATTTTACATTTAAATTAAATATAAAGTGTAAATAAAATTGTTTACCTAATAAAAAATATAATATAGCACACACAATGGCAATCTTCATATCAAATATTTCCACTAAATCTCGTGGGACAATGCAGGGAATAATATACAAATAAAAATGTCTTTTAATTTAAACTAGTAAATAAAAGCAGTCTATGGTAATATCACTTAAGGATATGATGACACTACTAAAGATTTAAAGCCAAGTCAATAATTTAATTATAATATTTTTTTATTATATTCACAACATTTTTCAATTAGCCTTTAAGGTAGTTGACCCCGGCTTAATGTTGTTTAAATCAGGTTTGAACAACGGATTTGTAACATGTTGGTGCCGTTTTAACAACTTTTCAAGAGCCGCCGTTATGCCGTCACTTCTCTTGGCTATTAGTATTTGCTATTTGTAAACTTATTGTGATTATTTTAGATTTTTGGCTATGCAGTCCTAATGGGATTGCAGTCACTGCGACCTATAACATCTATTGTGACACGCCACCAAGTTAAAGTATCTTTTTAAGCCAGACAGCTTCAAAAGCTTCAGAAGCTCAAAAATGTTTCTAGCCTTTATAGATTTGATTTCTGGGAGTGTTATACGTTGTCCCAAATGAATACAAACGTTTGTGGATGAGAGGCTCCATTTACATAGGCCAACTTGACATACATCAGTCTGTCCTTGTCATTGCCATAGAAAGCATGATAAGGACAAACTGTTGTCAAGTTCACAAATAGCAAATACGAATAGCCAAGTGACTTGCCGGGATTAGGTTTTGATGTTTTTCTCAATGCTAGTTCCATAACTCGAATCTACTGTGCTCTCTACCGCGAAGAAATATGGTACACTTTACTATAACGCGTAAGACTTTTTGTACAACCATTGGCTTTCGCCAGATATGTTCAGCCTTCATATTCGTTACACTAACTTCAATAAATCTAATGATAAATAACAATTTTACAATAGTTTTTATAGTCCCAATGATCGTTCTATTGCATACTTTATAATTTTACAAATCTAAGAATTATCCTACAAAGCGAAGTTTCATACGTGAAAGGTATAAATAAAACTCATCAAATAAATCATTAAAAAATAAATTATCGCCTGTGTGTCATAGAGAATATTTTTTTATAATTTTTATTTTTTAAGCATGTAACTGCTGGTATTTAAATCTAAATAAAATAAAACTACAAATATTTTTTTACTATTAGATTTTTTTTTTCAACTGCTAGCTGTTGTATCCTTAGATTTGTTTCAATGTAAATGAATTTAAGCAGTTTTTGTCACTGCATATAATTAGAATAGTCATGTATTTACATTTTAACAATTAAGTCCAGAGATAAACCTACACGGGTGAAAGAGTTCTCTAAATATTTTAATATAATAACATTATCCATTTTCAATCTCGTTCACAAGTCAAATGAAGGTTACATAGAATTATTGCTAGCGAAATTATTATTGCACAAAATAATTTCATAATTTAAATTTATGAGTATAATTACAAGTCATTATTCTATTAGACGAAACAATCATTATAGATCATTTTTATAATTCGAATCATACCTATATGAGCTCTATTCGTTTTCGCTCAAAAACTGGCGCAAAATACATACTTTTTATGGATTTCAAGAAGTAAAAGAGATATAATTTATATCTGAAAATAAGGTTAACAAAATAGGTTACCGGTTTATTTGTAATTCTTGCTTATGTACATTGGAATATTGCGAACAGAACACACGTTATTTTACGCGATTTTGTTTACAACACAAAAACTAATATTAACTCTCAACAACTTATTAAAATTTATCATTCAGTCAATTGATATGTCAAAATAGAAATTAAAATAACGAGTACCGAAGTCCTCATGTCTTTTTCGCTAAATACTACTTCCTATTTAGGAGCATAAATAGGAATATTACCGACATAATCTACAAACAAGTAGAAAAAAGGCAAATAAATCAACAAAATTGAGCAGATATCTCGAAATCAAATGAATAAAAATAATGGACAAATATTTTCACCAGTGTTAATATTTTCTCAATTTTCGAATCACTCTTGATCAAGCAAGAGAACTTGCAAATCCATTGAATATAAATAAACATAGAACCTCCGACATGGTTAAAGGGGTAATATGAGTAGGTAACTTCACTTGTAAGTGAATATAAAAAATTATAAAAAAATATTTAATGTAAAAATAGATACCGTTTCAAAGCAAAGGCAACACAAATTCGGTATAACCGAGAATAGTCTTTTACAATTAAAAACGGGTTTGTGTCTAGCCAGACATCACTCCCGTCAACCAGGACTTGGTAATGTCGTGTCCTTATGCATATTTAAATGTACGACGACACAATCTAATATAAAAGTAAAGTTTATAAGGATGTTGCGAATTGTATTTAATTTTGGAAACACCCGAACCAGTTTTATCGTCACTCGAATCTATTTTTGAAGTGAAAACTTCTTTAGCGGCGATGTACACTGTTTTTGTGATGGGTAAAAAATGTTAAACTTGCGTCATGTGGCCTAATCGAAAATTCGTAAGACGAAAACATTCACTTCTGCCGGCACTCCCGGAGTGCAAGCCGTTTTTATTGTTATTGTAGATTTGAGTGCGTTTTACTATATCGCACCTGATGTTAGGCAACGATGTGGTCTAAGCTGAAGCACGTAGACTCAAATAATGCCTTTTAACTTTTTTCTTGAAGATTTCTGCTGCAGAAGGATGGATAAGCAATACTTCTGCCTTTATGCGAATCTATCCTTCTGCTAATCTAGGATTTTGCTATTCTGGGATATTGCTTTACTGTACTTTTGCTGCAGAGGGAAAGATCCATATATTGTATGTATCGGTGAAGAATCAATCTTGAAAATCAGTAAATCTTTCACACACGCATTACGAAGGGTTACACAGACCAATCAACATCAATCTATTCTGTGCTGTGATCATGTAAAAGGCGTTGGCAAATTACAAAAATGCTTCCGTGACAGGTCGTATCAGTCAGTTCCTTATGTTGATACAATAGAGTTTATTTTTGAAAATCTTTTTTTATTTAATCGCAAGTATACTTTAGACTGGGCAAACATGTAAGATTTCCGGATTCGGTTTCCTGATCAGGAATCCAGATTCGGAATTCCTTGAGCCTAGCGCAGGACGTTTCGGTTTTTTTTATTAGTTATGGGTTTTTTTACCACTCTGAAAAATTAGGAATTGTATGTACCTCGTTGAACGTTTTGTATGTAAGGACGTGCATTCAGGTTTCCAAGCTGGGATTCCAAATCAGGAAACTGTAGATATGCGCCCAACCTTATTCTCTGAAACTCAATGGCCGCACTGCACTATAGAACCAAAACACAAAGTGAAGCCTGATGTGTATTGTTTGTTATCTCGTAATAATGTAATGGCGCGATTGCATTTGGTTGTTAGCCCGAATATGAGAGGCAATTTCTTCTCTCGTCAAGCTCAAAGAGCTTCTTCAAGCTCGTATTCCTGTGTCAATAGCGCTTCGGGTGCCGGAATTCGAGTAATGTTTTTCGTGCACCCGAATACGACTTACGACCAAGTGTAGTCGAGCCAAAAAGGCTGCGTTTCCACAGAACCCAAAAAATGACCAATGAAATTGTTCAAAATACACACACACACAATATATTTTGCGCAATGCCAATGGCCAATTTTTTTTGAGACTGCCCAGCTTCGTTTCTTTGAAAACGGAGCCTTAAATGAGCTAGGCAAGTTGACCAAATAGAGTATAGCATAGCGCAGCATAACTTGATGTTGATTGATCATCCTTAAGTAGTTGGACTGAAGAGAATGCGAGTTTCATGTTCTTAAAGCCTACTACAAAAATAAAAACGATAATCGGAACGAGTTTGTCATTCAATTGTTTATATAACATAAACCTTAACGCGTTTAGAAATAAGGTTGAAAATTTGAAGATTCACACGATTATCTTCGGCTTATTTCAGTTAGTAATTTTTGTAGTAGGTTCTCTTATCCGGGTATCTAGTAGTCCGTATTTCAGAATTGAGTTGATATTTGGAAAACTTTAATCGTCATCATGATTTTTTCCTTACACATCATTATTTTAAACAGAACCGTTTCAAATATACGAGATCTGACACAACGTTAGTGTATTTGAAAATATTACCTTACGATTTTGCAGCGTAGGTACAGTATACATAAAGTACATTATGTGACTAAAACTGAGATAGGTAAATATTTATATATTTTGTAAATAAAAAATAGTTATGGCAAACATTATTCAAATGTTATGTAAAATTGACAACACGAGATAGGTGGGTATGCTTAACTATTCTCAACTCTATGGCACTTTGTTTTACAATGTTACCATGGCACTGTATCATTCTCTTAATAAAAATAACGCTTATCTGTTTTCCATCAGACTTCATTATTCTATCTCAGTTTAATTCATGTTATATTATAAAATAATAAGTTTAATAATTTCTTGGAGACTTAGCTTTCAAAATACGTTTTGAATCGGCAGTAATTGTACTCTTATGTACTTCGAGTTCGAATTCTATAATATAAGATATATACGGATTATCATTCCTTGTAGTTAAAAATAAAATTAATATTTATGCAAGGAAAGAGGAATGACAACAGTCAAATAGCTTTTGCCTTACAATACAATAAACGCTGATTTTTAATGGGAAATATATCAATTATCCTCAAAATATAATAAATGATCATCTCAAAAATACAATTGGTAGGTAACCTAAAAGTTTTTTTTTATGTTAGTATTTCGACTTTATTGCATGTGAGTCATCAGGAAAGTAGGTCCCAAATTATATATTTGTTATGACTGTACCTCAGTACAGTAGAATCGGTTTATTATGACTCCGCCTATATTGACCAACCGATTATTATGACATAATTACACTACGATATTTGGTTTTCATATAAAATTATTTGTAAAAAAGTCGGATATAATGACTTCTTTACAGTCATGTCACTTATTATATCACCCATTTCGATAAATTCTGTTCGGTTATAATGACTCTGACTATAATGATTCTTTACACCTTCGGTAATGTTCGTTGATTCTTGACGACATTCGACGCGTGGCTCGGTTTTGTTATGAATCTCAGTGAGTAATTGACACTTGAAGGTCACGTATTGTTTTTAGTGATATCCTGTGAAAAAATTGTCATCTCAACGCCGCCGCCAACAATAGAGACTGTTATTAGAATAAATTAAAAAAACGGATAAAAATTACAGATTACTTACATAAAAAAATAAAAATATATATGTACATACATGTATCGTATGTCCTTTTTACGTGCAATTTTTATTTTGATTTAATATAATATGTACTATGTTTCTCTTTTAAAATACAAAAGTACATATATACATTTCTTTTTCACAAAACGCTTTGTATTAAGTCCGCTTATTATGACGTGTTTGTCAATTCCCTTCGATGTCATTATACACGGATTCCACTGTACTTACAACTTGATACGTGCCTTACTTTGCCAAAATGATGTTACTGCAAGTAAATTTGATGTATCTATATACAAAATGGTCTAAAAAAATACCATAATTTCTGTTCATGTCCAAAGAAAGAGATGTCAGTTATATAAAAACAATCAATTTTACTTGAAACCTTTTGAGTCCTACATTATTTGCTACATACTCCGATAAAAATAGTGTACCTACGCCTCAATACGCTTATATAATTTAGCGTAATAACTCAGTCACGTCACTTTGGTATCCGTTGAATTGGCAAGATATTGATAAACGATATTAATAATGTCTTATAAAGTCACTCACTAGTCAGCTTCGGTGATTTAATCTGCAAGAGAAAAAGAAATTTGAAATATTTATACTTAGGCTATGCCCCTCTAGCATGACCACCGAAACGGGATATAATAAAGCGATATATCGACATTAACTGTCTGACTACTGTCAAACTCCATAGTAGTCTTACAGTTAATGCCGATATATCGCTTTATTATATCCCGTTTCGGTGTTCATGCTAGAGGGGATGATGTTATAAAGTTATAGATACTAACCACGATAATGTGGCAATACAAAAGTCGGGTAATCGCCCGACTTGCATACAGTCGGGCACGTTCTCTCGCCGCGGCTACGCTTTGCTACAACGTGTAAATATTTTACGTTTTCCAGATAAAAAGCCATATGTGTGTTTTTAGATAGTACACAAAATACACGGGAACTATTAGAGGCAAGAAAAACATGCCAATTCATTTGAAAGCACAGTTTTAAAGAAATTATTGTAAAAATGTGTGTGTAGTGCTTGCTTATTTTGACAGTTGCTGACACCGTTGACACATAGAGGCTAAAGAGCGAGATGTAATCTGTTTTATGAATCAGTGTGAAAGAGACTACTTTAGTGCATTCTGTTGGCGGCTGTCGCCAAGGGTAGTTGGGGCAGGGACTACGGCTGCGAGAAGCGGCAGAAGCCATACAAAGGCATTCGTTACTGAACTATATTTTGATTTACTAATTCTCGGCGGGGGTGCAAAACACTCTGCAAGCAGTTAAGTGTGCGAGAGACAGAGACGAAGCGACAATGCGGTCCATAGTTCGCCGGTTGTTTTTGTCTATTGATGACGTGCAAGAGCACGGCGTTTGCTAGAGAGTGTTCTCACAAAAAGTATCCGTTACATTCCGAACAATCCGTGAATATTTTTAATTAGTGAAGATATAACTCAAAGTCAAATCATTTATTGCAACCATAATGTGTACAGTGGGTGGTAGGTACTTATATAAATATGAGCATTATGGACCCCGTCGGGCACGCAATTGGTTATTATATAAAATCATTGAAGAAGATATTGATTAGCCGTCTGTGTTGGTATTTCGTGTCCCAACAAAATATATGAAGAGGATGGTGTGGTGTATCTGATGATCGCAATGTCATGAGTATAATTTTATGGTCACCTGTGCCGCGTGCGGGGCGAGTGAGTGAGAGCGCGGCGCTTGCTAGAGCGAGACAGCAACACAGTACGCAGCTCAATATGGCGCTGGTGTCGCCCACGCCGCGTACTATTGCCGCGCCCATGTAGCCCACGGATAGAATGAGCCCGAGCGCTGTACATCTAAACGATACAAAACCTTGGATTAATAATTTACATACAAGGAACAACGATATTTATCCTAGATACACCATGAGCGCTCAAAATTTGTCCTAATCAAGAAGTGCTTGAACTCCACTCCAGCACTTCTTGGTTCACATTCACGCGCGGACCGTTGAAAAGTCAAGAAGCCGCAGAGCTCCGTGAGATAATGAGAAAAAAATGCTTATAGTACGTAAACTGAAGGTTTTTTGAGTGTCATCAAATCAATGTATGTTAATTTAATGCATTAAATCTAATACTTCCTATTAACTAATTTAATGATACAAAACCTTGGATTAATAATTTACATACAAGGAACAACGATATTTATCCTAGATACACCATGAGCGCTCAAAATGTGTCCTAATCAAGAAGTGCTTGAACTCCACTCCAGCTAGAAGGAGGAGCTCGATGGCGCAAGTGGGTGGTAGCGCGTTCGGCTGCGATCGTTGAAATTAAGCAACTTTCGCAGTGGTCGGTCATTGGATGGGTGACCAAAAATTTACTATCTCGAGCTCCTCCGTGCTTCGCAAGGCACGTTAAGCCGTTGGTCCCGGCTGCATCTGCAGTCGTTAGCACCCACCAATCCGCACTGGGCCCGCGTGGTGGGTCATGGCCCAATCTCCCTATTCCATCCATAGGGAAGGCCTGTGTTCCAGCAGTGGGGACATTAATAGGCTGATGATGAACTAATTTAATAGAAAATATTTGTTATATTCAAATGTATGGTCGGTATATAGCCGTCTCTTTTCCTCGCGGTATATTACGAACAGCGCATTCAGTTTTTTTTTATAGATAGCAAGTTTAAGAGGCAATATTTAAATTATACCTCAGCAGTATCAAGCGCTTTTTTTGTTTTAAAATAAAACTTACCTTAAATTTGCCGGATAAGTCTCGAGAACTTTGATGCTCACTATGTACAGTATTAGAGTGATGAATAACCGGTATACCGCTTCTACGATGTATAGCGCCGTCTCGCTCTGCAGTATGTAAAGCGAGGGGGATAGCAATACGCACGCAGCACATAGGTACACTGGAACAATATGCAACTTAGTCGGGTCTCAATGATTTTTGATATAACATGTCGCATACTATATTAAATGTGTGATGTATTGTCTATAGTCGGTTGTCTATGGAAAAGGTATTTACTTTAGATTCTGTGGCCAATCTCTCTCTCTTGTCTACTGTTTTTTAAGAAAAGAAGGCTCTGTGATTTAATTTATTAACACTATTGATTATCTCACAACAATATGTGTTTCTAAAACACACAGCATGGTTGTAGGAGCGCACAAATTCCCCGAAACACATACACACACACACACATATATATATATATACATATACACACACACATATACATATAAAGAGACTTACGTGTATGTCTTCAGTATAATTAAACAAATTGATACTTTATATAGGTATTTTAATTTCTAGCGACAAGTTCAAACTGGTTGAATTTACCTGACGTCGCGAGTGAATCGCGAGCTCCGCCGCTAATTCAACGTGAACACACACAAACGTCTCAAGGCGCTGTCCCACGACCTGTGTTGTCGCGGGCGAGGCCGCGCCGCGCAGTATTGCCAAACGTATGAGAACTCTAACGTTCGACGTGTAACAGTATATATACATATACATGATATTATGATACGAGGCAAATAGAAATCTCGTAGACTTTGATATGAGATTTGAACAATGTTGACTATTTGTTTGTTAAATAAATGTCCAGGCCACTCGGTAAGTACATATTCATTATGGCATCACAAAGTGTACGAGATTTCTTTTTACCTCGTTACATGTATAGAGACTGCTAAACGTCGAACGTTAAGAGTTCTTATAAGTTTGGCAACCATGCGTGGTACGGCCTCGCCCGCGACAACACAGGTTATGAGACAGCACCGTCAGGCGTCCTATATTTCCAGGGGGGGGGGGAGGGGAGGTTGTCTTAAACATCACCACGTATCACCAAGGGGGAGAAGGGGGTTAAAAATGACAAAAAAAACATCATGTGATTAATGGACGGCCCCTAACCGCGCCCGCGAGTCAACTTGAACAAGCACTCAATGTTGATTATAAATCTTACTGCCTTTGCACTTACACGCTTGCGTAACTGCACGAGTGGTATCCTCAAGGTATTTATTAATAGGTGGCAGTTACCTGTAGTGCAAGGATGGGTGCGTATCCACACAATGATCTATTTTTTGTGTGAATAAAAACCTTGCATCCCCAAGTTAATATGTAAGTGTGTGTATAATACTGTGTTATGTGGATATTTTGTAATTTTACTAACCCTAGCTTAAGAATATTGTTACAAACACTTACTATGGGCACAGCCTGAAATAAATATGTATATAATAAATAGCTGTCCCAGCGAACTTCGTATCGTCATAAAAAAATAGGGGTTGGTGGTAGAAGGGTGAAAATTTAGGCTTGTATATATGTTTGTAAATATGATGTATCATAAAAAATAAAAAAAATAAAAATTTGTCCAAAAAAAAAAAATTAAGGTTAGAACACCCTTAACCTTTAGGGGGATGAAAAATAGATGTTGACCGATTCTCGAATCTCCTGAATATGCATATAAAAATACACGAAAATCGGTCGAGCCGTTTCAGAGTAGTTCAATTACGCACACCGTGACACGAGAATCCATCTTTATATATATAATTCTTCTGTGAGTGTGTATGTCACTGAACTTCTCTTAAACGACTGGACCGATTTTGATGAAATTTTTTGTGTGTGTTCAAGGGGATCTGAGAATGGTTTAGATTCACAAAGACGTGTAGACAGGACAACGTCTTTCGGGTCCGCTAGTATAATATAATATATAAAATTCTCTTGACAGGCGGTCCGCGATTCCGTTTAACCTCTTCGGGAGGTAAAAAGCCAGCAGCAAGACAGCATTATGTTGAGCTGCTCGGTCAACTCCAAAAGCCTAGTTGCCAGATTTAACAGAGCTATGGAGCGGGTGCCACCCTGATTTTTTATGTATGCCACTAGTGTTCGGTCGTCCGACTGAATCTGTATGTGTGCATTTAACTAGCTTGTCCCCTGACTTTTTATGGCAGCAAAAACAGCATACATTTCTTTTAGGTTGGAATACCATCTCTTTTGCACAGGTGTCTGTTTGAGAGTACAGTTCCTTTGATTCAGAATCTTTGTAAGTGCTGTTTTTATTGACATTACTTTTTTTGGTGGTAACCTAGCACTGCCTGTTTGAGTGTTCCACATTAACCCTAGATATTCCAGCTCCTGGGTTGGAATTAATACTCATTTTTGGTGATTTATGTGCCAACCCAGACACTATAATAGTGAAACGGTTTCCGCGACCTGGTTTGTCAATATAGTCTGATCCTGGTGGATTACAAGATAGTCGTCTAAGTAAACTAAAATTCTGAAACCTCTTGCCCGAAGGATTTCCGCAATCCAATTTGAAAGGGCAGCAAATATTCGAGGTGCTAATGATAGGCCAAAGGGTAGGGCCGTTAATTGTAAAATTTCTTGCTTGTAAATGACCCGCAGAAACCGCCTGTGCGACTCTGCAATGGGGAGATGAAAATAGGCCTGCTGAATATCAATTTTTGTCAGCCAATCTTGACCCTGGACGAAACTCATTACATCTATTTGAGAAATGAGATGAAAATGTCTTGTTGCTACATAATGATTGAGACCCCTCAAGTCGAATATGGGACGTATTCCCCCATCTGGTTTGCGAATCAGAATCTTCCGAAGATGAGGAGGAAGAGGAAATGTTCCTGTCTTCGCTCGAGCCCGGAATCTCCCTCTGCTCTCCCTCCGGAGCAACAGAATTCGACGTCGTTTGCATACGAGTACGACTCACCTCATCCGATGTGCTCATCTCGTATTTCACAACACACACTACTAAGATTTAGGTATAAAACCTTAAATGCTCACTTCCTACGTAGTTTACAACACAGAAAAACTGTAATAACACACTTTGAATTCACTAAATAAACCTTTTTACTTTTATTGAGTTACTTCGCAAAATCATTAAACGCTATGAATTTGAATGGATGTCAAACAACGCATTATCACAAAGATGATAGCGCCCCCTGGTGAGTGAGGAGATAAAACTGTAAGTAAAGCTACCATTACACTTCAAAGTTACTATAGATAACGCAAGATCCTAAAGCGGCATCTTCACTTCAACGCTGTTTGTGTGTGTGTGTGTGTGTGTGTGTGTGTGTGTGTGTGTGTGTGTGTGTGAGAGAGAGAGCACATCTAATATATAAAATTCTCGTGTTTGTGGTTAAACTCCTCCGAAACGGCTTTCCCGATTCTCATGAAATTTTGTGTGCATATTGGGTAGGTCTGAGAATCGGACAACATCTATTTTTCATCCCCCTAAATGTTAAGGGTAATCCAACCTTAAATTTTTTTTTTCAATTTTAGGTTTTTTTTAATTTTTTTATGATACATCATACAAAAATACATACATCCCTTAATTTTCACTCTTCTACCACCAACCCCCATTTTTTATGGCCGTACGAATTTCGCTGGGTCAGCTAGTAATAGATAATAATAAATAATTGATTCTCACGTAACGCTTGGTGCAGCCTTGGTATGTTTGCGAGCGCGGCGCCCAGTATGGCCGCGTGCGCCGCGTACCCCTGCTCGGCCACCAGGCCGGCCAGGCTGGAGGCGAGGTCGGCCCGGCACCCGCCCCGCATGCCCCGGATCACGGTGTTGTGCAGCACGCACCACGGGTCGAGCTCGCGCCCGAACTCGATGTCCGAATCGATTATGCTGCGTGGGAAATAAATAAAAAAATTGTGTGTGTCAGCTCCGACGCACGACCGGAGTTTACACTCTAAAAACGATTGTCTTTGAACAGACACAAAACAAAATCAAGTCCGAAGAAGTCGGTTACAAGTAGAGATACCTCAGGAATCGTCCCATGGTTTCGACTATCATAGGTTCCATGTCACACATTTTATCATCTAACATCAGCGATATTCATCATATATTTTATTATGTATTTCTGGAAACACACAATTTCAAAAATATCACACACTAGTCATCATTTTGTAAATATGTATTATAATTCCATCTGTACTGAAAATCACTATTCCAGAGTGCTGGACACTTACCGGCATTTCTCTATATTCTGTTATTTATTTGTTTTCATTAATTTTGCTCCGATTTTATCTATTTTTAGTTTATTTATTTTATTGACATTTGTGACCACTTAATGTTTTTTATACGTTGCTATGGCTAAAAGTGAAAGGTGCGCAGATGAGGTTGCGCACAAAAACGTAACGAGGTCATTAATGTCATTCATCGATAGATTTTACTCCTCTCATTTTTCTCATACCGGGCCCCTTATATATGCAAATTGATTCTTAAGGAGTAAACTCAAAAAAAAATTTCCAACACACACCAATTAGCCTAGCCCCAAAGTAAGCACTATAAGGCTTGTATTATGGGATACTAGGGTAACGGATAGAATACATATACTGTACATATATAAGTATATTTTTTAGAAATACATATTTTAACATCCATGACTGGAGTACAAATGCTCGTATTCATCACACAAACATCTGCCCCCACCGGGATTCGAACCCGGAACCTCTCGTGTCGGCGACACCATGAAACCCGGCGTACAAACCACTCGGCCACGGAGGTCGTCTAGGGAAATGAGACGATTCACTGGCTGTCCACATCACGACGTCGTCAACGTGGAATGGTGCAGTAATGTTGCACGGTGTGTTGACATAACGTGCATAGCTGTAGGCCTATTCGCAATTAACAGGTTTGATGGAAGGTTGTCTGGAAGCAACTTTCGCAGTGGTTTGTCATTGGATGGATGACCAAAAATCTTCTTTCTTTAGTTCCTCCGTGCTTCGGAAGGCACGTTAAGCCATTTGTCCTGGCTGCATTTGCAGACGTTAGCACCCGCCAATCCGCACTGGGCCCGCGTGGTGGGTCATGTCCCAATCTCCCTACTCCATCCATAGGGAAGGCCTGTGCCCTAGCAGTGGGGACATTAATAGTCTGATGATGATGATGTCTGGAAGTGATAATCACAGAGGTATTTAGTGATCCACTACTGCTTCATTATAACGCCACTAAGATATTTGTTCTGAAATGCATCAATGGATATGCAATTCTCTCTTAAGTACACACTGTAAATGAGAAAGTCAGCGAATAGGATGGCTGGTCGTAAATTTGCACGTTATGGATCAGGAGTTTATTATCCACATGTACCACATAAAAATGTCGTTTAATTATTTAAATTAATGGCTACACAGTTAAATATGTTATGGTAAATTTGCATCTCTATGTTTATAACAATATAGCTACTAAATTCACATGATTTTCGATACAACCAATCACAATCAAGGAAATGAATTCAAACCAATAGTATTAGCTGTCATCTGTCAGTAATAAAGTTTCTTTACACGCAGATTTCCTCTTTTAACTCAGATTTTCAGCAATTTATTTTGAATTAATTTCCGATTTTGATGAGTAGACAGACAGTGGACTCACTAAGACTCCCGTTTTTACCCTTTGGGTACGGACCCTAAGAACAATAAAGTACGCTACTCGTATCGCCTCGAGCCACCTCGCCTCCAGCCTGGCCAAAAATAAAAATTGTTTTTATTTTGTAAGCATTTAACTGCTAGATGTTAAAATGTAAAGAAAAGTTTACTCGAAAAAATCCACGCGGACCAGAAGAAGACTTAGAAGGGACTCGAACCCGCACTCTTCGCTATCCGAGCAAATGCACTGACCATAATGCTACCGCGGCCCCGTCGGCCGTGTCGAATTTTCTCTAACCTTAGGCTGCAAGGCAGCGCCAACCCGCGTTAATTTGAAGAAAAAGTTTTATAGTGAGTCCAACTTAAAATATAGACATAGGCTGTCGTGGACTTTTTTACAGAACTTTTAAAGGGAAAGAATTTCGTCATACTTGATTTTTGTGTAACTTTAACCGTTTACCCAGCGCACGCAACGGAATATTTTTACCCAACATGTTTTTGCAACATTTTTCATCGATGCTCCGCTGCTACTGGTCAATAGCCTGGTAATATATAGCCTATAGCCTTTCTCGATAAATGCACTGTCCAATACAAAAATAATTTTTCAAGTCGGAACAACATAGCCAATGATGCATTCGGTACAACGGGTCCTAAAGTACGCCACAAATTTTTACTTGGAATGGAAGGTTTATAATTAATATGAAGAAGGTCACTGTGTATAATACAAGCCTTTGAACAAAAACTATAGTCTACACTACAGCTCTACACCGAAGCAAAGCGAGGGCGGGCCACTAGTATTTTATATTTTCAGAAATCTTTGTGTAAAATTAAATAAATTCTGAAAAACTGGTAAGCACTCACGTGGTGTTGACAAAGCTACATCCATAGAAGCCGGTGTTCGAAGTCTTGATATTCGCAAACGCCACGCCCACAAACGAACAGTTCCTGAACGAGACCCGCGACATGAGCATGTCCCTGAACGTGCACTCGACGAACGTGACGTTCGCGAACTCGATGTTGTCCAACGTTTGGTTGTAGTGCTGTTTCTCGTACGTGGCGTTTTGTTCTATCTGTTTGGAGACTTCTAGGAGGGCGTTCTGTTTCGATACGACTGTCGCCGGCACGTACGATGATAGATAGAACTGTAAGAAACGTTGATTTATTAGATTCCTCCTTCGACAGGTATCTAATCAATGTTTGTTAATTTAACGCATTTGAAGCAAATTTTGTTCAAATGTAAGTATTATAATGAATATTAGGAACTGCTTTAATAGAAAATATTTGTGTTATCCAAATGCATGGTCGGTTATATAGCAGTATCTGTTCCTCACGGTCCGTACTCACTATATTGCTAACAGCGCATTCAGAATTACGTAGAGTCAAAGGAATAAAGTTCTTATTCTTCCGCATATAGCAATAAATCGTAAAATTTAACGAGCTTGCATTTCGAGCTGTCATAACTTGTCATGACGCATGCGTTTTAATTAAGACCTTATACAGTATGTATTAAAGGAGACTTTCAAGGATTAAATAGTGCTATATACACACATCAAAAGTGTCTAGGGATCAACATATATTTTTGCAACAACTTTTCTCCTGATTGATATTAATTAAAATTTTCTTTAAGGATTCATCAAATAAAGTGTTTTCGTTTGTCACAGTAACGATAAACCAAGTCACCTTTGCATTAATAAAGAAATTTGCCATTTTCCTAATAAAGGGATTTTTGACATTTGAACCACTAACACAAAAGTTCGAAAAAAAGACTGAAATAACAGTTTTCTCTAAAACTTTATTGGGTAACTTAAACAATTAATAATCCGTATTTCTACCGCGAACACTAACAACACAAGAACATCGGTTTGGCATACTCAAAATGAGTTCATCCAAATCACGCTGTGGAATGGCCGCCCATGTTCGTTGCAACTACAAAAAAAGGTCTTCTTGCGACTGGATACCCTCCATATTCGGCAGAGCTCTTCTCTGTAGCATATCCCATGCATGCTCAATCGGGTTCAAGTCTGGCGACTGAGCAGGCCAGGGCAGGACATTGATGTTAGCTGCGGCGAGAGTCTGTCTTACAACTCTTCTGAAATAAGGGACCGATTTGCACTTGTAGAGGAACGATGACGTCTGATACAATCGTCTCAGCATAAATTTGAGCGTTGAGGTTGCCTCTGATCCAAATCAACTCAGTTCTTCCGCCGATCCAAATACCCGCCCATACCATGATGGTTCCACCACTATAAGGATGGACTTCCTGGCAGGATTTTAATCGCTGTTGGCGTCCAGGGGTTCTCCAGTGTCGTATACGTCTTGTATCCGGTCTCATACCAAAACGAGACTCATCAGAAAAGCACACGAAACGCCATTGTTCTTCTGCCCAATTTCTGTGTTCAAGAGCCCATTGATATCGAATCCTACGATTGTGCATTGCTATAGGTGGTACCCGTAGCGGTCTTCGGGAATGAAGGTTCACTTCATGCAAGCGGTTTCTGACTGTTTGGTCGCTAATTAAGTTCCCTGAAGAGTGATGAAGCCTCACGGCTAACATCATGGCGGTTATTGTTGGAGCTCTTCGAGTTAAGATTTGAATGTATCGGTCTTGTCTCCGTGTGGTGCAGCGATACCGTCCTCCATGGCGCTCAGCCACGGTACCAGTGCTTCGGTATCGTGTCCAAAGTCGACTGATAACACTCTGACTTGTATTCAGAGCTAAAGCCACAGTACGTTGCCGGGAACCAGCTTCTATCATTCCCACGGCTCTGAGCATTTCTTCCCTGCTTAAATGACGTCGCCGCTCCATAATAACGTTGGTTTTAATCAGTAGTAGGGAAACAGTAGCACTAATAATGTCTTCAATGCGTTGTATGTTTTTATAGGGAAAATATTGACAGCTGATTTTCATCTTTTACTCGAATTTGATTCACAGTTCCTGATTCAAATTATGAAATGCACCAAAAAGGATCCATATAAATTTATAAAATCATAAATTTATTACAAAGCCACATCTCAATCTCAAGAAATCCGCATAAAAATGCTTGATCCCTAGACACTTTTGATGTGTGTATTTGTTTTTCACAACGCTATCAGCTTATGAGCTCGTTGATCACCCAATGTACTTTTTGAACTGGTTTCGGCCACGATTTTGTTGATGTTGTTGTATTTAGGGTATATAATATCGTTGTTGGACTGTTATGATGAGGTTGAAAGTTTATACAGGCAGGGCACAACTTACGTCGTTTCAAGTTACGTCAAACAATGTTTTGGCACTATTCCTCAAGCATACGTTAATTATTTCGATTTCCAGCATAGGAAAATTCACTTGTCGCGAGGTCGATGTCGGTGGGGATGTCTCGTCTTACCTCGTTTCGATTTACGTCACGTATTTAGAGAACCGAACATGCTCTAAGTACGAGGACTGCCTTATAGGTAAATAACTGAATTACTTTAAGAAATCTCTCGATAACGATTGATAACGTTTGTAATAAATATGTAAATCAAATTTAAATTAATTGTAACGTGCAGTATGAAACCGTATGGAAACTCATAGTAGTATCCAGCTCACTAGGAAGTATAAAACTGCAGATAAAAATCATTATCTTAAAAGTGAACTCGTTATAAATACAATGGTGTCGATTCTAACATGATTCTCTAGACCTAAACTTAAATTTCACAACAGTATATCCTTGTCATTCTCTATACAAAATAGAAGGATAGACTGATGTTAAATTGAGTTGTAAGTTTAAAGAACATGCCAGAATCGACATCTATATTATGGTACGATAACACTTGGTCGTTAGCCCGAATACTAGTGCCAATGGAATTCGGGTAAACGACAAGTGTAAATGAAAAGAGCCGAGTACACCCGTAGTCGGGTAGATTTCTTTTTTTACCCGACACCGTCATCCAGCACGTATTCAATTGTAAATACTGCTTCGGGTGCCCGAATTTGAGTATTGTCTTTCGTGCACTCGAATACGAGCTAATGACCAAACGTAATTGCGCCATTACTTTTAAATCCAATTTCTTTTTTGATGGTGTCTGCTTCATGGCAATCTGTTTTTCAACAATAAGCCACTTCTTTGTTGGTTTCTCAGTTTATGTTTTCCTCAAAAGCCATTCTTGTGTGAGAATACTTTTCACACGGCTCTCTTGATGTTAATGGTAAATCTTTTATGTAGGCTCGGTATTTCTTTCTTCTTCTTTTTAGCCGGGTATCCTGAAGAGCGTCTTCTCCACTCAGAGCGTGTGATAGTTTGGACATGGACGGTCAGTTTCTCCTGATATTTCAGATTGTTTTGAGGTATTTCCTGCCGAACTGTTTTTAGGCCGAGGTCGAGGTATATGTATCTATTACTTATACAAAATCATCATCAATCATAGTTTAAATCTACTAACATACTATATCTTGACTTACTTGTATAGCGAACATGAACAGCATAATGCCGCCCAAAGAGAGCGTAGCGGTCCGATACGTGCCCGAGAATAACTGGAAGAATGCTTGCCAGAACTGTGGACAAGTGTGCCAAGTTAAAATAACTTCAAAATTGTGTATATTTTCTTATTTCTAGTTGAAATAGATGTGATAGTGTAAGGAGTCCGGTAATTTCTTAACTGGGGAATGTGAAATTTGGTGAAGTTATTAGATATAGTTAAAGCGATCTAAAAAAAATTATCAATGGGGGCTTAAATGCACACAAATAAATTCTAGATATAAAAAATACTAGTATTATGCTCGAATAGAAATACAGTAAAAGACACATTGGACTGCAACGATATTAAATACCCTAGATACCACACGTGCGCACAAAATGTGTCCCAATCAAGAAGAGCTTGAACACCACTCAAACTAAAGAGAGCGTAGTGGTCCGATATGTGCCCGAGAATAACTGGAAGAATGCTTGCCAGAACTGTGGCCAAGTGTGCCAAGTTAAATTAACTTCAAAATTGTGTATTTTTTCGTGTTTCTAGTTGAACATTGGTCCTTCGAGCCAGATTAATATTATATGAGAGAGAATGTAGCTGTACCAGCTATCTTCGCGTTTGGACTTTATCATCACTTAACATCAGGTGGGGTAGTCATTTGCCTTCAAATGTAGTCATCATTATAAATATGTTAATAGATAGAACAAGTTTATATACAGTATCCCAAAACTTTGTCACGTGGAGGGAAAATACCTGAATACTGGGGTCGATTCTGGCGTGATTCTCTAAACTTAAAGCTAAATTTAACATCAGTCTCTCCTTTTCATTCTGTATAGAGAATGACAAGGATGCACTGTTGTCAAATTTAAGTTTAGCTGTAGAGAATCATGCCAGAATCGATATCACTGTATATATAAAATAGAAAATGTAACTAAATGAAGATGAAGAGTTCATAATAATGAAAAATACCAGCATTTAAAGATTTTAAATAATCGACTGTCTGAACCAGGAATTGAACCTGGGAAATATGAAAAGAAAATTATTCGGAGTCGGCGGGACCCACTTGCAAACAGTTGCGCTCGCTGCTAACTTCATAGCCGCCATTAGGTTTGTATAGCCTTATTCTTACCATTTTGACGCTGTGTCGAACGTGACGTAACTCGAGTTCTCCCAGTCTATTTTCCGAGTCGTTACGCCCAACTTGCCAACTGTTGTACTCGCTGCTAACTTCACATCGCACTATACCTACTTACCATTTTGACACTATGTCGGACGTGACGTCACTCGAGTTCTTGCAGTCTATTTTCCGAGTCGTTACGCCCAACTTGCTAACTGTTGTATTCGCTGTTAACTTCACATCGCACTATACTTACCATTTTGACGCTATGTCGGACTCACGTCCGTGACGTACCTCGAGTTTTCCAGTCTATTTTCCGAGTCGTTACGCCCAACTTGCCAACTGTTGCACTCGCTGCTAACTTCACATCGCACTATACTTACCATTTTGACGCTATGTCGGACGTGATGTAAGGCTGGGGCGCGTCGTTTGCCGGGTAACGCGAGTTCCCCCAGCCTGTATTCTGAGTCAGCGCGACCAACTTGCGACTTGCCGCATATTCGGATTTGGTTGCCAGTGTGTATGTTCTGGGGTGACAAAATGATAAAAAAAATAGGGTTTACAGGTTTTCTTCAATTTTATACGAATACAAATTCGGATGGACACGATGATGCCTGGAGTGGCATATTCTTTAAATGACATGACTCTTCTGGCATGACGGGTACTAGGTGGCAGCACTGAGACAAAAGGTCTACTCATCCTTCAAATCGCGTATATCTATATATCAAATTAAATGCTCGTTCGATAAGTTCGCGCCAAAACTTAAGACCCCACGTCGTATTGGCGCCATTCATAAACACCCTCATTGAAAATTGTATTGGTAGCAACAAAACTTTATCAGCTAAAAGGTGCCTAGAATTTTTGGTAGTTTTAAGTCTTCAATTTTATTTCTCTGAAACCAAGATATTGAGATCAAAAAGTATTAACATTAATAATGGCGTCATTTAAATAATATACAGGGTGGCCGGGGAGTTGACGTTCAAGCGTAAAATTTTGATACTTTATGATGAAGAGTATCCAAATCACCCCCATGTATGTTCTACGATTTTGCGTAGTTTTCGAGTTATAATTTTTTTAATGATTTTTTTTCGTAATTTTCACCTAACATCAGTTTTTGATTTTTTTCTCATTCTGTTGGACGTTTCTGGTTCAGTTTTTTCGTGATAACTGACTAACATAGTCTAACCTATCACCCTAAAACTTATGGTTTATCTAGGCATTGCAGAATTTACTTAGAATTTGTTTGAAAGTTCAGGGGTCAAACAAGTAAGCAGCGGCGGTATCAGTAGGCCAATAGTGGTCGAGAAAAAACGGCAGAACAAGACGAGTAAGTAAACACAAGTAAGTAAGTAGTAGTAGAATTTAAGTCATTAACAACTGTGTTTTACTCAAATCCATCATAACTGAGAGATAGGAAACGATTTAAATGAAAGAAAATAATATTTTTTTCCTTAAAAAATGCCTTAATTTACTTTGAAGGTCAGTTACAGAAAATAAATCCCCATTAACCCTTTCTTTATTTGGCCATGTTTGAAAGTTTAATGTCTCAGGAAGTTTCTAAAAGCACTTTGAACTCCAAATCCCCCCATTTACATTTTTTTGACACTTTGAAAATTTGTGTGTACTGAGCTCAAATCGTAATATTGAACTTTCGAACAAATTCTAAGTGAATTCTGCAATGCCTAGATAAACCATAAGTTTTAGGGTGATAGGTTAGACTATGTTAGTCAGTTATTACAAAAAAACTGAACCAGACACGTCCAACAGATGAGAAAAAAATCGAAAACGGATGTTAGGTGCGAATTACGAAAAAAATCATTAAAAAAAATATAACTCGAAAACTACGTAAAATCGTAGAACATACATGGGGGTGATTTGGATACTCCTCATCATAAAGTAACTAATGTTTACGCTTGAACGTCAACTCCCCGACCAACCTGTATAATGATAAATTGGTTTCTTACCTGATAGACACCCATTGCGTCGACTTCCCTGCCCACGTCAAGGAGGTAGCGGGGTGATTCTGGCGTCCATATTAGACTGATTAACGACGCCAAAATCGGCAATGTGCACAACAGGAGGTACCTGAAGATATATTTTCATTAGAATACTTTATACAGCCTATTAAATTTGACAATGTTTGCTTAGAAATCCAAAATTGGGAAATTATTCCGACTATATAGTATGTATGTAGTATACGTTGTCGTATTTGGCATAAAGTTCTAAATTAGTGAGAAATTATAAAAAATGTTGAAGTTCAAAAAGTTTGAAATTGCCTTAAAAAAATTACCTTCGAGAAAGTACAATCATAGATTTACCTTTCAGTGAGATCAGATTAAAATTGATCGCAATATAAAGTAGCAATATCTTCACCTCACAATTACAACTAAACCAAAGAAAGTTTGATTTCAACTCATATAGTTATCTTAATTTTACATATTGACCAAAAAGAGACAAATATATGCTGCTATGAACCTATAATATGAACAGCGTGCGTACCGCTAACCAAACATCAAATTGTATTCCTTTGTATTCCCTAGACTTCCACGAACATTTCAAGACCAAGATAAATCCGTTCAGCCGTTCTCGAGTTTTAGCGAGACTAACGAACAGTAATTGATTTTTATATACATAGAAGATATTGTCTCGTTACAACCTTTCAAATGATACCTATATTGTAATAATATAATAATTGACATTTTGACAGTGCTGTTATTTCAATTTTAACAGTTTAGGTATCTTAAGTTACACGGGATGGTGAAATGATTCCAACGATACCACACACAACTAAATTAGTTTAGGCGTTTAGAAGTTCTGGTGGAATAAAGAATTGTACATACATACATTACACTCTTTTTTTCTTGGGCAGTCGTGTAAAAAGCAATCTAATGTCAAATGCAACCTGCCAACATGTCTCTAATAATTTTTAGTTAGATAATACTTTGTTTGAAAATCTTTTCGTATCGCTTACACGTAGAACGCGCCCGTTATTAGCGCGTTGAACCAAAGAAACTATTCAGCTTCCTTATACAAGTAGCTAGACTATGATCACACTATAGGTGCCAGTAGGAGCTCTGGTTCTCTCTGCGACAGAACCGATGTTACTTGCTCTAGAGATGGCAGGGTCTCAAAGAACTTATAACCTTTGCTCCTGAACCTCACGTACACGAGAGCCCAGTGGATAGCCGAGTTGCCTCCTCCTCGCTACCAACTTCTCCGCAACATCCCGCGTAGTGAACACTAAAAAGGAGCTCGTGTCGCTGGTGATGGCCTGGTGTAGTAGCCAGTGGTCTACCTCAGCATCGATGTTAGATAATTAAGCGCCTTGGCAATGGTATAAGGCTCCTAGATGTCCGGTATGAGAAGCCCACACGCGACTCTGCTTGGTCGGTCGATCTGTCTCTGGCTAAGATTAAAACAAAAAGAGAAGATACGGCACTCACGCTTAAATTGTGGTGTATGACCCTAATTCGCTTTAGTCACAATTCGACATTCAAACACGCTGCATGTGCACTCAATATAACAATATTACGTAACTTCTGTGTTATGAAGATAAAACAATGCCTTTGATGCTTTTCCTTTGCCTTTGAATCAAATAACAAATGCCTCGGCAAAACTTTTCTTTCGTAAAACTGTAAAAACATTTTTTTTCTCAAAAATCACGGTTCATCGTGAATGTTACTTACGTAATCGCCATTTCGTTATCAAGAAAAGGACATCAATACGCTGCGTTGAAGCGTATAGTTCTGTCTCGCTCGCTCGATTGAATGTTTATATACAGACGAGTGCGTGTGTGAGAGTTGCTTATGTATTTGAGTCGGATCATATTTTTTTTTGATGCTAGTATGAGCGTACCGTATCTACTGTTATTGTTTTATCTAAGGTCTCTACACAACCAACAACTGTTGCCGCCATAAAGTTTGGATCACAGTAACCGGTGCCAGGCGCTGAAATTAGTGCGGTTTTCGTGTAGCGTTTCAGCGCCGGTGGGCGGTAGGGTAGAGCACGTGATTGTTGCCGCGTTGAGCGCACCCGCACCGCACGCCAGCACAGGCTCCTTCCCCAAGACCATCCACAAAGTACGTCACACTGATTTCGTAATTTTTATACCACCCTCGTTCCTGTTACAGTTGTGAGCTCCCCCCCCCCCCCCCCCCTCTCCCATGTGTGACGTCACAGATTTTGCATCTAGAAGTTATTAAAGCAAGCACTAACCGGTGCCAGGCGCTGAAGTGCGCGCGGTTCTCGTGCAGCGTTTCAGCGCCGGTGGGCGGTAGGGTAGCGCGCGCGAGTGCAGCCGCGGTAAGAGCGCCCGCCCCGCCCGCTAGAGGCAGCACGGCCATCGCGCGGGCTCTACCCCCACGCCCGCGCCCCACTACCTCCCACGCGTACGCGTAGCACGCGCCCGTTATACCGCCCGAGCCTAGCGCTGAACAGAATCTAACCCACACACATAAATAGTTTAGTTATGTCGTCGTATTTATTAGAGTGCGCTATATACAGGGCGTCCCACCGGGTTGGTCACACGGAGGGAAAGTATATTAAATATTGAATAGGATAGGATATTTAACTGTAAGAAGACATCATTTTATTTTAAATATAATTAGTAGAACTGCATTAACATTTTTAAAAAAATCGCCTGCCAAAACCAGGAATCAAACTGGTGAAATGTGAAACAAAAAACAAATGTATTTCATGATAGCTTGTTAAAGTCAGATTTTGCACCACCATTTACTTATACAGTTGAGTGCCACAGAATAGGACCCAATTTTATTTAAATGATTATTATAGGTGCCTAGTTAATCTGTTGTTGCTTTGCATCTCACCATAAATTGTAAAGACTTATTGTGTAAGCTGTGGATAGTATTCTTGCAAGTTTTATTAAAATCAACAGTAATACTATTTTACATATTGTAAATGTGTAGTTATACTATTCCCAATAAATGAAAAAAAAAATTGTCGTGGAAAGACTAAATCATGATTGAGGATTACTCTTTTTTTAATAACATAGCATTTTAAATTAAAGAAATTTGACTTTATTAATTGAACAAACCACAATAATGGTGAAATGGTGCTAGGTTTGTTTAAGTATCGCTTTATTTTATTTTTTCACGTACTTATAGTATCCTTACTAATCCTGTATTTTTATGTGAGCAGGTACTAGTTTGAAATGATAACATTAGCTGTTGAAAGCACGGAAAAATAAGAGGAAATTTTCCTAAACAAGAATTTAATTTCAAGATCTTCCATTCATTGAGCTGTTGGAAGCACAGAATAGTAATAGGAAATTTTCCTGAACAAAATTTAATTTCATGCTCTTCCTTTATTGGAAATGCATTTAAAATGCTATGTTATTTAGAAAAATATAATCCTTATGATAAAAACCCCTTCGATGGTTAACATAAAATATGTCATGTATTTTTTTTTCAAATTTCACGAGACTGGTTCCCAGTTGTAGCAGGCGATTTAAAAAATACTGTGAATGCAGTTCTAGTTATTATAAAAAATAATATCTTCTTTCAGTAAAATATCCTTTATTCAATATTTAATATACTTTCCCGCCGTGTGATAAACCCTTGGGACGCCTGTATAGTGGTGACGAGTGGTGGAGTGGCAATTAATGGTATAAGGTGGTATAGTAAATACAAAAGTTGATGGCAAACATAAGCTATAGAAATTTTATTTTATTTATATTATTACCGGAGTAACTCCGTGATCATGGCAGTGGCAACAGTGATGAAATGTTGAGGATATGCAAATAACAAAGTACATGATAGCAATATCGTTAATAAATTGAATTACTGTAATCGTAGTGACACAATAAAGCAGCCCCACAAAAATCCGCATATTTTTTTTTAAATCGATTACGGTAATCGGCTATTTGATTGGACCCGTCAGCGTGACGTCACCGTCGGATGACTAATTTGGTGAAACGATGTATCATTGCATTGCCTTGGTCTATATCTGAAGGCGTGTCTCACGCATATGTTGTAATACTATCCTTGTAGCGGTCTTTAGTAGAGGTACTCAGAAGTCTGAACCATGAAAGTTTAAACAATATAAGTCATAACTTACCTGGCCATCATGAAAGTTCCGTAGGTAGGCATGAAGGCAGCAACGGCAGCAAAGACTGCGTTGACAGCCAAACAGGAGAGCAGCGTGCGTCGTCTTCCGAGGCGCTCACATAGCGCCCCCCACCCCACGCTACCCAGCGACGCGCCCACCAAGCTGATCAACACTGCGCGAGCGGACAAGGTAACGTTCTCGCGACTGTATACAGTACGTTGATGAATCGCGCCCCCCACACCACGCTACCCAGCGACGCGCCCACCAAGCTGATCAACACTGCGCGAGCGGACAAGGTAACGTTCTCGCGACTGTATACAGTACGTTGATGAATCGCGCCCCCCACACCACGCTACCCAGCGACGCGCCCACCAAGCTGATCAACACTGCGCGAGCGGACAAGGTAACGTTCTCGCGACTGTATACAGTACGTTGATGAATCGCGCCCCCCACACCACGCTACCCAGCGACGCGCCCACCAAGCTGATCAACACTGCGCGAGCGGACAAGGTAACGTTCTCGCGACTGTATACAGTACGTTGATGAACAGCACCCCCACCCCGCGCTACCCAGCGACGCGCCTACCAAGCTGATCAACACTGCGCGAGCGGACAAGGTAAGGTTCTCGCGACTGTATGCAGTACGTTGATGAACAGCGCCCCCCACCCCACGCTTCTCAGCGACGCGCCCACCAAGCTGATCAACACTGCGCGAGCGGACAAGGTAACGTTCTCGCGACTGTATACAGTACGTTGATGAACAGCACCCCCACCCCGCGCTACCCAGCGACGCGCCTACCAAGCTGATCAACACTGCGCGAGCGGACAAGGTAAGGTTCTCGCGACTGTATGCAGTACGTTGATGAACAGCGCCCCCCACCCCACGCTTCTCAGCGACGCGCCCACCAAGCTGATCAACACTGCGCGAGCGGACAAGGTAACGTTCTCGCGACTGTATACAGTACGTTGATGAACACGGGTACGGCGACTATGATGAGACGAGTCTCATCAGCGGCACATTTTGAGCGAAAAGTCGTCACGATAACCTTTCATATTGATCGCAAATCCGATGCTACGGGCAGAACGTTTTAAGCAAACAGGGCTACTTGAGGTTGCGTTTCCACAGAAACGGAGCTGTGCGGAGCTAAACAGGTTCTTAAAGAAATTGATTCAACTTCTTTAAAACTCTGCTCACCAACCAATTGACCAATGGTATTGATCAAAATACATTATATAGGTGTTATGAGCATATTATTGGTTAATTTCTTAAACACTGCTCAACTTCGTTTCTGTGGAAACGCAGCTTTAATGTTGGGAACACATTAAGGCTTGCGGATAGGAAACTATTTATCACCGGATTAACTCGAGATGTTCAGTATTCTTTGTATGACAATTCTAACTGTGTTTCATATTACTTGTTCAGCATCGTTAGGATATCGTATCACTTTGAGGTGATAGGCAATACAGTGCTGTCCCTGTAGCATAAGCACCACAATTTACATTATATCACGTTTTTTATTGTGTCCAACTGTCAAACTCCTTAGTAATTTGACAATTGGGCGTGATAAAAACGCGTTTAATATCGTATCGCCGTGCTCATGCTAGCGGGGCTGATCCGTTTTCGATACGATATATTTGCACAGGCTTTGATAGAGGCTTATCACGAGGTGAGCAATTTTCTTGATAACCCTTATTACATAAAAATAGAAATTTGTACAGAACCCTAGGTGGGTGAGTCCAACTCGCACTTGTCCGTTTTTTGTTCACGATTCAAGGACTTTTGTCCCCGCGGCCACAAGTCCTGCGTCTGCGCAGGCCATCAATGTTATTAGAAAGGTGTCGAATATACTCACCGAGCCAGCTCTTTTCGTGTCTCAGTATACACAGTTCGATCTCGGCAGAGGGTAGTATGAAAGGTATGGCAGCCAGTTCTAGCGCAGAACCGCCTATTGCCAGTCCGCATGCGATTAGGACTCGTACTTGTGACAACCCGCACCCCGCCTGATAAAATAAATAAAAATAATATTAGTATTTCTAACATTCACTTTGACAAAATAAGGAGAACGAAAGTAGTCGATGTGAGGAGCTCGATAGCGCAGATAGCTAGCGCATTCAGCTGCGATCGTTGAAGTTAAGCAACTTTTGCAGTGGTCTGTTATTGGATGGGTGACCAAATATGTACCACAAATGTAGCCCAATCTGCTGGGTCTGGACACACCAAATTTGGCACAAATTTCACTCTCGAATGATTAAAAAAGGGGACGAGTGCTGCTGTATGAACAATCTTGTAATGAATATAAATGCTAACCTGTCTGAGTGCATCCTCATGGAACTGTTCAAGCACACTACAGTCGTTGTAGTCCAGCAATTCACCACTCTCATTGCTCTCTGTAGTGTGGTCCGGGGCGCTGGCAGACATATTGACTGTGTTGCCAGGCTCGCCTGTTCCCTCCGTCACTAAACAAATTATTATTAAACAGAAGTTGTGAATAAAGGAATAATAAATATTAAGTAGATGAATATAAAAAAAACGAAGCATGTACAAGTGTACATAATGGGGCATAACTTTTAAAAACAATTATAAATGCATATGAATTCAACTAAAACTATAGTATATACACATATTATGTCGGAATGGTCATCACATGGGCGCTACAAAACGCAAGTAATCCTGCCCTCCCTCTGATTACCAGTTCAAATCTGGCAAAGGCCCTGAGTCATTTTTTCATTGTCACTTCTTTAAAATTGGCCAATGATAGGTGATGACAAGACAACTAATATGACAATATAAACATTTGTTGTTGGCAATACTGTTTATAAAATTATAACAGAACATTCATACATTCACTATAGCCTGTTTATTTACTGGGATCTTGAGAACAATGGGTGATTGTGTAGATGTGAAAGATCTTTACATGCATTCCTTTGAAGAGCCAACAACTAACTTATTATTGATGATTTTATATTATCATGGCTACTGTCAATTAATTAAATAGACCCCTTGACAACCTAGGGTTTCATGGTGTTGCTGAATCCTGATGGGGGCAAATGTTACTATGATTAATACAAGCATTTGTACCTTAGTCATGGATGTTTATATATATTTTTAAATAAATTTTATATGTATCAGTATATTATGTATTATATCTGTACCCCAGCATCCTATAACACAAATTAGTCCAAAGTAAGCCTTACAGTGCTTACTTTGGAGCTATGCTAATGTGAGTGTAGAAAATATTAATTTATATTTATTACTTATGCCATAAAAAGTCATCTAACCTGTTAGTCTGTCTTCTGTGTATGCCATAGTGCGAGAAATAGAGCCAAAGCTAAGCTTGGATGAGTTCTCAGAGTCGGACCGAGCGCGCACTAGGCACGCTTGTTCCTCCATGTTGGATTATATTAATAGTAGTGTCTGTTGTCCGTAACATCTGAAAATTTATACTGTCTATGAAGTTATTAGCGTTACATTCAAAGAATTGACTCTCACACCAATATTAACTGACAATATATAAGGTAGTAGCACCAATGACTGACAAGAACCAATGATCGACATTCCCTTCCATGATCTATGAAAATAAGAGTAGGCAAACAATCACTAAACATGGTGTTATTGCACACAGAGCCGGTCATTCCTTTTTTGATAGATCACAGAATAGAAAACTGAACAATCACTGGCTCCTGTCAGTCATCAATGCCACTACCTTGATCATTTTCATTGCAACAAAGCATATTGATAAGCACACTTTAGTTTTATACCTCTAACTACACACTCAATATCTAATGACAATACTAATAATATGTCTGCAAGCATAGATACCTTTGAAAACAGTTTCCAACTGTACCTTTCAAGTCTGTCTGTTCTTAGTCAGTCAGATCAAAAACAGGATGAAGTAATAATCTTATTAAAGGACCCACTAATTTGATATAATTATCCATTAACTCGTTTTTCAAGACCAAATGTAGAAGTGTGTTATATAAAAAATATAGTAAATAAAATAGAATCATGGGCTTATAACTAAAGGTGCATCAACAGATAACATGCGAGAGCAGAGCGATAGACTTATTAGAACACAAAGAAGTGACATGTTTTTACTATATAATACAAAATTATACAACTTACTGTATAACTCGCATTCGTAAGTTTTATTTTCAAAGGTAGTTATTGAAAATATCTGTATTTATACTAACATTAAAATTAAGGTATATTTTGGCAAAATGGCAAGTAAAAAACTAAAAACTATTGTTTGTAATCACCGCACTAAACAACGCGTAGTTCAAGTAGTTCAATAATTGTAATAAAGCAAAATTATATAGTTCTGACTAAAATAGCTTTTTCTACACTACAGTCTTGTGATATTAAAATAAAGGTGAGTTTTCTTTGCACGAAAATATTTGTTGTGTCTTTAGAAATTGGCTGTGTAATAGATAAAATAAAATGCATGACAGTTTTGAACGAATGACTTTAGGGTTGAATACTCAGAATGGAACATGTGTTCCAATTAAATAGGCTGCAAGTACAATAAAAATCGATTTGAATCGATTTTCTAGATTCCAAGTTTTTCTAGCATATTTATGATATAAATAAAAATAAAAGTGATAATTAGTTACTAATTTTAAATAAACGAAAGAAAAAGCAACTTTACAATAGAATTTGCATTAATTTTTAAATTACTATTCCAAAATATATTGAAAAACTTATATTGCTTGATATTATAATGACCTTTCATTAGCATTTATAATTATGCAAATGAAAAAACAGTGATAACGCTTCAGAACGTAACCACTACTTACAATTTTGAAGCATCAAGAAAGCAAATTGCGTCTCGTAATAATTACACTGTCTCTTTAACAACAAAGAAAGCGGTGCTACACTGCTGCTTGCTAATAGGTACCGGAATATATTACATTGTGATTAATATGGCCTGTGTTGTGTGCAAAATTTGCAATAATATAATTCAACTGCTTAGAACCTGCTGTACTTTTTTTATAATTCATTGGCACTAATGTTATCGACACATGATTATTTCTTTGTACCAGTTCCTGATTGAAGCACCTACGTAAATACACATTTCGCAAACACAGAATAAAACATTCACCCAATTTCGCAATACCTACTAGCTACCTCAATACAATAAATTGTCAAAAATTCATGTCATGCGCAGTAAGATGTATTGTAGGTCAGATGACCGACTTTTAAATATTTAATAGCACACTAAAGATTGAATTTGTTAGGTTTGTTAAGTTACTGATAAAATAAATTTTTTGAAACTTCAGAAGAAGTTTCATTTTGACATAGGTACTTAATTTTATTACAATTAAACAAGGCAGTTAGGTTCTCATCTTTCATTCATACCTATAATTCCTAAGTCAGTTTAATAGTTTTTATAGTAATTTTATAGTAATTTCAGGATTTAAGGAATGAAGGTGGTACCTTGTAGTATTTTGTTTATTACTTGTCAATCGACTTAATTATAGGTAAAATACGTCTGTTCCGTTTTAAAATCTATGAAATACACCACCAGATATTATATTTCTAATCCTTGTTACTGTACACATATATTCACGTGTAAGTACATATTGTATGACGATATTGAATTTAGATTGCAATCTAACTAGATTTTAAATAACAGTCATCATAAACCTACTATATGACTCATAATTATCATTGTTTAAAAATATTTTCTTTATTAAGTCCAGGAATAATTTAAATTCTCGCATCAGATATATCATCAGACCTTGAATCCAAAATCAATCTCATCAGAACAAGTTAAATTATCGATTTTACCTCACTCAATGCGCAGACTGAACAGCGCAAGTGCAAACAGCACTTGCGCTGTAGTTTTTTATAGATACGGCTATTAATAGTATTGTTAAATTCAGTATAATGTTACAAAACTAAGGTAAAATCTAATTTACAGTAGCTCTTTGTTTTCATTTAAATATGATGATGATTACTATAATTAAATAGCCTCCAGATGTTCATTCATTCAGACACCTATTCGTACAGAATAATACCATAAAATGCCAATGTCATATTTGGCATTGATTGACAATGACAGTTTGATTGTTTACCTCGCCGGGCTCCGGCTGTTATTTTGCACGATATTTTGAAATATTGTTGTTGTTTACAATGGATTTATCACCAGAAAATAATGTTTTTGTACAAATAAAAATGATACGAAAGTTTTTGAAGTTAAAAATAATGGAAGACAATATAACTTTCAGGAGTAATAGCAGTCATCATCAACAGAGGGCTCATGTTTATGATTTGATAAAACGTTCTATTGTTAGTGGAGAATCTCATTCCGCTTTGATGATTGGCCCTAGAGGATGTGGGAAAACCACAGTAAGTTATATATCAACCAATATTAAGTCCCCTTGGGGCTGAATTTCATTATTTGGGCCCAGTGGCGAAGCTAGACCACATGTGGACGTCGGCGACATCAAGTTCGCGAGGCCTATTTTACTTCGCAGTAAAAAACCGTTAAATTAAGTGAGCCAAATTAAAAATAACGTATGAGTAAACGAGTTTTATTGTTGATAATCAAATTATGACAAAAAATAATTACAAACATAGAAATTTAATCACAAAAACAGTGTTGCCAGACAGACGATTCTGAATACCCGAAAGTCCTACTCGCTTCCATCACGCACGTGTTCGAAAATAATAAAAGTCATTATCATCTGCTTAGTTTTTTCCCCAAATTGTTCGGGGTCGGCTACCTAAGCCAGGCCAGGAGAAACGAAAATAAATAGGTAACTTGTAAAAATTTTTTGCGAGGCCCCCTCAGGCGCGAGGCCGTCGGCGGTGGCCGACGTCCCCGACGCCTAGCGCCGCCACTGTTTGGGCCCAGGAGTTGACAAGATTCGGTAAGTGTTGTGAAAGAAAACAGAGAAATACTTCATCAACAGAGATCTCTTCAACAAAATATTGTGTCATGTCAATCCCTGGGCCCAACGAGTACAGTTTTATTTACCCAAGGCACATTGTACAAGGTGTACATTTATATATACAAAAAGTGATGCTTGAGCTTCTCTTAAAATAAAAATGCTTACTGAATTGTTTTTATTTGTAGTTACTGAATTCAGTTTTGAGTCAAATATCTAAAGAAGTGGATGTAACAAATGATGCTATAATTGTGAAGTTGAATGGACTGATTCATCATGATGATAAAATTGCCCTCAAGTCGATTACTGCTCAGGTAAGTTATAACTTTAATGTAACATATTGTTCTCAACTTAAAAAAAAATATTTATAGCCTACAAATTAATGTTTTTACATAACTTGTTATCTTCTTTCTCTTTTTTATTTATTTATTCAGTGTGGTCTATAGCCACATAGATAGGCCAACCTTGAAAATAAAATACTATGTTTTTATTGTTTTTTTAAAAAGATGAAACTAGAAAACTCAGTGGGAGACAGAGTTTTTGGTACATTTGCTGAAAACCTCTCCTTCTTGCTGAGCTGCCTGCAGAGCGGTGAAGATCGACAGTGTAGAAGCATGGTGTTTATATTAGAAGAGTTTGACATGTTCTGTCACAGCGCACGGACACAGACCCTTTTGTACAATCTCTTTGATATCACTCATAGTAAACAGGCACCTATGTTTGTTCTAGGTAAGCTTAGCATTTTTTAATACATCTTTATTATTTCATTGCCTTTATAAACCACAACACACAACATGGGTGAAATCGCAGGGCACACTTTGAAATAGTATTAATAGGTATAGATAATTTCTTGAGGTACTGGTGTTAATTCTGGCATGATTCTCTAAACTTTAAACTGAATTAAACTTAAGTCTCTCCTTTTCATTAATTTTATTATATTATACTAGATGTCCCAGCGAACTTCGTACCGCCATAAAAAAATAAGGGTTGGTGGTAGAAGGGTAAAAAATTAGGGTTGTATGTATCATAAAAAAATAAAATCAAGAAATTTTGTCAAAAAAAAAATTTTAAGGGTAGACCACCTTTAACATTTAGAGGGATGAAAAATACATGTTGTCCAATTCTCAAACCTACAGAATGTGCATTTAAAATTTCACGAAAATCTGTCGAGCCGTTTCAGAGTAGTTAAATTTCGCACACCATGACACGAGAATTTTATATATTAGATTGAGAATGACAAGGGCTATACTGTTGTCGAATTAAATTTTTGGTATAGTATACTTAAGAAGTTCAGATTTAAGATAAGACACATTTATGTAGACTGTACTTTTTTGTCTTTATTCAGCCTAGCATAATGTTAGCAAATGGTTTAATGAGTATAAAATTGTCAAAATATATATAATTTTATTACATAATGATTAATGTTCTCTCTACAGGTGTCACAAATCGTATAGATGTAATGGAGTTATTAGAGAAACGAGTGAAGTCAAGGTTTTCACACAGGCATATATATTTATTCCCCTATGAAGACCTGGAAGCAGAATCCAAAGGGGTTACACGAATGTCACCCTTAGAGTGCTGCAAAGAAACCCTGGTTTCCCTTCTTACTGTGCCTTTAGGAATAGTTGCTGACAAACCTAATGTTGTGAAGAAAAAAACTGCAAGAAGCAAAAAAAAGACTCTAGGTGAGTAATAGGGTAAAAGTTCTTTGCCAATAAAGCAATAATTAGATTCTCTCAGGGATATTAGGTTAAAAAAAACTCTTAATTAATAAAAGAAGAATAAGCTTAAACCAATTACGTTGTGTTTTGTTTAAATCACTCAAATGCCATTTGTCATTCAGAGACAGAACATGGAGTAACTAATCCAAGCTTATTCTTCGTTTATTAATAAGGGGGTTTGGGAGCAGTATAGTCAAGGGATTTTTTTGTTATTAAAATTAAGGATTATTTTCTCTGGGTTCTACTACTGATCTGGCAAATGATCAATTTAACTGTATTATTTATCTTACTTTATATTATGTTCCCATATTTTACTTTTAGTTTTACTTTGGTAAAATTTCATTTGGCTAAGGGTTGCCTGGTGGAGATCGCTAACTAAGCAAAAAGGCCGCATTTTATGTTTACGTATTTCGTCAAGGTGTCTTATGGTGCAATAAAGAATATTTATTGACTTTTTTTATATGGAACAGCACCTGAACCAAAATCTGATGTTGGACAAGAATTACTACCTCAGGAAGTGCTACAGCGGTGCAAAGTAAACTTGCAACAGTTCTCAGCTCTCAATCCCGATTTTGTTGGTGATTGGAACTGTCATATCCAAAGTTTGGTGGACAACGAGAGAGTGATAGATAGTCTTGAAAAGATGTGCTATTACACTGTCAATGAGCAGATATTCAAGAATATAATGGTAAGTTTATTTAAATTAGGTACATCAGAGTACTGCATTCAATTTATGAACTTGCTACGCCGTGTTTTGTTTATATCAATCAAACGCCATTTGTAATTCAATGAACAGAGACGGAACATGGAGTCACTAATCCAAGTTCTCTATTCGTTTATTAATATAAGGGGGCAAAAGTGTATTTTTAGAAGTCCAATTGTTAGACTCATAGGCAATAACGTAAAGTGAGCCTATTCATTTTATAAAAATGTTGAGTAGCTAATTTTTAACTCTATGAAGTTTTGTATTAAGTTTTTTTTATTAATTTCAGTTTCAGGTAGTTTCGAAGCTTTCGCCAACTAAACCTTACGTAGACGCGGCAGATCTTGTAGCGCTAATAGATGACGCAGTCGCACCAGAGCATAGAGTAAAGCTTCTCCAGTCGTTGTCCACACTGGAGTTGTCTCTGGTTATAGCTATGAAACACGGCATGGAGATATTCGACGGCCAACCGATGAATTTTGAAATGATTCTGCATAGGTAAGTTGTGTATTGTATATTTTGCTTATTTTTTATAAATTTGTTTGTTGATGCTCCCGAATTCACCTCCTTTTCATCCCCTTAAAGGATGATTTCTAGGATAAAAACAATCCTGTCCTTTTCCGACTCACACTATCTCTATATTAAATTTCACCTAAGTCGCTTCAGCGTTTTAAGTGTGAAAAGGTAACAGACAGACACACTTTTACATTTATAATATTTGTATGGCTTTAGGACAGTCCGTAAACAGAGTATGGTTGCGACGATATCCAATGTAGGAGAGCGAAATTCAATAATTCAAATTAAAAATCGTTTATTCAGTTACAAGCACTCATGAATGTCTTGAAGCTAGGCCATCAGCCAGCCAATATAGGGATTTATTACGCCTCTTCTAAAGGATCTCAGGTTGTAGGAGGAAATGTTACGGCACAGATTCAAAGTTTTCGAGTAGTGCGACAGAGAAAAGATTTGTGAATCTCTTCATTTGTGCTGGTTTCTATATCAACAATAGTAAGATGATGATAACGCAGCACGGGCGGCCTTAAGGAGAAAGTGGGATGAGGGCAAAGTTAATAGGCAATAGAACACGCGTAAGTGGGCCATAGACATAGAGAATGGATTGAGCATTCCTTGTCCAACCTGTAACGTAAGATTGATAAGTGGCAGCTAAGTGTGAGACACCTATACGAAGCGATCGCGGGGCCAATATAATAGCTTCTTCGTCGTCTTTCTTATTGTATTTTATTTTTTCAACATTTAACTGCTAGATGTCTAAATGTAAAGAAAATTTTACTAGAAAAAATTCCAAGCGGGCCAGGCAGCAGACCTTCAATTTATCATTCATTACCCCGAGAACTTTCCGAAAATTTTTCAAGTAAAATTTTCTTTAGATTTAGCAGTTAATTAACACTAACAGTTAAATGCTTATAAAATAAAAATATTTAATAATTGCTATTACTTCTTTCAAATGTTTGATACTTGTATAGATATTTGTTTGACATTGTGGGTTAATTGCAATGCGAAGAGATAGCGCTGCTTTGAAGCCTAGGAGATACCAGAGAAGTTCAACATTAGGGCCACAGTAGCATAATGATCAGTGCATCCGCCCGGATAGCGGCGGCTTCGAGTACCGTCTGCTTCCTGCTTCGCGTGGATTTTTTCTACTAATTTTTTTTTTAGATTTCTTGACAGTTGTTAATTTAATGAGTGTATCACCGAGTCTATGTCTAATTTGAGGCTGGATTGGGATCTAAGGCCAGTACTTAACTTTCTTACATGTACAGTAGAACGTAGTACACATGGTTGAATCAAAATATGTACGGTTAATTCTGTACGTTCTGTTGGAGCGATTTTATTAAGATTTGGTATAGAGTTAGCTGACACCCTGGATTAACACATAGGCTAAGTTTTACTGCGGGAAAATATCCCTAATAAACCGCGGGTAACACCGCGGGGCACAGCTAGTCTAGAGATAAACATGATCCTAGGCGACATTTTCATTAATAAATTTCCTCCTTCTGCTTTTTAGATACACAAAATTCTCAAACGCAAACTCTTCAACACAAACCGTGCCTCGGCCGGTGATTCTAAAAGCGTTCGAGCACCTCCAAGAGTTAGAAATAGTGTTGCCAGTTAAAAACTCAGATTCCATCTACAACGCGGCCGATACTACGGCGAGTCGTGTGCAAAAGGAATACAAATTGTACACATTAGCAGTGCCCATTGAGGACATCAATGAGGCTGTGAAGAATTTCAAAGCGCTACCAACGGATATTAGTCATTGGTACAATAATAATTTTGATTGAGAAAACTACTATTTTGGTAGTGTTTTAATTAAATGCTTCTGTTATAATATAAGTTTATGCCTTATTCAAGACTGGATATAGTATTATTGAGCCATTGTGTTATTTAAGAATATGTGAATTGTATGCGAAACAACAATTTGAAATAATAAGTTAAGTTCAGTTTGTTAACACGTATTTTATTATTCGTCTTATTCTTACCTTGGTAATTGTTATTTAGACTCTGTGCATTGTTCAATTACGGAGTCCTATTATTTATAGAAATAATATTCTAATAGTGAATATATCGATCCATATTTACTTACCTATTCTTTGTGTGTAAGTAAATAAATACTGCTTAAAATACTTTTAGAAACCAAAATTAACTTTACTATATATAACAAAACAACACACTGAACTACCTTAAATACTAGAGTTTCCTAAATAAAGTAAACTTTAATTTAGTCCGAAATCTAAATCTACAAATTAAAATCTGAATCTATTAATTGCTACTAAAGACAAATAGTTTTTACCATTTAAACGATTAATTACTTAATATCCATTCTATACACACTGTCTCATAGGCGAATAATTGCTTTCTAATACCTCGCCTATAACCTTTTAATAGTCTATAAACTACTACTGAATGCACTACTTACCTTTACTTCTAATTTATTGTAGAATGGTAGTTATTTATTTATTTAAACTTTATTGCCAAAATTAAAAAAAATGACAAAAGGCGGACTTAACGCTAAAAGCATTCACTACTACACTACCTACTTTTTTATTTATTTAAAACAGTAGCGTTTCTATAAAAATGGAAACACAGTACTTTAACTTCTAATTTATCGTCGAAAAACAACTTAATTTTTAACCAACAATTTACACCAACATTTTACTACATTAGTAGCATTTCTATAATATGGTAATAAAGTCAATCTATCCACCTCAAATTGGCACTAGCGGCTTTCACGTCCTTTCTGTAATCGTGTTCGCCGAACCGATGTCTGAACCTGTCTTCCCTTGCGTTAATGTTACCCAATTCCTCGAGCTCTGTCACTGTGAGCTCTTTGAATTTTCTACCTTTCAGATCTTCTGGTACCACGTGAATTATCGTTGTGCCTTTCTTGGGTTTTTCTATAAAAAAAAAGAAAAAAAAATACTAGAAAAAAATCCATGCGGTTCAGGCAGCGGACGGGACTCGAACCTCGAACTCAAAAAAAATCGTTTGTCATTGTGGGATATCTACAATGGGAAGAGATGTCGCTGCCTTGCAGCCTACTACTATAAAAAATTCGATATGGTCATAATTGGTCTGTGCATCCGCCCGGATAGGAGGAGAGGGTGCGGGTTCGAGTCCCGACTACTGCCTGGACCGTGGATTTTCTTATAGTAAAATTTTCTTCAGATTAAACATTTAAACATGTAGCAGTGAAATGATTTAAAATCTAATATATATAATTCTCGTGTCACGGTGTGCGTAATTGAACTACACCGAAATGGCTCGACCGATTTTCATGAAATTTTATATTCAGTAGGTCTGAGAATCGGACAACATCTATTTTTCATCCCCCTAAATGTAAAGGGTAGGTCAAGGTCCACCCTTAAACATTTTTTTTTGGACAAAATGTTTTGTTTTCATGTTTTTATGATACATCATACAAAAATCTTTCAACCCTAAACTTTCACCCTTCTACCACCAACCCCTATTTTTGAAGTGAAAACTTCTTTAGCGGCGTTGTAACTTTTTTTGTATGGGTAAAAAATGTTAAACTCGCGTCAGGTTAAACACGTGGGCTGATCGCATCATGATACACAATAAAACTCTATCTAGGACGTCCACGCGGCAGCTTTATTGCGAAGAAAATGCATTTTTTACAATAGATGTCGCTAGGTGCGCTTAAATGTGATTCATGTAAGTGGATTTCTTTACAATAGATGTCGCTAAGTGCGCTTAAACGTTTCATGTAAGTTGATTTTTCTGAGAGATAAACTTTTTTAATGTAATATAAATTGTCATGTTTGTGTACGATAGCGCAATAAATAAATATTGTGTTCTACCACATACATGATAGTACTTTTATACTGATAATTAAAGCAATTCGTGCAAAATTATTCCCTAACTATTCCAAAATATCAAAAATGCACAACGTTAATATTCAAGTTTTCACTTCTGCCGGCACTCCTGGAGTGCAACCCGTCGTTTTTTTGGCGGTACGAAGTTCGCTGGGACAGCTAGTAAAAGTATAAAAAGAAAAGTATAATAATCAATCAATCTGCATTCAGTATACCCAGGGCCGGATTTAAGTCAGGGTAGGGCACACCACAGTGAAACAACATCTACCACGTGAAATTGTGGTTCCAGGGCTCTACGGGGTAGGGGAGGGTCTTTATTTATTTAACGGCGTGACTGATGGTTTTGGTGTCGCAAGCGTTTATAGGCTATCGTGGCTGCTACTATCAGGAGTTCCTTTTGTTTGCCACCATTAACATGAAAAAAATAATGTTGCAGAAAACAACCTGCCGTAATACTAAGACGGGAGGGACCCTTGTGAGTGGAAATCCCTAGAGAAGGCCTGTGTAGCAGTTGACGTCCATCGGCTGATGATGTTAAAGATATAACCATAGTTTTGGGCTAATTCATCAAGTCGACATATGTCCCTGACATAATGTATTTTTGATCTATTCACTGCACCGATTGCATTAGTTATATGTTCGATAGTGGACAGAAAAAACTTGGTACATTTTTACAATATTATATATGTTTCTTAGATCTAGAAATGAAAAATATTTTAAATCTAACATTATGTAGGAAGTTTATTATGTACCTATTTAAATTTAAGCATTATTTTTTTTTAAAACACACACCAATTAGCCTAGCCCCAAAGAAAGCACTGTAAGGCTTGTGTTATGGGATGGTAGGGTAACAGATAGAATACATATACTGTACATATTCTTATATATGTACAGTATATGTATTTTATCCGTTTTCTATATGTTCTTATTTATATAGAAATACATATTAAACATCCATGACTGGAGTACAAATGCTCGTATTCATCACACAAACATCTGCCCCCACCGGGATTCGAACCCGGGACCTCTCGAGTCGGCGACACCATGAAATCCGGCGTACAAAGGTCGGTATACGGAGGTCGTCATATATTTGCTCGATTTAAAAATAATGAATATATTCATAATGTAGTTTTCTATTTATGCCATCATTATATTGAAAAAGTACCAGGAGAGCATATATATCTAAGATGTTCTGAGTACAATAATTCTATGCTTTTATTTTTTTTGTCATCGATCTGGCTAATGGATCTTCTGAGATTGATCCGTTTACTCTCGGCCATAAAACTAAATCTTAATTCTTCTTAGAGCATATACCAAGTAATTCTTTCATTTCCGCTTTTGTCAGAGAAAAAACAGTCTATAATTTACTCTGACGAAAGCGGAATTGGACCTAAATTCCGTTTTAATCAGAAAAAAACAGCTTACAATTTATCCTGACGAAAAAGGAATTTGACGTATGCGTCCTTAATTGGTGAAATAGGGCCCTGATCTTACTGTTGTTGGAGCTGTCGATGTCCCTGAGCATTGAGTCAAGGGCCCTGTGCAGGTCGTTCTCGGGGTTGCCAGGGCGCTTGTTGAGGAATCCGTTCTTGAACGAGCACTCGGCCGGCTCGTCGCGAACGAACGCTTCGTTGCCGAACATTCGCAAGCCCAGCTCGCCTTTGTTCTTCTGGATCTGTTTTAAGTACGTAATTTTAAAAACTATTTGAGAAGTTGGCGAACAAAACGGTACCTATAATTACATAAAATTAAATTTTACAGCAACTGTATAAAACTGAATGACATACCTACAGTGAGCTTTTGGCATGGTTTTAATTTATAAATTTAGTAATTTTAACACTGTTTTAGTTAATTAGATTTTAATTGAAAATTATTTGAGAATTCAAAGGGTCCGGAACCTCCGTACTATAAAAAAAAAGTAGTTTGACCAGATGCGTAATTATACCGTTTTGTTCGCCAGCTCCTCATTTTATTATTCAGTGGCTCAAATAGCTATTGAAATTAAATTAACGTTTATGTGTATTTTTAATTAACTGAGTTAAGTTCATAAACAGCGCATCGAGAATTAAAAGTTAAAGGAAGTGCCTTGTGCGATTTGCTGAAGCTGAAACTGAAGTCTTGTCTATCTATATACTCGTATTTTAGTGTTGCAGCTTTAACGAGTTTTCGATTTGTGTAGAGTTCTTGTAACAGATCATCACCAACTTATTAATGTCTCCACTGCTCCGTGATCATGACACTTGTTACATTGTCCGAATACGGGGGACTCCCAAAAAACAAGGCAATGGTAGCACTCCCGTAAATAATCAGAAAAGTTTAAAACAATGTAATAATATAAAATTCTCGTGTCACGGTGTGCGTAATTGAACCTCCGAAACGGCTCGACCGATTTTCGTGAAATTTTATATGGATATTCAGTAAGTCTGAGAATCGGACAACATCTATTTTTCATTCCCCTAAATGTTAAGGGTGGTCCACCTATTTTTTTTATGGACATGTTTTTTTGTTTTTTTTATGATACTTCATACAAAAATACATACAACCCTAAATTTTCACCCTTCTACGACCCATATTTTTAAGGCGATACGAAGTTCGCTGGCTCAGCTAGTATATCTATAAGGACCTTCGTGGTATAAGTGGTATGTTTGTTTCAAGTTCCTGGGGCAAATGTTTGTATGATGAATACGAGCATTTATACCTAAGTCATGGCTATGTATCTCAAGATAAGTTTACTTAGGTATATTATTTATGATTGCATGTATTCTATCCGTTACCGTAGTATCCCATAACACAAGTTTACTAAGCTAATTGATGTGAGTGTGACTGTGTAAGAAATAATTATTTATTATGGTTAGGTGTTCTAGTCATAGATAAAGGATGTAAAGACAAACAGATCACCTATCGCAAGTGTTCCAAAAATGAATGTGTACGTATCGGTGTTTGATTGTGAGTGAGTGTCGTATTGTCAATTATGCTTAAAACACAGGATACCATAACACAAACTGAATTGTATAAGCACAATTGTTTTCTTAGTTTCACATAATTTCATAATAAACTTTCACAGCAAGGCTTGATAGGACGAAGATGGCTCTTACTTAATTGGACCAAAGGTGCATCATGTTGCGTCTCTTTCTACCTTGTAGGAATGTCGTAAGGGCATGATGTCTCTTTTCCACACTCTATCAGTCTTCAAATACTAAGTTTAAAGTTCTAATAAATTTTGTTAGTCTCTTACCTCGTGTAGCTTGTCGACCACCAAACTGTGCCCTGTATTAACTCCAATTCCGCCCACTTCCTCCACACTGTTGGATCTGTGGAAAGGACGCAATGCCGAAACCGCGCGAGATACTCCAACCTGGACAATCGAGAAGATATATAACACAAACTGATCCCTTCCTATAATCTGGGGTCCTTTAAGAGAGGCGTGAAGAAGCATTTTTGCATGCCGGCAAGGTGAGGATGGTTGGTTTAGCAGTTTATAACTGCTGTACCAGCTATCTTAGCATTTAGACTTTATCACCGCTTAACATCAGGTGGGGTAGAGTCATTTGCCTACCTCACTATAAAATAAAAACACTGCTTAAGCTTCTATAGTGACACGAGATGAGGAATCAAACAGCCAGTGTGTCGCTTGATAACTAAGAGCGTATTTAATTTGTATTAACATCTTATACACTAGTTTCTCTTAAGAAATATTGATGTGCGTCAGCTGCAAATTCTGTGCTTGGCGTGTTCTGGATATAAAGTACACGCTGGTGCTACACTCAGTGCCGTCTTTGACCTATTGGAGGCCCTGGGCATATTAGGATAATGGGGCCCCTATGACCCCCGTTTGGTGATTTAACAGGAACTAGGGACTTTGTATTTGATCTGCGGGGGGCCACTGAGAAAGACGAGTCTGGCTACACTGTTTTATGTTATAAGGGTGGCAAACAAGCATAAGCTCCTACACATTAGTCAAAATATGTGGCTTGGCCTTTTCGTTACTACAAGAATTATTGTAGGTTTAACAGAAAAGTGGATTATTCACCTTACGCCCATGTGAATGAAGTGAAATGGCCAAGTTCTCTGTTCAACTTCCTCTGCGACAAAAGGTAAACGAATAAACCAATGTTTCTAAATCTTTCTTATCGGGAGTAAAGATGGCTGGTGTAACCAGACTGATTACAAAATTTTACATTTCAATGTAAATTACATATCTGCTTGACACTACTTTTCAATTTAGTTGTAAAGCGTTCAAAGTTTGGGAATATCTACAGTTTTACGTTTTTTTCATGTCACATTTTATTAATTACTAGTGGCCCGCCCTCGCTTCGCTTCGGTGTAGAGCTGAAGTGTAGACTATAGTTTTTGTTCTCAGGCTTGTATTATACACAATGACATTCTTCTGAGTATACTTAATTACAATAAGCACGCGCCACCAGGCCCCCAGCCCGGTAGCGTCGGAACCGCTGTCCCTGCATTTTAAAATATGTAATATCTTCAAAAATATTCATTTAAATTACATACTTTAAAGGGCCAAATTGATCTGTATTTAATACACAATGTATTTAAGGTACTTAATCGGTTAAGGATGAATGTGTTATATTGCTGAAAATAGCTTCGTAAATCAGCTATTATTTCTTCAAAAAAGTATAGAATAAAAAATGGTTATTGTGGATTATCCCTAAGAGATAGACATATACCATCGCGGACTTTTTTGTATACCTACCTTTTTAAGGTGTACAATACTGTAGTACATTATTTTGATCTATCTCGTAGGGTGCAGCCAGCGTTTGCAATGTAAGCGCAAAAAAATGTGTTTATTTACGACCTCACATTAAAAACCTGTAAAATTATCAATGTTTCTCTACTTTATTATCCATGCATTATGCATATAAACCTTCTTCTTGAATCACTCTATCTATTTAAAAAAACCGCAACAAAATCCGTTGCGTAGTTTGAAAGTTCTAAGCATACATAGGGACAGACAGCAGGAAGCGACTTTGTTTTATACTAGGTAGTGATGATTTTATATGCGTATAAAATTCGACCCATCAAAAAACCTTTTTGTGGTTTGTTAATCTTTAGTCTCAGAGGAAGTTGAATAGAATATACTCCTTGTAGAGTTGGAAGCTTGGCTCTACTTCTTCTTATTTTATGATGGCTTGCGTTGTGAATTAAGCTTCGCTCTAAATGAGAACTGATAATTTTTTGACAGTGCGAGTCATATGGTCGGCCTCGTGTTGGCAACGTTTCACCTGAAAATGTTTTTGGTGGGATTGCATTTTCTCGAGTCCAAGAAGATTTAACTTTATATAGAATTATCAACTTCCAAACTTACCTGACCGTGTCGAATCCTATGCTCTGTTAAATCGGCACCTAAAAGCTCCTCATATGGGTCCATACGTATAGGCATTATCTTGTCTATGACCCAGAGGAGTGCCATAGTGACGAGCGCACCCCACGCCATGAGACATACTCCTGTCAGAGTTTGCACACCCAGTAGGTACCAACCACCTCCTGGAAAAAATCCTACAGCTCAGTAACAATTGCATTACTAATGGCAAGTGTTTCGGAAACAACTAACTTTAGCCGCTATTCCCACGCCAACAAAGTGGTGACTCATTTTTTGTCTCACTACTATTCTTTGCCAGATGGAATACTTTGCCAACACAGTGAAAGGTAAGAAAGGTGATCACTGATCATAGACCGATTGTACGGGAACCGATGTAGCCGGTTCGCTCCCACTACAATTCTACCTAATAGATAATAGCCAATCTAATGACGCGACATCAAACAATCGAACCAATCAGCGCTCACACTCGAGAGCAACGATGCAATTAGAACTAAGTTTTAGTTATGAGCATTTTCTCACACATAACTGTGGCGCGCCCGCCACGCTCACAAGTCTCTTTTAACCTTTTCTCCTATACTCCGGGATCCTTTAAAAGATGCATGTAGAAGCAATGTGCAGACCGCCACGGTGACGATAGCTGGTATGGTAAGTAAAACTGCTGTACAGCTACCTTCCCGTCTGGACGCCACCGACACTTAACATCAGCCTGTGGCACGCACGCCACGCCCACAAGTCCCTTTTAACCTTTTTCTGTGGGTGTTCTATTACTCCTATACACCGGGATCCTTTAAAAGAGGCACGTAGAAGCAATGTGCAGACCGCCAAGGTGACGATAGCTGGTAAGGTAAGTAAAACTGCTGTGTTACAGCTACCTTCCCGTCTAGACTTCACCGACACTTAACATCAGCCTGTGGCGCGCACGCCACGCCCACAAGTCCCTTTTAACCTTTTTCTGTGGGTGTTCTATTACTCCTATACCCCGGGATCCTTTAAAAGAGGCACGTAGAAGCAATGTGCAGACCGCCAAGGTGAGGATAGCTGGCATGGTAAATAAAACTGCTGTACATCTACCTTCGCGCCTGGACTCAACCGACACTTAACATCAGCCGGCCCTCATGCTTTTCAGAACAAGTATCTAAGTGGCGCTATAATGGATTGCAGTAGTGGATTACTAAATAGCTTGGTGATTATCACTTCCATGTGTCATAAGCAGTTAGCGAATAGGCCTACTAATGGTAAAACTCTTAACTGAGACCTCGCTTGCGGGGTACAGGGTGTGGGGGAGGACGAGAACGAAAACCGTGAGAGGTGCAGGTACTTGTAATTTTGAGAAGAATGTGCCTTAAATATATTATAAATAGAACAGTAACATGCTTAAAAAAATATATATAAAAATGTGCCTGCCGCCCGCACCCCGCAAGCCAGGACTCAGTTAAGCGGTGTACCTATAGTAAGGAGGAGTCATCTGTTAGACCTATTTATAAAAAGAGAGCATAATGAAAAAAATATACTATTTTATCTTACTAGGGGAACTCGATGGTGCAGGTGGTTATCGCGTTCGGTCTAAAATCGTTTAAGTTAAAAGCTGATCCTTGGATGGGTGACCAAAAACTTAGTATCTTAAGCCCTTCCGCCTTCAGAGGGTTACGTTAAGCCGTTATTCCCGGCTGCATCTGCAGTCTTTAGCACCCACCCGTAGTACCGGAGTGATGGGTCATGGCCCATCTTTCTATTAATTCATAGGAAGGGTATGTGCCCCAACAGTGGAGACAATAATAGGCTGATGAAGAATATTTTACCTTTGAACAGGCCTGATCTTCCATTCGTGGTCTCCATCGGTATAGGATTGTCAGCGAATAAACCTACCGCTATAACTCCTGTAAGTACAATAAAAAATGGAAAACTAGACATTTTGATTCAGATGCCCATCGAACTTTGAATTAAGTACGTGTTAGGTAGCGTTAAGACAAATGATTATGGCAACAGTAGCCCCTTCCGTTTTTAGTTAGAATAGCGTACACATAGTCTCTCATTGTAATTAAAATATAATTTAATAAAACAGCATTAGATGCGGAAAGGAATTTCTTTTTATTTAACCAGAAATCTAACATGGTGTCAGAAGCGCCAAAAATATGGAAAAAATAAACATAACAGTGAAACAACAGTCGGTGCCGCCATCATCGTCACAGTCACTGGTGAGTACAGCAATAATGGAGAGATTAGATCTTAGAAGAGAGATTAGAGATGAGATTTTAGAAGAATTAGGCAAATAGAAATGGGCTCTTTCAGCTGCACATACGTTTTCCACAACCTCTTTTAGCGTATCAAATTATCAATTAATTTATATTTTTTATTGAAACAGTGCAAAAAACAGTAAAGTTTACAAAATAATAAAATCCTTAATTAAGCCTTAATGAAAAACAGATTAATTACACAAAAAAATTAAATATAAAAAGGTTCTTAAACCTAACCTAAAACCTAATGTTACCCCTAGAGTTGGGAGCGATCTATTATTTCTATTATTATTTTCATGACTGTAGGAACGTGGCACTACATAAAAATATCATTTCGCCTTTAGTGTTCTCAAGGCTTCTATCAACAATCGAAGTCTGAAGGACTTCAAAGCGCTTTGAGTGTTTTAAGTGTTTTAAACACCTTCCTGATGCATGCGAGTCATTGGTTCGAGCTGCAGTAGTAGCCGGTACTTAGCACCCACAAATCTCCGCACTATGCTAGCCCGATTGATTATGTCATTGTGTGATTCTTGTCATTTCATAGGGAAGATCTGTATCCTAGTAGTTAGGTAAGTACAAAGTTTTTTTAGATCTTAATGTTAAAAGCGTGACAATCAAGCATATGGCCCGCCTGATAGGAAGCGGTCACCAAATCCGATATACATATATGCCTACCCTGACCCAATCCCCTATCCCATGGAGCACTGGAACCTTAGTCACCGTCAGAAACACAACACAACCAAAAGGTAGTAATATTTTACTGTGATGTTTTGTAAGGTGTAGGTCACTATAACACTTGAATAAATACTCTTTACGAAATTTGTTTTTCTGCAATATCCTTACCTCTTTTACTTACCCCAGAATCCGGCGGCACCATGTACAGAACTAGCGCCTACGGGGTCATCGACCCGTAGCTTGTCGAAGAGTGGAGTGGTGCCCGAGACTATAGCGGCGCCCAAAGCGCCTATCAGAAGCGCCTCCCATGCGCGGTACAGAAAACATCCCGCTGTGGAACCAGGTCAGTGTTAGGCAAATGGGTCTACCTAGGGGAAGGGGAGGGGGGGAGGTAGTCAATGCCCACTACCACAAAAAATCTGTCTGCTCACCCTAGAATACGAGTTACCTTCAGCTCAAAAGATATTTTCAGAAAGAATATAAGTTCAACTGGAAGGTACTTAGAAAAACTCCTATCCCACCCTAGCAACATCCTCAGCTACGCCCACGGTTAAAAGTTCATGCAGCCGTCAGTCGAGTCCATCAGTCATGAATGATAAAAAATGGATGGCAACTGAAAACTCATCAGTCACCCCATTAGGCGACAGGTAACCCATCAGTCCTGTGCATTCGTCTTAACCTTGACTTCCAGCAAACTGACGGCAAAAGCTAACGTCTAAAAGACGCCTTGCACAAATTTATTGTTAGCAACTTCTTAACCGTCTCGTATTTTACGACTTAGCTGTGTTCCAATTCCAACGGTCCCCAGTTGTTTTGTTGTTTCCCCAGACGGTCGCTCAAATTACAGCGGGAAATCCGCTATGACCTATTTCACTTTCAATTTTGATATATCAAGGGTTTCAATGTTGCGGCGGCATGTTAAGCCGTCGCGTTGGTAGGTATGGCTGCAACTGCAGTTGTTAGCTTTCACCAATCCGCACTGAGTCTTCGAGGTGGTCACTGTAGTGGAGGCATTGATAGCAGGGTCGCATTTAGAGGTGTGAGAGGCAACGTAGGAGTGGGACACCCTTTTTTATCGATGATGGGGAGAAAAAGTGTGTTATAACCACGAACAATGACCAACCAGCGATATTAAATATTTATTTATTTTAAATAGGTATTTAATATAGTTGTGACCAACGCCGAAATCTGGGCCGGACCACTTACGATTTGTACCGCCCGCCATGGTTTGGTTACCTATCGAACTTTAGTTTTTTTTTATCTCCACACATGGCCACATCCTCGCCTACCCTGCCTTAAATCTGGCCCCGATTGTTTCACACACATTTTCTAGTCCGCATCCGACATCCTTAAACACAGCGCAGCTTCTCAAAACAAGCTTTTCTTCCAGTGCTGAAAACTCTCGTTTCTGGATTTGATTTTTTTATTTCGAGGAACAAAAAAGACGCAGGGAGCCAAATCTGGACTGTTAAGGAGGATGAAATACAAGTTTGACCAGTGTGCTGTCCAGAAACACCCCTGTCTTGAGCTTCGAATAAGCCGGCGCACCGCGTTGTCGTGTTGAAATAAAACTATTTTTAGTGTTTTTTTAAGAAATAGTAATAGTTTTAATTGACATCAAAGTCAGTCAAACAGTCAATATCTTGTAGGTAAAAATGTTAGTCGCAAAACTTTCTTAGTACCCTGGTATGTATGAGGTATTTAGCAGCAATCGGCAGTTTTGTGTTAGTTATGAATATAGTTTCTTTGTTCTCAAATAGGTGAAATCTTAGATTTTAAATAATGAAAATTTAACTCACCAGTGATGGAGACCAGAGCCCCGAGGATGCTGTTAATGAGGTCCATCACATCGGCTCTACCTTTGTTCTTGATCATAGTGAATCTGTATATAGAGCGTTTTATGGGAAGCTTGTTAGCGCTTGCCTATACATATATTAAATCCGTTAATACATGTTGGCTGAGCTTAATTCAACGCGAGCGAAACAAACTGGTCCAAGGCAAGTGCTACCGTGTAGACGTTGTGTTTCTTTGAAGAAGACCAATGCAAGTGGCCAACATATACGAGCTTTCTGACCTCAGTGGTCGAGTGGTATATACGCCGGGTTTCAAGGCGTCGCGTACTAGAGGTCCCGGGTTCGAATTCCGGTGAATACGGGTATTTGTACCTTAGTCATGGATGTTAATATATATTTCTAGATAAAATATACTAATATACGTATCGGTATTATGTATTCTATCCGTTACCCTAGCATCCCATAACACAAGCCTTACAGTGCTTACATTGGGGCTAGGCTAATTGGTGTGAGTGTGGGATATATTTATTTATTTGTGTAGCTGCCCATACGCTGGTGTGCTATCAGTTATTATGGATGACGTGAGACAAGTGTTGGCGAGCGACAGCGAGTGCTGATAAGCGAAACCGAATGAGGTCTATACACGTTCCCGCTTTCCTTGTCTCGCCAAATTAGGCAAGCAACGCCGAGTGATGACGAAGTGAAGACAAATATTCTGTCTACACAAAACTCTCACATTAATCCGAAGCAGCCACCTCCGAAAGACCCCATCATTGTCATCACAGCAGCTCTGGCTGCATACTGCCATTTTGCACCGCTGACCTAAATAAATAAAAACCTTGGTACATTGATCAAAGGACATTGCTCGTTCCCCATACATTGAATGCCCTAGAACGCACAGCAATGAGAAAATGCTAGTTGTGTTCGGAATCATTTATAAACTCTAATTAGGCATTTGTTTATATACGGACAACTTGAGGAACCTTGGCCTACTACAGAATGTATTAGATTTTTGAGGTTATAATTATTATACTTAATCGTAAAAGATGTTAACTTTATATATTCTGAATAGATTAAGTGTTTACCTGTATGTAAGCACTTAAATAATATGCATTAAATGAACATAAAATGCAATTAATAATAAAATTAATAAATGCTTATATTCATATTGATTTATGAGTGTTGGCAGTTGGCACCTATGATACCTATACCTACCTGTAGTAATAATAGATTTCTTTTGTCTTTCCATTTACTTGTTTCTATATTTTACTATCGGTAATTAGGTATGTACCTGGTTATCATTATGATTTTCATAAAAATAAACAGATATAGTCCAGTCGGAATAGCCATAATTTGGACCGACTTCTATTCTAAGACACCAGCGCTTAGCCAATTTTTTCCTAGGTAGTATAGACCCCCACGAATATGCCCTCCATTTGTCCCCGCTAGAACCCGTGTTTTGTAGCCAGGAAAATTGTTTAAACAAAAAAAAAACCGGTGTTTTTGCTTGTAAACGGGGATTTTGAAAATTTTTTTGAATCAAAGTTGTTCATTAGCTTGCCCTCTACAAAATCAGTTCTATGAAAAAATAACGTGAGATTGTTAGTTTAGCAGTAAATTGCAATTATGTCGGTTTTACGTTTGCAACAATTCAACATGTTATAATAAACATTTTGATTTCTAAAGTAGTTTATCATGTGGGTAACGCCACTCCCAAGAGAGTCATGTAAAATTTATCGACCTGTGTCGCAAACTTTAGCAACAATTCTCAATCTCCGAAAAAAAAAGTACTTGCCTGTCCCGTCTTTCCCAGAAGGCGCACAGCGGGGAAAAAAATGCAGGTGATTCGATTCACCAAAAATTTTGAGGAATCGATCGAGTAGAAAAAAATCGTTGGTAAAAATGTTCGTTTTTGGACGATTTAATTTTTTTTTTAAAAATTGACGTAGAATATTTTTTTTTAAACTAATGTATTTTTCTCTCCTCAACTCGAATATACTATTCTGAATATATATATAATATATATATATATATATATATATATATATATATATTATATATATATATTATTTATATATTATTATTTATATATTATTTATATAGTATTATATATATATATAATATATATATAATACTAATATACCCTGAGAATTCCGATTATGAACCGGAAGAAAAAAGGACGAAATTAATTTAATTAGAAATATAGAATACAACGCAGTCTTGTAATCGAATTTTAGTTAATAGTTTTGTAAATAATTTCTGTACATAAATAAACTGTTTTTTTTTGAATTTTCAATCGTATATTCGAGTTGAGGAGAGAAAAATACATTGGTTTAAAAAAAAAATATTCTACGTCAATTATTAAAAAAAAATTAAATCGTCCAAAAACAATCATTTTTAGTAACGATTTTTTTCTACTCGATCGATTCCTCAAAATTCTTGGTGAATCGAATCACCTGAATTTTTTTCCCCGCTGTGCGCCTTCTGGGAAAGACGGGACAGGCAAGTACTTTTTTTTCGGAGATTGAGAATTGTTGCTAAAGTTTGCGACACAGGTCGATAAATTTTACATGACTCTCTTGGGAGTGGCGTTACCCACATGATAAACTACTTTAGAAATCAAAATGTTTATTATAACATGTTGAATTGTTGCAAACGTAAAACCGACATAATTGCAATTTACTGCTAAACTAACAATCTCACGTTATTTTTTCATAGAACTGATTTTGTAGAGGGCAAGCTAATGAACAACTTTGATTCAAAAAAATTTTCAAAATCCCCGTTTACAAGCAAAAAAACTCAAAAACACCGGTTTTTTTTTGTTTAAACAATTTTCCTGGCTACAAAACACGGGTTCTAGCGGGGACAAATGGAGGGCATATTCGTGGGGGTCTATACTATCTAGGAAAAAATTGGCTAAGCGCTGGTGTCTTAGAATAGGTCTCATGTTTATTCCGACTGGACTAATATTACATGGGACGGAAGTATAAACTATCTTTACATAATTTCAGAAATAATCTTTTTATAAATATAATATAAATACTATTAGTAAATATTATTAACTAAGCATTAAATAAGGTACCTAGTTCTATTTTGATGTTGACAAATATCTATGGTCGCCTATATTGCATTTATTAAAAAACAATCTTGGCACAACTTTTTAACAAAATCACCAATTTTAACGAAAAATTAACGAAGCCTATAAACTATTAAAATAAATCGTTATTATAGACTGAAACCTATTGAATCCAGTTATCAGTTGATTTTTAATGCTGATTTTCAATAAAAAGGAGTGCCAAGATTGTTTACCAAATAGGACAAGGTGGATAAACAGACTAGTATCTAGTAACAGAACTTTTATTTTTTATTTTTTTAAACAGCTTGTTCGTTTACTATGATTAATTGCTAATAAGTTAAAAAAATAATAGTGAAGGACATTGTTATGGGCATGCTAGGGCCGATTTCATCGATGTCCTTTGGCGCAGTTGGTTAGTGCGCGCGATTTGCCATCGAGATTGGATGGGTGCCGTGCTTTAGAAGGCACTTTAATCCACACTGGTGGCTCATGGCCCAATATCCCTTTTCCTTAGGCCTTGGCCCCAGAAGTGGGGACATCAATTGGCTGATGATAATGATTGGGACCAACGCATTTCAGATACAGTACCGGTATCCAATGACAGGAATTTACTAAACAAGAGCGTCACCAAAGGCGGGCAAATGGGGGCCTATCCTATCATTTAGCTCTGTATCATCTAAAAATCTTGCGAATACCCTTAATGCTCTTAAGTATATTAGGGTAAACGTAATAACATTTATACAATTACCTTCTTACTTGTAAAATTAAATAATCTATGGAAATTGTTGTGTATTGCAAATTCGCGCTGATATGTACTATTATGTATAAGTCATAATAACTTTTAGGTAGGTTAAAATATAAATTGACACTGTAATATTTATGTTAATGGTGTAGTATTATATAAATAGAATGTTTAACTTGATTAATAAGATATGAATGAGAAGTAACAGTGTGTAACGTCATTTTTTTTCCTTAGTACATAATTTAATTAAAAATATTCTTCTTTATGAAAGAGTGCCATTTGTCGTCTCTCCTATGAATTAGCGAATGCAATCAAGTGACTGCAAAGCAAGACATTTGCTTGTCGAAAAAATCTGATATAGACGGAGTTGTTAGAGGAGGGTGTTTCACGTCACAAAACTTCTACTTGTCACCGCATCCAGCGCCACCGTCGCATTAATATTTTCTAGAAGTAATTACGAGAGGCGTGGTTTCCCAGACCATTTCCGTTTTGTATAATCTCCTTATTTGGTAATAAAAGTGACCATCTTGCATAGAATGTTCTCGGTGGTTAGTGGTATAAATAGGCACACGTAGTAGCATTTCATCTCTTTATTTTGCATTTTGGTACGCAAAGAACATCGCTCTGTAATTGTCAAGAAAGTTGTGTTGTTTAAATAATCATACAAGACTGATATTGAAAACTCAATATAGATAATAAGATATCTCACCCATGATTAAAGGGTAAGTACCATATATTTAATCTGGTTAGGTTTCAGAGCTCCATAGGTTTAAAGTTATATTCTAAGGTATTGTGTGTGGTTATTTCTAGGTCCTTTGGGGATAGTTAATACAATTCTTAGACGAAACACGTTAATTTGTCCAGTCGGGAATTTCTTTGGAAATATTAAGTGGATTAAACTCCTCATATTGTGAAGTTTGATGTCTAACATGCGATTCATCCATGGGATACTGATGACAGCATATTCACCGGGAAAATAACAACAATTGATAATCACTAGATGTTCCCGGAGTCTTGAGCTAAGTTATTCATAATTTCTTCATCTTAATCTTAACCTGTGCATCCATTGAACTACAGGATCTTTAATTCGATATATTACTTGGTTGTGTATAAGTTAATTTTCTTAAAATATAACCCTTAATATTTATTAGTATTATTTAAAAGATTATTTTAATTCTTCTCTTATGAACGAAATTGTATGATCAAAGCACCAAAGCAGTTGTTTGTAAATATATTGGTCTGAAATAATGTAAGTAATAGCGAAGGTTAAGTATTGTTAATAAATAAAGTAAAAAATTAAAATAACCTGTGAAATACTAATATTGATTGTTTAATAGTCACTTAACACAATATCAGTGTTAAGTGACTATTAAACAATCAATATTAAACAAATAAAAAGATCTTGTTGGTTGGTTGAAAATCTTTTATTTGAGTATCCCATACAAATACGGTAAAAAGGCGCCCTGGCTATATAATTTCTTGAGTCTCATGCGAAGCCCTGAGTAGTCCGTGGTAGCAAAAATTGTTGCAAGTGTAGTTTTATGATTTATTTTGGCTTTCGATTATATCTGAATACTTAATGTCTCATGGTTTGCTATATTAATTGTAATCAACCGAGAACTGGAAAAGCAAGTAGATATATAATTTACGAATATCAAACTACTGGGTGACTCAGTATCCGGACAAACCCAATGTGAGTTTTGTGGTACTTTTTATTGATTACTGTATTTTGTTAATATTGTCAAATATCGCGAGATCCCCGTCGAGAGACTCCACTCCTGGCCTAGCCGGGGCTCCACGGTAGACATCACACGGGTTATTACGCGTGGTCCTGCAGACGTGTGCAGGATTGCCCGCGCTGGGAGCTTAGTACTCGGCCTATTGCTAACCACGGCGCTCCCCGTCCGCTGCGGAAGGACTGACAAAAAAATGACAAAGTACTTAGTCCACTCATTTGAATTGCTTGCCTGATTATACATTTTTGCTTCCATCATATCGAAACTCGAAAAGGTGGCTAAGTTTGTATGAGACATCAATTCTTCCCACGCAGAGGCAGACGAAGCTGTGGACATCACCCTATAGTTTTCAATATTCCAGATTCATGTTCGTGAATAGTGTGAATTGTAAAGATTAATATATCGGTAGCTTGCGTTAAGTCGGTGCCGATCGATCGGTTTGCTATCCGCAAACAATATTGAAAACTCAAGTTTTTGTTAAGAAAAATAAGCATACCTAATTTGAAAAGAATTTGCTCCTTCAAGTTGTGGACATTGTCCAATTCATCATGATTGATATTTTCTGTATTGACTGAATGAGGCTTTAAATATTCAACAGTTTTAATTTAAAATGACAGTGCTTAACGTGCACAGTAAATGCTCCGGCGTTTTTTCAAGTAGTAGGTACTTTCAAAATGGCCATGCATCGCTTTGTGGTAATCGTCGAGTGATCATGAGTAAACATTACCGTTCTACGTAAATGGCATATTTAGATCTAATTGGACCTGTTTGTTGGATGTCAAATGATAGTAAATGAACTGCCGATTGTGATTGAGTTGGCTTAAGGTATGGTTCTTATGTAGGACGGAGCGGGACGTGACTAATATTTTAAATTCACAACGAAACGAGACCATAAAAAAAGAGTTTAAATAATTTTATGTTCTGACTTAAAAAGTGTATCATTGTTATTACACGTGCCAATTTTAAACATATTGACTAGTAGTTTTCCATTCTGTAACTATAATATGGCATTACTTTGAAAATAATATTACAATTTCTACTACATTCTGTTTACTTCGCGCTTGGTTGCGCTCGTCCCTATTACACTTCCACCTTATAGATAATAGCCAATGAAACGACACGGCATCAAAGAATCGTCCCAATCAGCGCCCACACCCAAGAGCAACGACGCAATCAGAACCAAGTTTTGGTCAAGTTATGAGCATTTGCTGACACAATTGTGGCGCGCCTGCCCCGCCCCCAAGACCCTTTTAACCTCTTTCTGTGTTCTGTGGTAAATTCAGTATACGACCAAGCTCTTGGGGCACTAAGATGACATTGAAAGGAGGGTGCTGCTTGTGAATAAGTGGTGAAATGAAGATTACTTAACTTAATACATAAAATCATGTCTTGCATTAACATGGATAGCCACATTATACTAAGGTAGAGCAACGAGGTCCGATGTCTATTAATCTTGGCAGGGCTTATTGAAAGGTGCGGAGGGCCTGGGGCAACAAAGAAGTGGAAGACTCTAAAATCATACCACTCAAGTTTTCACGGTTTCGCGAATTGGTTGGTTTTTGCACATAAAAATGCCTAATGAGCCAAAAGTTTTTACTTCACCAATTGAAAAGTCTGAATTAATTCAGGTGAATGAGTTACTTCAGGATGCGTCATCTGAATTAATTCAGAGGACCGAGGCATCCTGAAAAAGATGCGAAACGTCAATAAATAAATAAATCAGTGCATACCGTTGCAACTAGTTTTATTTAATTTTAGATTTGCACGCCAGATTCGACACCAGTGCCGCTTAGCTTATGAACTATCCCCGCTATATTTTTAAGTCTTAACTCCACATAAGTAATGCATGCATGGTCAACATAATGAGCGACCTTACCATTGAGCTTGGTTAGCAAGCAAGTTGTTTTGAAACTTTCAACCTTTTTAAAAATTTAATTATGTTTTCGTGACGCAAAAAGCCAATGAAAATTGCAGAGAGAAAGTTTCAGAATTTACAGATCCACATTGTCAGGATAGTATTTATTTAGCGATTTGTCAGATTATTTCTACCGAATTCTGCTTTTTATGATCGGCAAAACTGTCTAGCCAGAGAATATTACGCTAAGATGCCTCTTAAAATTTGTCTCTCTTCATAGAACAATGGACTCCACTCACCCCATAAGTACTGCCAGAGTTGAAGGCCAGCCAGCCCCACCATAAGACGAAGGTGCCCATCACTGCGTTCACGGGGTTACCCAGGGGCAAGGGTGTGTTGCCATTGGCGTAACGGCCCAACCTGGGGCCCAGCATGAGGGCCGACGCGAAGGCTGATGAACCACCTAAAGTATTATTACTGTTTGTATTTTTCCATATAACCCCACCAACCACCCAAGGTCTGACGAACATTCCTGCTTTTTGGAGGAAATACGTGCAGAGGCAATTTCGATTTAATGTAGAGATCTTTGTACTTGTAACTATATCCTAAATGATGTAATGGAAGGTGACTTCAGAAGTATCTCTGAAGTCATTTTTCAACTTGACGTCTCTGTATATATCAATACAGGGAGAAAAAAGCAGCCCTTGCTGAGTTTCTTGCCGATTCTTCTTAGTACAAGGCCTCCCGCCGTAGTTTTGCGAACCGATGGCGTAGTTTCTTGACCTTCACAAGTGCTTGTAAAAGCCAAGACTGAATAAATGACTTTTCATTTCATTTCGATCATCGTCGGAAAGATCGTCTTCTAACGAAACACCCGAAGCGTTACCATTCTTTTTGCTTATTTACTAGGCTCTGGTGCCAACGGCTGGCATTCAAGATAGTCCATTCTATATTCTATTCTATATCTAAGTATATATATAAAAATCAATTGCTGTTCGTTAGTCTCGCTAAAAGTCGAGAATGGCTAAACGGATTTATCTTATCTTGGTCTTGGAGGTCTAGGGAAGGTTTAAAAGTTGAGAAAAATAATTATATAAAGAAATTCATTGTGTATAATACAAGTCTGAGAACTAAAACTATAGTCTACCTACACAGAGCTGTACTCTACACTGAAGCGAAGCAAGGGCGGGCCACTAGTATATAATAAGAATGTATGCCTCGTGCGTATAAATGCCGCAGTGGCAAGGGATCTGTACACCGCTTCTACTTTCTACCAGCTGTCTGTGAAGACAACGAGCCAACTCGCGTCTTACGCATATTTCACTTCCATCTTGCGAGCCAACGATATTATTGTTGCGATCATTTTAGCTCTTGCGACTCTTGCTTTACTTGCTCCAGATTCTGCAGACGCAAGCTAGAGACTAGGGTCTTGTTTGGTTCTCGGGAGCTCTAGGATTACCCGTGGTGACGCCACTCACCAACAGCTCGCCCCAAAGGTGCCCTTATTAATATTAAAATCATTATCGTGTAAAAAGTTAAATTATTTTTCATTCCAAATTCAAATTTATAAATTATTTTAGCTGGTACATTTGAATTTTGAAAACAGCCATTCATTTTTTTTTCCTCATAATCTTTTTCTTTGGCGTTACTTATTACTGCACAATGGAAAACATGAAATATCGGTATATTTACGAGTGCGAGTTCTACCGTGGCACCAGTGCTGCAGAAACAGCTCGAAGGATAAATGATGTGTACGGCGCTGGTGTCGCAAAAGAAAGCACGGTACGTTTTTGGTTTCAACGTTTTCGTTCTCGAAATTCTGACCTTCAGAACCAACCCCGTGGACGACCAAAGTGGAAAATGAAGAATTAAAGGCTATTGTGGAAGCGGATCCATCACAAAGCACTTCAGATATAGCTGCAGGCTTCGGGGTAAGTGACAAAACTGTATTAATCTACTTGAAGCAAATCGGTAAAGTAAAAAAACTTGACCGATGAATTAAAGGCTATTGTGGAAGCGGATCCATCACAAAGCACTTCAGTTATAGCTGCAGGTTTCGGGGTAAGTGACAACACTGTATTTTCCACTTAAAGCAAATCGTAAAAGTAAAAAAACTTGAATAAATTCGCTCTCATAAATTGAGTAAATCGAACTTGCAAACACGCGTCGACTGCTGACTTTGCTCAACCGACACAAAAATGAAGGGATTTTAAATCGAATCCTTACTTGTAATGGATACTGTACGATAATCGGAAGCACTTGTTGCAATGGTTGAACCCTCGAGACCCAGCCAAATCCTGCCCTAAACGAAAATTTACTCATAAAAAGTTACTTGTGAGTACATAATCAAAACAATTAAATCATATAAAAACTTTAATAAATTCTATTATAAATTAAAAAAAATGGCGCCCAGCGCGCGCCTCCCTCCCCCTCCCCCCCTTTCACCATCACTTCTAATTTTCTCTAGTTATTAAATAAAAAATAAATTAAGATTCAAACTCAAAGAACGGTTACTTTTTGTCTCAATTCGAGATTGTAGTTGAGAGAAGAAAATATTGAGAAAAAGAACAAGGAAGAGGTCTTTCTATATCCTGTCTGTGGTTTTACTTACCAATAAGATGCACAGGGCCAGAGCCAGCAATGTCGACGGCGCCCATTTTGTTGAGGAATCCGTGCGAGCCCCACACCCAGCCGGCCGGCACGCAGTACACGATTGTGTTTAGGAACGAAAACATACAGTACGCCTTGAAGTTGCACCTAAAAACAATAATAATTATAGACTACCTGGAAAACATTTAAGAAAGTAACTCCATCGCACTTTGATTTCTCATGTATTTTGAAAATTGTTTACTGGATATTTCGGGTTTTGTATATGGGTGAAATTCAATGTTTCTATGAAACTTCGTGAGATTGTTGGGTTACGTGTATAGAGTATGCCTGTTTTTTTTCGGATTTTTTTGAAGTATATTTTTTTCATGTATTTATTTATAATTTGTGTATTTTTATGTCCTTTCCTCCTTTTGAGTAGTTATTCATTTTAAACAAACAAACTTACATATCCAGTGAAAAACAACTAATAAATAAGCACTTCTAAAAAACGGAAAAACATTAAAATTCCACCGCGGGACAACGACCGACCGCGCCCGCCAGCCGTTGAGTGAGTAGGTACCTCTACACAGAGCTCAGCTGACTCCTTTGATTCCACACAGTACAATAAAATTGTCTTAGATGCCTTTATTGAAATTGAAATAATAAGCACAAATGTCATCTTCTCTTAAGCAGAGAAAAACTTTAAAAGTTAATAATAATTTTGTCACGATTGGAAATAGGCAAATGTTAAACAAAAAAAATACTTATTGCAGTTCAATACTTGGGTCAGAATGAAATTTATAACCAGGTATTCAAAAGTACTTACGAGACCGGCGATGTAGGTAGGTACAACGAGGAACGAGGAACATATTCATTTTTTTCACTAGAACTTTTTATCAAATCAATCACACTAGTAGTACACAATTAGTTGTTTCAAATCAAAAAGTATTTACACTAGCAATAAAAAGAGACTTAAATTATTATCTGCAAAATTGTTGCTCTAAACCACCATTTTGCTGCAAACAAAGGTAGGCACGTTTGCGGACGTGTCTTTTCACCTTTTTAAAAGTGTCCCTATCACTACTCACTGCACAAAATGCAACTTCTATGGTTGGGGACTCATTCGTAAACCAAACCTACTTCGTCACACTCGCGATAGCAGTACACCATCTCTAAATATTCTTGGTTCGTATATCGAGGCATAATGAAATTATCACAGTGTATGTCACTAAGTCAAAAGATGCGCACGCCCACCCGCGATTGATATACTTGCGATTGCGCTTTGCATGCAATCAAACCAAACCACCGCGTGCGGGGAAGAGGGGAGGTGGGCGGAATTCACATCATCAAAGACGCCGCAACCGGCGTTAGCGCTGCATGTTTCTTGCCAGCGTGCGCCGCCCGCCCGTGCTTGCCGCAAAACAACATATTATTATGTGTGTGTGACTGTGGCTGTGATTTAATGTGTTCGGAATTACATGACGTGGGCAAATCAGACACGAAGAGTTCCTTCCTTTCACTAAGCTCGAAAGTTATACCGATTTGCTCTGTATGATTTTTCCCAATTTTAAATAAGCCGTTTGTGCTTAAGTTTTAATTAAACGAGGCAACTAACATTAAAAATAAAAAAGAAGTTCTTACACTAACAGACAGGCTTTACCGATTTAAAATCGTGACAGTCATATTAACTTTATAGGATTTTTAATTGCTCTAACAGAAGATTTATTTTATTGATTAATTACCTGTGCTTTATGAAATAATATTCAAAGGTATTGTATATCAGTGAATAAATAATTATAATATAGCATCTAAGACTATTTTATTGTAATGTTTTTAAATAGTGTGGAATCAAAGCGGAGAGTAGGTAAGCGCCGAGTCATCTGTGCGTGTAGTAGGTACCTACACAGGCGGCCGCCGGTCGTCGCCCCGACCGGCGCTGATCTCGACTGGAGGCATTCATTAAGTTTCCGTTTTTTTAGGAGTGCTTATTTTAAATTGATTTATAACTTCTATGTAGACGTGTTTAAAATGAATAATTACTCATAAGGAAGAAATGACAAAAAAATAACCAAATAAAAAATTAAAAAACAAAAAAAAAAAATTTTAAAATCCGAAAAAAATCAGGCATACTCTATACACGTAACCCAACAATCTCACGAAGATTCATAGAAACATTCAATTTCACCCTATATATGTAAAACAGGTAAAAAATATGTAAAAAAGGTAACTCCTTTTTTACATTATGTGATAGAAGTTGACCTCAATACATGTTTATAACTTTGATGTCAGCTTTCAATTTGACGACACTGTATGAAATAATGCAGGGAGAAAAAAGCAGCCCTTGCTGAGTTTCTTGCCGGTTCTTCTCTTCTTCTTCTCTTTCACACATGCTTATTAGAGCCTAAACTGAATAAATAAATATTGATTTTGATGCCATTTTTTACCGACGAAAAAAACAGAGGAGGTTCTCATATGGACGCATATATATTTTTATGTATATAGAGAGCTGATGCTGCGGAAATATATGCTATAACCACGAGTACATTGCCGGCCTGAACCAGACCTAAATGCAATTCCTCTATCTTCGTGGAGTTCTTATATACTTTACCTGCTGCAGGAACTCAATACATAGTAAATAAAACTAGTTTTTACGGGTTAATGCACGAAACTTTATTTATTTATTGACGTTTCGTAGCCTTTACAGGCTACGTCGTCAGAATTAAACTTTTATTTAATTTGTAGGTAAGGTAAAGGTAGCTCGAATGAGTGATGTGCGTGAAAACCTAAGAAACAAACAATACATAGTGTTAATTGTTACCTATTGGACTTCAATCCTCGGTGAGGTGGAGCAACTTCCCTAGGAGGTGGCTTCTCTCCAATAGTATGTCTATGCCCGGAAGTTATGTATGTGGACATAGCCATAGCTAATAATATGATAGCTTATATACAATGTCACGCCATTCACCCACCCAAGCTATTTAAAAACTATACTTTGTCCACGTAAACAATGTACCTAGTTAGTGGAGCGCTTTCTTTTTCACTCAATCGGTTATAAAACACAAGGATGGTAAACTGCAGCACGGGAGAAAAAGTAGAGTAAAACCTATTACCTCATTTCTGTAGAAAGAGTAAACTGTTTTTCTCTCCTTTGTTATTAAGTAAGCTTTAAATGTTAAGAAATTTTTACTAGAAAAAAATATTATATTCGTTCCAGGTTTCAGACGGGATTCGAAACCGCATCTTTCGCTATCCGGGCAGACCCACTAAGCAAATGCTACCGAGTCCTTAATGGTCGTGTCGAATTTCCTCTAGCATTTTTTAGGCTATAAGATAACACTTTTTTTCCTTTAGGTTCAAACATTTAGCAGGTAAATACTTAAGTATATAAATATAATAAGCTATGCTTTTCTTTAAGGTTTTGATGGTTGATGCATACAGAACTTATTGACCCTACATTAAAATGCATCTACACAGTTTACCTACCGTTCTGCCATAGCACCGCTGACTATAGTGGTTGCAGTGGTAGCGAATGAGAGTTGGAACAGAAAGGACGCGAATACTGGTCCCATGAGGGCGTCGCCGACCGGCGGGTCCACCAGGAAGTTCCCGATGCCTATGAACGGGTTCGAGTAGTTGCTCTCGCCGAACGACATGCCGTAACCGAAGATCCAATAGGTCAGACCTGGTTGTAGATTATTATCATTTTAGATTTTTGTGGCAGTCCCAGTAGAAATTGTACTGTGACCTAAAAGATCTATTGTGACTCGCCACCAAGTTCAAGTATCTCTTTTAACCCGACAATTTCCAAGAAACTCAAAACGTTTTTAGCTTTCAGATATTTTATTTCCTCTGGACGTATAAAATATCGTCCCAGATGAATACTACGTTTGTGTGTAAGACGCCCATATTCACATAGAATGTGTGGATGCATTTTTATACATTCGCGTCACTTATCTCTTCCTTTGAGGAACACCATGGCGGAGGTGGGTAAGCGCTGCGAGACCAGCCGGTAATTAGATGATGGACCAAAAGCATATTACTTCCAGCTATTTCGTGCTTCGGCAGGCACGTTAAGCCGTTAGCCCCAGCTGCATCTGCAATCGTTAGCAGCCAGCAATCAGCAAATTATCCGTTTGGTAGGACATATCTTAATCTCCCATTCCATCCGTAGAGGGAACGCCTGTGTCCCAACAGTGGGGACAATAATATGCTGATGGTGATGATCCCTCCCTTTCGGGGTCGGCAGAATTTGAAAGGTCTGACAGCATGATAAAGATAAATATTGGTATAAACATCACTACCAAAGTCGCACATCAAGTACGCCAACATTACGTCACATTTGGTCTTAGTTGCAGTTTGTAGTACAAAAGTTTCCGATGTCACTCTGCCCGTTCATGTTGATAGACTTTTACTAAACAGAACATTTATACCCCACTAGAGTGATTTATTCCCCACGAAAGTGATATGTGTGACTGTATGAAAAATGCACCGTTTTATCATAATTTTGCCAGTATGAACTTGAACCAAAACCGCGTGGAACCCTGGAACAGGAACTCACTAACAAAAATAAACACATTACTGTTAGGAGATAGTGTTACTTCATTCCTCTCCTGCAGGGTCGGATTTAAGGCAGAACAGACGGAGCTGATGGCCCAGGGGTCCAAAAAAGAGGCCCCCACAACGGAGATAAAAAATAACCAAATTTCGACGGAACACCAACCAGGGGGGAGGGTGGAAACGTAAAATAAACACCCTTGGAGGCCTCCACGCTTTCGTTACATACCTCTAAATCCGACTCTGGTCTTCTGTAAGATAGAGGTAGCTTTTTCAGACGGGCGCTCTACTTATCTCATCCAAAAACCTTTTCTTTCGAAAAAGTTTTAAGTTACTGTTAAAAAAGTTGATTAAATAAACTTTGATCAAACAACTACCTCACAAGTTTAGTTTAGTGTAACGTGTTGCTCTAGCTAGCCGATGGGAGACTTAGGGAGATACTTAATATGAAAACGAGACTTACCACCAAGGGCAATATCCGCCAGGTTCTTCATCATTATATTGGCTTCATTCTTTATGGACACGCAGCCAGACTCTAGCATACCAAAACCTGTAAGAAAATGAAAAAATAAAATACATATAGTCATAATTATTGTTTCTTCGTTATCAAAGTACTACTACTACTATATACTGTATACAGTAGTACTAATATATAGTGTAGTATATTTTTACTACAGTTACTGGTGGTAAGCGATGCCGCGACTTCGCGATATTGAACAGTCGATATAAATCACATAAGGTACGGTAGGTACAAAATATTTTTCAAGATATAAGGGTGGCAAACAAGCATTTTTGCCGGCCTGCTAAGCGGCCGCCATAGACATTTTGTGGCGTGTGGAAAATGCCTGACGCATACCTGTTCACTGGAGAAGGTGAGTGGGTTTTGTGGGACTCTCCTTTGACTACTCACTAAAACCCACACGGTGTTCCGAACAGCATCGACACAGGCGTCACCACGGGTCCGGTACGCACCATGGTAGCCAATGCCAACAGCTTAGCGTCAGTTGGCACGCTCTCCTCCAGAAGGGGAGCGAGGCTATGTATTACATCCTTTCCATCCGTTTTTAGGCGAGACACCGGAACACACGGCTTTCTACTCCTTCGACCTTATTTTGTTATGAGCACCGGGCATTCTCCGTGCCCGGCACCCAAGGTTCCTACTACGAGGTCGGTACGGCGGGTATTTCCCCACCGTCTTCCCCGTCTTCCCTGTCTTCTCCGGATTAGCTGACAGAGACGATTCCCTCATGCGTTACCTAACCTAACCCCATTCTCCAACCCCGTCGAGTCCTGGAACCTCCATCACCGATAGACACATAACAGCACGCAAAGACACCGTTATTTCACTGTTGTCTTTTGTTAGATGGAGGTTACTTATCCAGGCGGGAGTTCCAATCCGATCGCAAAGCTTGCTATGCTCTACCTCTCGTAAAATTAATATATAAAAAATGTAAAATTCTTAAATATCTACGCTTGTAATGCTGGCATTTCACTTGCTATTCGTGTTTGCTATTTGTAAACTTGACAATAGTCAGTCCTTACCATGCTTTTGATGGAATTAAAAGGAACAGACTAATGTCAAGTTAACAAACCTTATCTACATTGACGTAGCCAACTCACTATGCAATACACTTGCAGCTTTGTCGACCCCTTATGAGTAACTTTTAAGTTTTGCGAGTGATTTTTTCAGAAACTAATATGAAAAATCGAATACAAAGTCAGTTAATAATCCAACGTACGTGATAACAAAGTCCTATATATGATTAACTTTAAACCAATAATTCAGAATTAAATTATGTAATCGCATTTATTTGTCATGCGAACTGTCATTTCAGTTATATTTTATCAAAAATGTAACAAATATGTACCAAACACGAATAGCAAGTGAAGTGACGGCCAATGCCGGCAAACTTGTAATATTAAATGGGGTTTTCCACCGCGAGCGCAGCGAGTTTTTTAGACTCCGTTCACCTCGCAAAACGAAAATGCATACATCTGTTTCCACCAACAAAGAGTCGAGCGAAAATGACAAAGAGAAAAAGAAGAGTAAAAATGAGCTGGATAGTTTGGAACACTTTCTAGGCGGAAAAGAAATCCTATTTTATGTACACGAAGATCGTTCCCCTAGACATTCCTAGTTTCTTTCCTCTTTAGCAGTGGAAACGAGCTTTACAACTGCGATACTTAGGTAGGTGGTAGGATTAGTATTACAAACTATATAGTGATATGCTAGCGCTCTTTTATGTACCTATAGATTTGTGACATTGCAATAAATTCAAAATTCAATGTCGTTTATTCAGTCTAGGCTGTTACAAGCACTTGTAAATGTCGAAAAGCTACGCCATCGGTTCGCAAATCTACGGTGGGAGACCTTGTTCTGAGAAGAACCGGTAAGAAACTCAGCAAGGGTTGTTTTTTTCTCCCTGTATTATATCGCCAATTGAAAAATGACTTCAATATGAGATAACTCATGAAGTCACTTTCCATTACAAATATAAATGATATAAAAATTATGACTTTAAATAAAATAAAAAGTATAATAAACAGATTCAACAAAGTTTAGAAGAGAAAGAAGGAAGAGAAAGAGGTATGCCGAGTCCTACTGTTTAGGCATAAAAAAGTACGATTAAAGTTACGACGACGATTAATAGTACCCAACGTAGCAAGAGCAGACTCATCTCCGCTGGCAGCACCCGTTCACGAGAATGACGCATGAACAAACCATCGCTCCGCTCAACCATTTTTTAGGGAACGTAACGGCCAGCCTCATACGACACCGCCGAAGAGATTTTTAAGAGGGCATGACTGCCCATAACCACATATGGATACAAGGTGGCAAAATAGAAAAAAAATGTAAGTACCAGTGTACATTATTAAAACAAACTATAAAAACAACTGTAGGACACATGCATGTGATTACCTATACACTATTAAGTCTTTACCAGAGAAATAATAAATGTTCACCTACATTTTTTGTGTGTACCGGTAGTCGGTAAATACAAATTGTACAACTTGTATTTATACTGTGTAGCTTGGAAGCTTTGAATTTAAGCTTTTAATAGTATCAAATTGAGAAAAGAAAACAGGTTTCTGCTCAAGCGAAGAGGATAGGTGCATCTAGGACAATAAATTTAATTGTAGCTGCAGATATTGTGATGTGGCGACCATTGCAAAATACAGTGAAAGACATATTGGTTCAGTGCCAGACTGCCAGTCGACTACCGAAGTAGATAAACATATTTGGCTTGTAGCCATTATCACAAACTATGTAGTGATGCTAGCGCGCCATTATAGTTTTTATACCATATCTGGGCACAGTAGTAGCCCCGCCAAGGCAAGCCAACCGAAGCGCAAGCGACATTTCGTTTTTTTAAATACATATATCTTGGGTTTGGATTACTACAAGAAGTATTGTATAACAGAACTAATTTTATTGAACTGTAGATACATTTTTTATTTAACTGTAGATACATTTTTTATTTAACGTTACGGCCATGTGAATGTAGCGAAATAGCCAAGCCACATATTCTGACTAAATTGTTGAGTTTGTGAAGTTAGGCCTTGAAGAGTTAGGGCGTGTAGAGTTCGAAGATTGGCTCTCCATGAGATCTGATAACTTTTTGATAGTGCGAGTTATATGGTCGTCTTGGCAACATTTTACATGAAAATGTTTTTGGAGGGATGTATTTATTGCTACGAGATGCGCATAACTATTACTCTATTAAGAGGTACATGCAAGCAAGGCACATATAAACGAGGAACATTTTATGTAGCTCAGTACTTTAACTAGTACTTTAATATAAATTGTGTGGTGACGTAATAAGTTCATAGTAAAAGTTTTAAGGGGCAATTTTATTTTATTCTTTTTAGCGCATTTAAATACGAGTAAATGCTTGTTTTTAATCAGTTTTTTCTTTTAATTTATTTTTTACGTTTTACATAATTGAGAACTTCAAAAACCCCATATTGCCACCTAGTATTTTTATTTGATAGGTACCCATATTATAGGAATATTATAGGCATAAAAAACAGTCCGCCATGTTTTTAATTGTGCTATATTGGATTAAAGGTGACGTCACTTTATTTTTCGCGTTATTCTCAGCAGCAAGCCCTTTCATTTGAATGGGTATCAAAGTAGGAGTGCATCACAAATAACTAGTCCGCCATCTTGTATGTTTCGCCATATTGGATTTAGGATGAAATCACACAGCTCACCATGCATTGTCACCTATGATTGTCAGCCAAATCTCACCATGCATTGTCACCTATGATTGTCACCCAAACTTAACGTGTGTACAAAATTTCAGCTCACTCGAATGAAGACATCTGCTTCAAAATTGAGTTGCAAGATTCCACCCCAACAAACATTACATTACATTGCAATTTAAATAAAAGCTTTTAAAAGGGTGACAAAGGAATTCATGATATGTCCCGTTGGCTGCCTGTTACAGGGCATAACTAGACTTTTTAGAATCTTGCGTAGCGAAATGCCTTCGCCATGGTTTCTAACACAGAATTTATTTCTGTTCTTTTTAAAGTTATTTTATCAATTCTGAATTTTACTATAACTAGTAAATATGCGTATACGTACAAGCGTATGTCACACCGATCACACCCACACGCATGGACGTCACGTCACACTATTATAAATAAAAACCTTAACGTATTTTCCGCTACGTGACATGCCTAACATAGTTTCATGTCATGCATGCCCCTTACATCAGAAGAGTAGGTAACTAAAGTTATTGTTTGAGTCAATACAATCCAACCAAAAATATTTACATGTTAAATGTTGCCAAAACGAGACCATATGACTCGCACTGTCAAAAAGTTATGGGATCTCATGTAGAGCCAAGCTTCTATCTCTACAAGGCCTAACTTCATAATAACTCTAAACCTTTGTGAAAATATGTTTTTCTTGCTCTTACCACAGCATGGAACTTTTCCTGTCTGATTAAATTCTGATTGTCGATTTATTCGTTTTTTTAATATAATAAAATGTCACAAAGAATTAGTGAACATACAGCCACAGGTGAAGTTACTCAAAACTATGTTTCATTTCACAGTTGACAAAGATAGGATCAACTCAAAACTCCTAATAAAGTAATGAATCCCATCAACAGTGGTTTGTTTTACCTTTTAACAATGAGCAAGAAGTTAGAAACAAAACAATTATCTATCAATGTATCGAACAAGATGAATTGCTAAAAGTTCCAATATATAAGTAGGTAGGCGGCGTTCACGATTTGCACATATAATTTTTATTTAACCATCACACAGAAATCTATCATTTCCCATTATTTGTATATTATTTTAGATGAGAAATTCGTGATCGTATATGATAGTAAATGCGTGTTGTATTTATATTATTGCAGGTAAGATGTTAGCGGATCGGAGTTCGAAAATTAAATTTAAGATTTTTCCGTCATGACCGTCGTCAGCTGTTTTGTAGCGCATTTGTGGATTTCCCGCTTTCAACATTCTAAATAGAACTCGTGTCGTGGAGTTATTTAAAATTTACTTATCATTTTGTGTGTTCACTATTCATGACATGAAACGTAAAATTTAAATTTTACCGAGCTATGTAGGTATGTTTCTTTAAATAACTGCCTTATAAAAACATAAAGTAATGACATATTACAAATAACGTAATGATGAACATTTAAGCATATTTAAACAAGTTTTTTGTATATGAATACAAGGACTCTAATGAAATGGCAAATAAAAATAGCAAAACTGTTAGTAATTATATTTTAGTGACAATGACGTAAGTAGGTATTCAGAAGTATTATTATTTATAAGCAGTTTGCAAATTCTTTAAATGAGTCTAATCATGTTGAATGTATAACTTTAAACATAGATAGTACAAAACACAGAATTTATTTCTGTGACAAATCTTCAAAATGCTCTGAGAAACAAATATAAAATATGGATGATTGAGGAACAGTTTTTTTTTGGTTTTGTAGATTATCAAAAAGTATTAGAGACGTATTTTTTTCTTTATTCACATAAACAAAACATTAAAATATCGCATGGCGTCACGTCTTAGTACAATTTTTATTTAGAAGTGACGTCACTGGCAAATTTTGGCAGTGGGGATCACTACCAAACTTTGACGCACTTTATCCTTATAATTTTGGGTTTGGCCAACCGTTAGGCACCCATTCCGCTACGCCCCCGGTCGGGACCCACCCGTTTTAAAATACCCGGTTTTTTTACAGGAAGCTTGAGCCAATACAGTTGAAAACAAAGTGTTTTTAAATTGAAGTGAATGAAAGTGTGAGAAAATTATTTATTTAATTTAAATATTTTGATTTTGTTAATTTGCTTCAACATTATTTAGATAAGTTTTCAAGTACTCCTCAACAGTCACATGTCACATTAAACAAATAAAAAAATAACATCAAAATGTAATTACAAAAAAGACTTACCTGTCTGCATGGTGAAGATTATGAAGGAAGAAGTCAAGATCCAGTTGGTGTCCTCTAGGTCGATTTCAAAGTTTCCCTGCAGGTTCACAGTAGTGTTCGTCAAGTTAGGAGACCGAAGCCCGATGTGTGGGTATAACGTCCAATTGGTGTCCATTTTGATTGGCAAGAAAAAATTTACCGCTTTTGTGACGAAACAAAAAGTTTGTAGTACTAGTTTGTAAAATTTACCGAGTTTCTATTAAGCATCTCAGTTTGGTTTAGTATTATTGTAGGTACTCATTGTTAAAAATATTTTAATCACTTTAATGGTTGTAAGCATTTGATGTTTTCAAACGTTCATTTGAATGTGTTCGTTGAAATTAGCTGTAGTAGAGAGTCAATACTTACTTATATAGACCTGTGCAAAGTTTCAACGTGATTATGTGGGTACGAGATGTACGAAAGATACCCGTGTTTGGATGTCTAGCTACAAATATTTTAATATATATTAGCATTTAATAAATCATATACACAGAGGAAAAAATAACATTATATGAATTCAGGCAACGAAAAGGTATAGAGGGAAATGCTTAGAACACAATTTTTGACTTCGTAACTTTGTTAGGACTAGTTAGGAGGTAAACATATCAAAAGTAGCCCGTAGCCCTTAAGCCGGGGGGAAGGGGGGCATTGAAGGTTCCATTTTTAGGGTTTTCGCATATATCTCGGAAACTATGCATCCTAGCGACATGAGACTTTGACAGAAGTGAAATCTGATTAAATTTGCTACAAGTCTTATTCAGTCAAGTTTTTTGATATCTTGTATAGTTTTCGAGATATCCGCTCTTAAAAGTCTGTAATTATGGAAAAAAAATTGCTTCACATTTTTGCTCTATTTGACCGGGATAACTCTTCAACAATGCCGGCCGTAGGGTTGTTGATTCCACCAGTAAGTAGCATGCAGATTTCGGACAAGCCCGCCAAAACAAGGATGGAGCTGACATTGCCAAGCTCACCGATTGGTTTGAGAAATTTCCTCCCTTCCCAGAGACCAGAGACATTATCCAGTCACCAGAAATCCAAAAAGCAGCAGCGGTCTTTTCACACCCTTTCTCCACCACTCTAGCATTCGTTGCCTGGACTAGAATACATGTAGAATCAGTTTGTGCAAAAAATTTTTTTTTGTTCACAGTAATGTGTAAATAATGTGATTGATAGTGATGCTTTAACTTTTAAGCAATTTATACATAGTTTTTGGAGTTTACTCCTTAAGAATCGATTTGCATATATAAGGGGCCAGGTATGAGAAAAATGTGAGGAGTGAAATCTATCGATGAATGACCTCGTTACGTTTTTACTGTCTACGCTGTAGCAGCCGTAGTGCTACACCGTAGCACAGTATTGTAGCGTACCTTTATTTATGCACATCTGAAATTGACTATTGTAAAAAGTTTAATGTAAAATATTTCGTCGATTAGTTATAATAAATGTATATGAAATGAATAAATATATATTTATATATTATTTTCATTAATTTGTTAATTTACCCTTTCATACAGTATCAATCTTTTTTAAGTTAAATAAACTCTTTTTGCGTCTGGTTAGACTATCGAACTTAAGAAGTAAACTCCAGTCGTGCGTCGGAGCTAACACACACAATTTTTTTTTCTATGATAAAACTATTTTGTATATTTTAACTTATGACTAGAGATCGGTTAATCGGTCCATATTTATTTTCCCTAAAGTTATTATAAATTACCAAAAGTTATTTTAGCTTATTTAAAAAAATAAACATGGAACTCCGGGATCGCTTAAGTAATCGGATGTATATTTACTGAAAGTTAAAGTTTAATTTCCTATTTGAGTGAGTGTGTATGTAAGGTACTACTGTGTTCACTTATTTTTTTATTCTATGAGGTTGTATGCATTGTTCGAAAGCTTAAAATTACGGGCCCTACAACGGAGCGTGCGGTAAAAATTCATTACGCACGCTCCCACATATGGCACCGTGCGTTTTCTTTACGGTTTTTTCTAATTTCGATCGAACCTCCTTGCAGTCGCTTTTAGTCTATACCTATGTTTCACTTTAATACTAAAAAGAAAAAGATGTAGGAAGTTATAATTTTCTCCACCCGCACGTGGCGGCATTTGGAAATGCTCGCTCTTTCCTTATTACAAAAAATTTGCTTAATTACTTAAATTATGAATAACGATTTCTCGCAAATGCATTTTTTGAGAAAATGTGTTAAAAATAACTATTTCACATTCGAGGTAAGGTTTGCGAGGATTTTATGTGGATCGTAATTCTACAAAGAAACTTCCGAGCAGAAAATGATGCCACATCCGCATATCTTTCTTACATTGTTGTTACATTCACCTATTATCCTCTTAACCAGTTGTAACCGCAACCCAGGTACATTTACCTACCTATATTTACTTACATAGTCATTTTAGATGTCTGTTAGAATTTTGTTTTCGACAAAAGATTGTTTTATTTAATAACATATTTGTATCAGCTGCGCATTTGTTGTCGACTTATAGCTCGAACTACTACGACGGCATAATTTTAAGATATCGTCGGTGATATTCTGAAACCGCGGAACTAACAGTGTTTAAAACCGCGTATTTACAAAACTAGCAAAATCGAGATTTCGCGGGCTTAGCTTCGTTGTAGTGATTGGCTGCGTTCTGTGATGATGGCTGGGCCTATTATCCAATAGGAAGCCGTGGAATCGAATGTCTTTTAATCCGCGTAACGTCAGGTGATTGTTTATTGTGCCCAAACCGCGTATGCATGTAACTTGCTACTGGTTCGACGAAACCGCCTGTGATTTAAGAGCTACCACTTACGCATCATTGTTCATTGATTATTTGACTAAGTTATTAGAAGAAGATTGCAGGGATGTTGTCATCTGGACGGATGGCTGCACTGCACAGAACAGAAACTCAATAGTTTCTAATGCCCTTATAAGATTAGCAGTAGACAAAAATACAACAATTACAGAAAAGTATCTGGAAAAAGGTCACACTCAAATGGAGGTTGCCTCCGTTCACTCCGTAGTGGAAAGAAAACTGAAAAATGTTGAAAGTTTTCTTCCTTCTCTTCTTCTTCTTCTTCCTCAACCACTATCCACCCACTGCTGAGTGAAGGTCTCTTCCATTGCACTCCAACTATTGCGATCTCGGGCAGACTGCATCCATTTCGCTCCGGCTATCCTAATGATGTCATCTGTCCACCGGGCTGGTTGACGCCCCACGTTTCTGCGTCCGGTTCTCGGCCTCCATTCCATTACCTTTCTGCTCCACCTGCCATCCTCGCGTCTACAGACATGTCCCGCCCATTTCCATTTGCTGCGGGAAATTACACAAGCGATGTCAGGTAACTCTTCCTTCTCAGTATGCCTCAATTACAAAAGAAGCCAGGAAGCATCCTTCTCCATACCAGGTTTTTCAACCAGATTACACCTTTTTTAAAGACTACAGTCTAAAAGAATACCAAATTTATGATTCCATTCGTCCTGGGCGTTCTGCTGCGATTGCGTAGTGGATCTGAGGGTTTTAAAGTATAATCCTAACGGCACAATAGAGTTTAAAAAACACTTTAAAGATGATTTCAGCCCACTTCATCGGAGACCAAAACCTATTTCAGCTGTAGTTATAATGTACCTCCCCTGTATTCATCTAGACTGCCTATATTAGACAGTAAGTATCAGCACTTACAGCAATTAAAGAGTGTGATACCTGCAGATTGACACTTATTTTACGATAATTTGCCATTTAAGAAAAAGTAATGTTTTATTGATCTCATTTTTAACAAAGACCTCAGTGCAATTATTATTCTACTCAGAAGTAATATTTATATACGTTTTTTTCTTCATTTTTAGTTTTAACTGTTAATTAGTAAGTACCCTCTCAACAAGGTATGTTTAACACACTTAGCTATAAAGAGCTACTTTTTTTTAACATTATGGGGATTTATGGTGTTAATTTCCTGTATATTGTTGATTACCTAATGTACCGGTGATAAATATGTGCCAAAAATTAAACTCTGAAGTTGACTTAATAAATAATTATAGGATGTTGATTGTATTCTTTTGTTTTATTTCGGCGGACAATTCCGCTTAAGTGACATAAAAAAACTCATTTTGATTTTATTTGAGATAATAAAACCGCGAAAGTCGATTTACTAATTAATTAATACATATTTAACATAACTAATGCCTACAATACCAAGAAGAATATTATAATTTGACAATTTAAATGTTTAAACAATAGAAAGTCATGTAATTCAGTAAATATTATGTTTTTCTTCGTTCCTGTAAAATTCACTGCACCTACCTTACGCGGTTTTAAACACTGTTAGTTCCGCGGTTTCAGAATATCACCGACGATATGGTACATTAAAAGACTGATGATATATTATATGGTACCCACTACTGGGGTTGGTATAATGGACCATGATCCACCACGCGGGCTCTGCGAGGATTGGTGGGTGCTAACGACTGCAGATGCAGCCGCAGCCGGTACTAAGAGCTTAACGTGTTTTCCGAAGCTCGGAGGAGCTCGAGATAATAAGTTTTCGATCACCCATAAAATCAAAGGTTGAGCAGTGATGTAGCTTCTGCAGTATACCTTCCTTAAAGGATAATCAACTTAATAATATAAGATAACTTCAATGTTGTTCATATTAATGCTCAGAGTATTCCAGCACACTATCCTGACTTTCATGCTACTTTTTCTGACAAGAACATTCGCGCAGTACTTGTTTCTGAATCCCTTTTTTCATCCTTGTCTTCAATCTAACTGTTACTCTCTTCCTGGTTTTCAACTTATTCGCAACGATCGGACTAATACGTTTCATGGCGGAGTAGCTATCTATCTACGTAATCACATTCCTTTTTCTGTTATAAGTCGATCTATGCAACCTCCTCCACTGGATACTGTAGAACACCTACTTCTTGAAGTTACTCTTTTTCATACTTAAGTTCTATTAGGCGTTTACTATAGCCCTTCTTTTAGAGTTAATTTCTTTTCTTCCTTTGAGAAACTGCTAGAAGATTTGACCCCGTCCTATAGCCATTCCATTATATTCGGTGATTTCAACACGTGCCTCTTAAAATCTGATTTACGGTACTGTACTTGAAGTCAGTCGTCAATGTCTGCAATATGCCTATTCTCCCTCTTAATGCCACTCACTATTTTCCCAATTGTACACCTTCTCTTCTTGACTTAATAATTGTTTCTTTTCCCTTTCATGTTGCCAAACATGGCCACTTCACCGCAGATGCCTTCTCACATCATGATTTAATATACGTTTCCTATAAAATACGTCCTCCTAAGGCTAAGCCCAAAATCATTATGCAATGTAATTTTGGTGGCATGAATGTAGACAAGTTGCGCGATGATGCTAGAGAGGTTAATTGGTCAGTAATCAACATCGGCGCTACTGTCGATGAACAAGTAAATACTTTTAATGATCTTTTAATTCAGCTTTATGATGTCCATGTATGCACCCAATAAACCTATAAAGATCAAGCATTTGCTTGCACCTTGGTTGACCGATGACATCAAAATTTTAATAGCTAAAAAGAATAATGCTAAGGTTAAATATAAGTGTAACCGTGATAAATGTCATAGAATCAGGAATCGCTGCAATACTGTGTGCAGGGACGCACAGCGCCGCCATATCCATAAATCCGTGGAAAGCGGTGATCCCGCTAAGGTCTGGAAGTTCTTAAGTTCTCTCGGTGTTGGCAAATCCGAAATATCAATTTGTCTCAAAACTTAGACATCAATCGCCTGAATGGTCATTTGTCTGCATCGTCTTCTCTTGACAATCATGTCAAAGAGAAAACTTTAAGGTATCTTTTTTCTCTGCCAACACCAGATTTTACTTTTACTTTTAGTCAATTTTCCGACAGTGATGTTGAGAGGAGCATTCGTGCCATCGATTCCAAAGCGCTAGGCAATGACAATATTGGCCGTAACATGATCATTCCTTTACTCGATATTCTATCTCCAGTTATCATCCATATTTTTAACCAATTCATTTCCTCTGGCAATTTTCCAAGAATTTGGAAAGATGCTCAAATCATACCACTAACCAAAAAATCCAATCTTGATTGTATGTCTGTTTCCGTCCTATTTCCATCCTTCCTTTCCTTTCTAAAGTTCTTCAGCGTCTTATACACAATCAAATCAGTGAATACCTTCGTGTGAATAACTTACTAAATCCTATACAATCTGGTTTCCGTCCTGGCCATAGCACAGCTAGTGCACTTGTCAAGATCACCGATGATATTCGCTTTGGCATGGAGAATCAGCAACTTACAGCTTTAACGATACTAGACTTTAGTAATGCCTTCAATAATGTTGACTTTGAAATCCTGTTGAGTTTGTTTCCCGTAACATATCTCCTGCGGTCATTAACTGGTTTCGTATTATTTACATGGACGCCGGCAGCGTGTAGTTGTTGGTGAATCCTTCTCTCAATGGTGTACACTCACAGCCGGTGTTCCTCAGGACGGTGTGCTATCTCCTTGCTTTTTACTGTCTTTATCAATTCCATTACTCTTAACTTAACTTCTAACTGTCATCTGTTATGCAGACCTGTCATCTGTACGCATCTGTCGCATTAGA